AAATGGCCGAGAGTATCGCGCAGAAGGTGCTTCGGATTTTCAGTTGTCCAAAGTTACCGTATCCCTTTGAAGCCAAGTTATTATGTAAATGCATTGTTCATATAAATATTTAGAGCTCTGATGCAGTAGACGTAATAGAACGTATTTTAGACATGTCCAATTGTCCATGGTGATGCTCACGTCGACTGTTATTTTAGTCTTATCTACGCCGTCAGGTCCTCAACACCATATTCGGTCGTGGTATTGCTGTTGGGTAACTGCGACGATTGGTGCACTCGTTAGTCGTTACATAGACGGAGCCGAACAGTTTGTCGCCTTAAACGTTAAAAAATAAAATGCATAAATTAGGTTAATTCTTTAGCCCCGTTATTGATGTTTTTGAACCGTGGCTGCTTCGGTCTAGCAAAACTCACGCACCGAAAACTGCCTACTCTTCGCTTTTCGAAGATTAACATGACATAATAAGCATACTGTATTTGCCGAAGTTATTGTTTAACAATAGCGCTGTTATATCTAATGCATGCAATTATGTTCTTGCCAATAAGTTGCTTCCAGGTAGCCGCCGTTTTATTGTGCAGCCTCTTCAAGGGAAAAGTGAGTGACGCCCGAAATCTTGACACCTCATGCGCACACGACTTGATATCGTCTCAGGGTCCGCATGAAAATTCATTCTTTATGATATAACCATAATTATTTTATGTCTCCGTTCTCTGCCATTTGGCATTTTAATTAATCCAGTGTAGTTTATTTTTCCTATTTTCTCAACTCATCCTAAATTTATTGATACGAGGTTGTTGTGGGCTTCAAGCAATTCGAGAAAACTTGAAAGCAAGTCTTCTAAGAACTGTAATATCTTTTTTTCGAATTTCCAACACCAGCTTTGTTAAGTACCTAGTAACGGGTTCGACTTTTCATGCGTTAGGACCCTCAAAATGAATTCATACGATGACCTTAATTGAAATTATTTCAGTCGAAATTGCGGATGCACACAAAAAATTTTCCGTCACAGTGTAGTTACACATCACTTGGCGGAGAGAAAGTGCGACTAGAGCCATTTGGTACATGCTTGCAGTATAGCAAATCCAATTTAGACATGTTTATCTGCTTTCGAACTTTTCCAGAATTGTTCAAAGCGAATACACTGCATGCTTTATGACCATTGCGACCCTATGAAATTTAGAAATTATTCACAAACAAATGAATTTGCACTTTCACATTGACTCGCCCGAAAACCGACGCTACCTATAACCACTCGATTTAAGTGAATAACACGACGAACATTCTTATTCTTGCGGTAACCACATGTTTGTGCTATATACGCGACTCACAATGTCATTTGACTAGCATGCTCAAGCACAGTTTCTTCAGAGATAATAAATGGACAAAAAGTTCTTAAAGGATGGTATTTTGTGCGACAATTGTACAAACTGCCATCAACATATGTATTATCATTATCATAATTGTGCAAGGTGCGCAAATTATTATATAATGCCTCATTTAAATGAGAAAAATTATTGTATTTTAATACTTGTTTAAGTGTCTAACCTCGAGTACGTGATGTTTAGAAGCCAAGAGCTCGCTCTTGACACCGTAACTAAGCCAGAAAAGGCTAGGTTATTTCAAAAGCGCTCTTCCTTTACTCATTTTACTCATGAAGACATCTTTTAAGGCCTCCCTCACACACGGGCCCTCAATTTTTTACATTCAACAACCTTAGATTTGAACATTTATGTCAGCTACCATATATGACAGGTAAAATGTACATATATTTTAAATAAAGAAGCATTGCGGTGCCTGCACACAGATTGTTATAGGTACGTTAGATATGCGCTAGTTAGGCGCACGTAAAATATTCAATTGTAGAAAAATCATTGGTGCGTCCAAATTTCATTTGTTAAATTGTGTGCCAGGCGCATCGGAATACAGGATGGCAGTCGTGGGACACAAATTTAACGCTTAAATAACCTCTGGAGCCTACACCTAGCCTCAGCATGCAATAACTTCACCAGGCACTCGGAGCCATAAGCCGCAGAGCAAGCTGGAACACCGTTATTTACACCAAGGACACGCTGCTCAAAGATATTCGGCCAATGCTTAACCATATGCTCGCTCATAAGCAAGGCGTTCTGGCTAGAGTCAAGGTGTCAAATGCGATCACTTAACTGCAAAAATCTTGTACTCGAGATGGTGTGGCCCATTAACCAGTATCAGGTACAATAATTCTTCGCATTCAAATGTGGCATTTTATAAAAATTTATGCCTTACGTTAATGACTGCTGTGATTATGGAGTAGTAGTCGCGACTTAGGGACTTCTTCATTGAAGATCGCTTATCAACACTAACTTTTGACGATCCTGTTATGAAACAGAATATTTTCGCACCGCAGCCAACAACATGTAATATCGATACAAATTTATGAGGAATATTAAACGATGTCTGCGATGTTGGTGTTGCCATCGTTCAGCACTCCAGAACCCAAAGCCTAGTACCAAAACACACAAACCCCTCCCTGCCCCATCCCGCCGCGCGGGGTTTTCTCCACCGGAGCGGTCTCCCCCGGCCAGCCTGCTCCGGATCCTTCTTTTAATGGCCGGAATAAATCCCAACCCTGGGCCTCGAATCTGGATTTGCGCAGTTTGTAACAAAACCATAAACAAAACGCAATATTCCATACGCTGCCGGACATGCTACAAATGGTACCACATGGTCGCCTGCTCAACGCAAGTTAACAACTACTACCTTTGCAACAATTGCCCAAGGCCTCTTCCTCCCTCTCCCCCACCCGCCGTCCGGGCACCCAGGGCCCGTCTGCCCGNCTGTCTCTTATACACATCTAGATGTGTATAAGAGACAGCCTCCAAACAGTTCAAAATTCTGCTCTGAGAACCATAACCGGTTGCCACAACACAACTGCCGAACAACATCTTCACTCCGAATGTCAAATGCTCACTGTTCAACAGCATACGGACCTCCTCTCAGCCCAGTACCTTCTGCGGAGCCACCTCCCTCAACACGCCTGCCACCAAATCACAAGACTGCACCCCCAACCCCGCAACATCAAAGATACTCTTTTCACCAAATACATAAATGCCGTTCAACCTTCACTTCCAGCCACTATTAACAGTGCCACCCTCAAAGCAGCTAGCAGCACTCTCCATTCCAACGCTGCCCGAGCTGCCATCGACTCGTACCACCCACAAGTTCTGCTCAACGGCTGGCCTCCTCCACTCCCGGCTATAGATAAATCTGAACAAACACTTCAAAGATCCGCAAGACGAACGCTGGCACAGCTTCGTTCCGGCCATTGCATACTTCTGAACAGCTACAAAAGCAGAATTCATAACAACATCAATAACCTATGCAACTACTGCCACCTCTCCCCGGATGATGTGCCCCACCTCTTCAACTGCCCCAACAATCCAACTCCACTCAGCACTATAGACCTTTGGAGGGACCCAGCTGCGGTCGTGCGTTGGCTCCAGCCACGGCTGGATCAATGACGCCGGAATCGGGCGCGGGGCAACAACAACAACAACAACAACCAAATCACACGACAGCTACAGCTCTGTGTTGCGCTTTGTAGAATTTTAGCACCAGCAAAAAGGGCATGAAAGGGCCTTGATTAGCAAGGGCATGAATTAAAATCAGTGATACAAGGTCAGATGAATGCTAAAAATTAAAACAAACGTTCCCAATATGACCTATTCCGTACTCGACAGCCAGCACCAAACTAAACTTCAGTTAAAGTAAGTCAACTAAATAGACCCAAGGAAATTTGTGCATGACAGGCATACCCCAGGTGTAGAAGATGTATAAAAAGTGTACATGAGAGCTAGGAAATAAACACGTTACAACGTGCAATTCTCTGAATATCCTTAACCAAATGAGTGAAGTTTCAACAAACCTTCACTTGGAGCCCATCAATCATCCACAAAATCTTTGACTTTTGGGCTTTCCACTCTTCACAGTGATGAAAAAGCGATTAGCTCATTACGTTATCATCATCCGTTGTCAACAGTACACAGTATATCTCTTTAGTTCCTTAAAGTTGCAATTATGCTTTGTAAAATGTAAAAACGAATGTATGGTGCTGCCAGTTTAACTTGATCTGGAAGTTCTTATGGTAATCTGTGTTTATGTAATGTTTCGAGACGCTATACTTCATTTCAGGCGTTATACACTTCATATTTCGTTATACTTCAGTACTACTCCTAGTTCGTGTGTGGAGTTTGTCGACATAGTCATCTCCATCAGCGTTCTACTTGCTGCTTGGACTTTTTGTCGAGATGCAAGCTGTCAGTCCAGTTGCCACTATATCATGCGCATGATTTTATGCTCTCCTAGCCATTTTCCTATAAAACTATATATGATCTATTTATATATTCTAAACGAATTCGCTATACTGCTTTTCAATGTTTCGTTGATGCCATCACGAAATTTGGAACCCACCCTGAACTCGTACTTTCCTCGTTAGATGCGATAATTTCAGTGAATCAGATGCAATACGATATCAGAGAAAGAGACATATTATTCTGCTTGCCCTACAACGCCAAGTCTACCCACTAACGTAGCAGCCAAGTTGTTATGACAGCCAAATGTCGCAGAGTCTGCCCAACAGTTCATTCAAGATCAGGCGTTTACTCTCTTGCTGATCTTCTAACAGCGCGTTCAGAATCCTTTATCACGTCTAGTAATGGAATTTTACATTCTGTGTCGTAGTATAATATAATGTCTTGTATTACCACGTTACATCTCGTTTTATATATTGCAGTCTGATAGAGTTCCATTATATCCGGGATATACGTTTTTAATTTTAGAACACAATTTCTGTCCGGATTGATAGCTTTATTCTGAGACATTTCTTCCTTTGTCCTGTAATTTGCTTTGGGACATTTCTCATCCCGTCCAGTGCTGCCAGTTCATTTCGAGGAAATCGTTCCGAAACGCAGGAGTCTGTTGTTATTCATCTAAATGTACGTACAAGGAAATAATAAAAAATAAGGAGTTAACAGTTACTTTATTAATTACAAAGAAGGAATAACAATAAGCAAAACGAAAATGCAAAATGGAGCTTAAGCCTTTATAGCCAACATAATCATTAAACGAAAGCGTAACTCTTACACGAAATGTTTAGATAAAAATTCTAAAGATAGGTAACCAAACGCTGCCACTTAAATAACTACACCGTACGTTTTGGTTCCCTGCGTCTGCATTGCATGCTCGCCATTTGTTCAAGTGCGCCTCGAGCCAATGCCAGCACAACCACTTGGAGTATTCAATTATGAAAAAATTTCATAATTGAAATTTTCATTCGGCGTCTCTGAAATGCTCCCTATCAAAAGCTACTTCGTCGTCGTCGCCAATAAGGCCGTTGTTCTAGATTTTCCAGCGGTGGAAGGCATACGATTAATTCTATATACTATCAGTAACGTTGGCTTTCAGGGATTGCTAATGACCAAATCAAAAGAAAATGATTGCTAATGACCAAATCAAAAGAAAATATATTCACACTGAAGAGGACTTAGAATAACTCGATTGTTTTAAGCAAAAAATAACACGAGTATGCACGAGGCAAGTTATTCAGTAGCAGTTCTGAAGCATGCTCTGGTCGAGGTCTCTGATGGTGCAATCCTGGAAGCTATTCGCCCTCGCCGCCAGTGAGATAGGTTGGTAAAAACTGTTGCAACGGACACCTTCCACTTGAGGGAGGAAGCTGCTATACCTGATCCAGGCGATGTCACAGTCACAAGGTTGAGCTGTGATGAGAACGAAGAGTGAATTGTTTCTGTAGTGCTGACTATTTATTTAAATGGGGTTGACAAAAATTATCCACATATGTCATTTTCTTGGAAAATAAAATATTCACTCCCGATATGTCACCTTTAGCTCTTAGGCAACACCTATGACAACTCAAAGTAATAATTCAAGAAATCAAATTTAAAGAAGCACTCAAAATTTTTACGACGGGTTTGACCTGGAGACAATGATCAGTTAATTTGTTTGCTTTGCGCTGGATTGAAAAATCGGCTAAGATTTTTTACTCACCGCCGAGCGTGCGGATCGTTGTGCCGGCGGAAAGCAGATCGTAGAAGATGTCGCGGCTCCACAGCCCTTCGTAGCTCACCATGATCAGCGCACTTCCGTTTGTAAATCCTTTGCAAAAGCAAGAATAACTCGCGAGTTATCCAAAACAATGAATGCAGCTCAAATAAATGAGTACAAATTGTCATATATAATAAATAAATACTATAAGTATATTCATTTCATTTCCTCATCTTCCGACTGGCATTTGACTGAATGTATGTAGAGGCTTGCTCACTTTTGATGGCTTAAAAGTCAGTTTCGTAAGTTTAATCGATGTTGAACTATTGACGATTCTTGCAAGTATGACAACAATGACTTCAATGGGTTGCCTGTTGGGAATCAACACTGCCCAGCGCCGCATGGACTGACAAGATCCCTTCCTGCAGTAACGCATCTTCCAACAATTGTAGTCTGTAGGTCTGTCACGTATTCGGCTGCAAGCCACACAGGCCAGAGCTTGTGCCTTCAACAACATTTCAACAAGCCTTCAGCAAAAAAAAACGGAAATGGTATCACCCACTATAGTCCGCCAAAATTTGAAATATTTTACACCAATCAGAAAAACGCGCTGGAACGTTCACACAATTCATTAAATTGATATTATGGGCTGGTTACTGACGGCAGTTTCTATCCGTTGTTGATTGGCGGCGGCCCTATTGAAAGATACTTTTGCTAGGCTTTCCATTCAGGGCTAATTGGCATTCAAAATTGTGGTGCACGACTGAGCCCTCAATTCGGCCCACTTCAGTCATTATCTACGTGATCTCATCAACGGCTTAGATTGTGTGAGCCAATTATTTTAGAGAGGATATACGTTCAAAGACTAGTTTCTGGAATGACTGTAAGTTTAGAGAATGACCCATGAAGAAATTGCTTTAATATTTTCTAACATCATATGCATATACATTCCCTGAAGATAATGATATACGTCAAGGATGATATCGTTCCAAATCTTCGGTACCTGAGAAGGCACCAGATTCAGCGCTCAGAGTGCTCCGGGTATCGAAGAGCTTGAAGGCTGGAGAAGAAATTTTGGCGGCGTTTTTGGCGAGATGGAGCGCCTGGACCCCATATAGGGTGAACGTCTCCAGGTGAGTGAGTGGCTCCAACGCCCCAGAGTTGATAGTCAGCTTGGGCTGAGTTCTAATTATCTTGATTTCCTTTAGAGAATTGAGGAGATAATTGAAAATAATTGAATGACCGATTAAGTTACCAATGTCATATGCAGTAGCGACAGCGTTACTTATTCAGGTTTGTTATATCTATTGAGTCCCCTTCGTACGTATTCGCCATAAAAAAATAATTTTTTACGTCTATTGTTACTTTTCAAAAGCAGGAAAATTTTTTGCGAGATTCAACCGACACATCTACTAAACTCAGATTTACTCCTAAAATGAAATAATAACGTACCTATATAAATTACAAAATTTAACATGTAGGCCCTGCCAATATCTTTGTATCAACTACGAACTGACACACTGGCCACCGACCTTCAGTTGTGGAGTGAGCTGGAAGGCGTCACCGGGGATGTCCACAAGACTGGTCTCCGTAGTCACAAAACGCACCAGTGAACTCGAATTGATCTTTGGAAAAACTTCGAGTTTGCTGCCGAGGATACTGACATTCTGGACTGTTTCTCGGGAAGCACCCAAAAAGTTCTCATTGAATTCAATGATGTTTGCCTCGTAAACGAAGACCTCGTCGAACTGAATATCCTTAAGTGAGTTTTCGGTCAAACTCAGGTTTTTATTGGCCATTTGGATCTTCAGTTGCTTGAACCTGAGAAGCTTATTTTCGTGTAGGAAGGACAGACAAGATTCTAGAGCGCCATCAATGCCAGGAGTGGTGATGCTGTTCTCATCAGGACTACAAAAGCAGTCAACGAAGTTCGGGCAGACATCGTACTTGCTGGTGACACAGGCCAGATTTTTATGCACCGCCAGCAGGAGGAGCAGCAGAGATGCTCGGGCGACCTACGAGGACACGAGGACATTTCACCGAAACTTTGAAATAATACTGAAACATAAATATTTGTACTCATTCTTCAGAGATTAAAAGATCAAATGAGTTTGAATTTAACTCTTGGAGGAGCAGCTCATGGGTTAATTCTCAAGAACTTCCAATTATGCTTTCGAAATTACCGGAATTCTTCAAAGCATTGCTTATTCTGAAAACTCGGCTGAATCGAACAAGACATTCGTGTGTGTGATCTATCGAATGAACATGAACCCAAAACCGTCAATTGTGACCGTAACATTCCTCAACATGACAGTTCTAGACATGACCTGAAAAATATTTTGCTGCAGTTTTGTTTTAAATCAAAGAAGCGACCAGGTAATCAGGACAGATAAAGTGTCTAAACATTACTGATATGTCAAGAACCTTTCTAAAAATCATAAGAAATTGGAATAGCCGAATTGGACCAGTTTTGACTGTTCGCAACTTCGCACAATTAAGGCCAAGGACTATGCAAGCAAGGTTAATTCAAGCGTTAAAATTAAACAATGTAAAGCAGTGGCCGCTGCAAATGTCTTGATAGTTGGACTGTATTAAGAAATTGCATGAGGCTGCGTCACGTCCGATATCATTTCTCAAGTACAGAGTTATAGCATGCAGGTACTGAAGCCAGACTTGTGGAGGCCAATAGACTCAGTTGATAAATACTGCAGTAACAACACAGTCAATGCTACAGTAGGCTTAAAGACCGAGATAGAAGCCGAAAAGAGTGGTCGTAGCACTCATAATAAACATTGCTATATTATTTTCTATTTGTATAATTATCAAAAAGACACAAACATGATTTTCGAAAAATAGACGGTGCAAATTGAAATAACTCCTTATACGGAACACTATCGCTTACCATTGTGAGGGTGCGAATTGATTTTTTAGAAATTCTTGGCGATAGTAATCTTCGAAGTTGAATGATCTTCGTCGAGACGAGTTTCTACGACGCTTTGGAGTCATCAGGGACGCTGCTGGAGTTATATAGCCGCCACCACCCGTTGATAACGCTTGCTCTGACGTCTTTAAACTTCAGTCGTTCCTCTTGTCGATGTTTATGGTTACCACCAGCTACAATATTGTCCAATGGAAAAGTCTTCTCTAGTGAAGCACCCAACGACCGAACAAGCAACGTATTTATTTATTATTTTTTATGTGGATAAACTGCGTATTTTAATTTAGTTACTAGCTATCTTTCATATTTTTCCAAATCTTAAAAGGAAAAATTCCAGTACTGATTGTGTCCGGAAATTTCAAGATCGTCATCTGCATTATTTTTACAACACTTCTCTTTAACTTCACTTCTTGTTTGTTTGTTTGTTTGTCTGTCTGCTACAAATCTTATAATCGATATTTTAAGCACTTCTACCTCTCCAATTGATCTGAAATTTTGCACACTTGTGTAAAGTTGGAGACAATGCTTGAATCAATTGACAGAATAAATAATTTCGAAAATTAAAAAATATATATATTAAAAAAATGAAAAAAAATTGTCTGCTACATAACTTATAATCGATATTTAACACACTTCTACCTGTCCAATCGATCTGAAATTTTGCACACTAGCGTACAGTCGGAGACAATGCATGTATCAATTGACAATTAATAATTGTGAAAATTTTTAATTTTTTTAATTTTAAAAATAAACTTTAAAATAATATTTTATAATAATATTAGAAATTCATTGTACATGTGTAACACCGGAGACACTGGATTCTCTAGAAGTGTTGTCTTTAAAAAGTATTTTTTAATGACAAAAAGGGTAATTTTAAACAAAAAGTAATTTTAAAGACAAAGGCCTGCGGTCAGGCGAGGTCAGTGCATGATCTGTCGTTTGACCGACTGCTCCCTTTAAAAAGTAATTTTTAACGCATATTATTGAAACTACAGACACAAGAAACGTCGAACCTGTTAGAGGGCACCCAACAACCTTGGGGAAGGATTCACTACAAAAGCAGAGTCCTTAGAAGGCTTGCCTTCAAATTTCGTCGAATTATTATTTCTTTCAATTTATAGCTTACAGAAAATTCACATCAATAAATTTAGGATGAGCTGAAAAAATAGAAAAATTTAACAAATGCAGGATTAACTAAAATTCAATAAAGACTGAGAACGGAGATATTAAGTACATTATTATTATTACGAATCTTCATTCCATCTCTGAGGTGATATTAAGTTTCGGTGGCATGACGCCAATACCTTTTCCCGCGTCACTCTCTTGAAGAGTGCTAAGAGTTCGCGCGTCACTCACTTGAAGAGGCAGCAGCAAAAAAACAAGAGTTACCTGGAAGTCACTTAATGGCTAAAGAAATCAACAAGCATTAAACAACAACGCGATTGTAGAATACACGTCTCGACAAATTCAGTCTGCTTATTATGTCGTGTTATTTTTCAATCAACGAAGAAAACACAGTTTAAGGGGAGCATGTCGGTCAAAAATCGAAAATTTTGGCTTTTCCGGTTTCTTGGCTCATTTTGTAGCTACTGAAAAAGCTCATCATAAGGCTGTTTTGAACTTTTATAAATGACCATTTTATAACAACATTTACATATTTCCATTTAAAAAAATTGTATGTATAGATCAATATTCGCATTAATCGCAAAGTGAATGAATATTTTTTATTTGTATTAATGTTTTAAAGTCACATTTATTGCTTATTATTCACATTAAACTGGTCAAGAATATCTAAAGACGCGTGCTGGTACCCTAAATGCAACCAATCGGCACTGGGAAAGCTTGGGCTACGCTACAATATCAAGCAACTTTCTGGCATATTCCTATTTTTCCAAGAAATTTTACTTATATGGCTCCCCTGAACAACCAAAAATTTTCAAAATACGCCATCTTAAAAATCTATTTCCTCCAATGATTTTTTGAGCTACAGCATTGAGAGATATACCATTCGATTTGTAAATAAAATCTCTGTAGATCATAGAGCCATTTTTTTCGATTTGTATTTTGTTTTGATCATATGTTGAAAAAGGAAGGGGGAGGAGGGGTAGAAATTGGAAAAAGAAATCAGAAAAAAATAAAAATGAAAATTTGAAAAAATGAAAGGATGATCTTCAGATATGGTCTTTACGCATCGAATGATATGTCTCTCGATGTTGTAGCTTGAAAACCCTAGGAGGGGATAGATTTCTACAGTACTCTCTTTTTATCGTTTTCTATTAATTACACGTTTTCTTTCATTTTTTCGAAAACATTACATGAATAAAGAAGTCATTGATTTATATTTTACATATGTGTACCAAGTGTCATAATGATCCATCAGTAAATAAAAAGTTTATTTTGACCGACTGCTCCCCTTGAGGCTTGAGGTGCTCGAGATAAGCAAGACCGGAGCCACAGCATGTTATACTCGTCACTGTCCATGTAACTAAGCTATTAACCTATTTAATAATTTAACAGTTGCGTGTTCCATTGTTACTGTGCCAAATTTTTCAACCGTCTAATGCAAATCTTCATTAATTGTTGTCACCGAGTGCGAACAGCAGTACCTTCATGAGCTGCTGGGGACTGTCGTTGAGGGCCAGACGGCGAAGAGAAGATGAAAATAAGTCGTGAGCTTTACCATATTCAATGTGCATGCATTGGTGATCTCTTCTACTTCGGATACACGATACGCCAAAATAACTATTAATATGCACGATTCGTTTCTAACATACCTCTAAATAAATGGGTCTACTGTAGTAGCTTTCGACAACTGAAAGACTGGAGCAGCTTCTGCGCGAAACTCCGAGTATTAGTGTGATTTTCTTTTCGTTTCTTCAGGGCCTGTGGTCAGACGAGGTCGATGCTTGGTCTGTAGTTGACAGTTTTCCTCGGTTATTTCGGACTGTCTTAAAACAAAGTAGGAGCAACGACCACTCCCCAAGTCACAATTAATGATAACGATTTAACTTCGGAAAGCTGCTCGCCTAATACCGGTACCTTATAACAATACCATGCAGTTCCGGTGTTCTTTGAGCACTGGCAGCTTATTTAGGCTGCATAAATTATTCGAACTAATTCACCCAGCAAGAATGTCAAACCTAATTCAAATAGGAGTCTTTAATTAGTAACCTACTGCACCCATACGTCACGATTATTTCTAATCGCAGTTAACTGCCAGCATCCACAGCCGAGGACAAGCGATTGCAAGATCCCCTATATATACAGTGGGGGGAAATAAATATTCGTACACTTGAAAAATCGTATTTTAATGTATGTAAGTACACAAACTTAACAGGAAAAGTGATTTAAATTATGTATAGAGACGCATAGTATTCAAAAATACTTTGCATTGTTTTTTGTTGCATTGAGATTTAATTTCCTTTGATAGTATTTTTGAATACTATGCGTCTCTATACATAATTTAAATCACTTTTCCTGTAAGTTTGTGTACTTACATACATTAAAATACGATTTTTCAAGTGTACGAATATTTATTTCCCCCCACTGTACCTCTTCAATACGAATGTTAATAATAATACAAAAAGCATTTCTACGCTAACGATATCATTTCTCGCTTTCTGCAATGCGGTGTGTTCTGTTTTGTGCTCAAATAACGTATTCAAGTATTAATGACAAGTGCTATAACGAACAATGCTTCGAACATCTCTATCATTTTATGAATATTCGCCCACATCTCTAATCTGAGCCATGACCATCGGGCCATTGTTCACAACTGCTACACATTTCTCTCAGTCGTAGACAATTCGGAAAAACATACAACGACCCGCTATCGTGAATAAATCTCGACTTTAACCATTGTCGAGGAACATCTCAAGAACGTTTCTTTTGGCGACTTCAGTTCACGAGCTGAGACTTCCGATTCATGGGCAGGGTAACAGTGCGGTCAACATCGTTTATCAACTTCGCACTTCCTGCGATTAGCGTAACGGATCGAGATGGTTGTAAGCCATCGCAGCAGTTGATGGTCATGACATGGCAAGATTAACAAAAATTTCGTTATAAAATTTAATTAGTTGGTTCACCGCGGCACCATCGCCACGGTATACCATGACCTAAATCCTGGGTTTCCATACACGCCAAGCGATAAGGGGTGCTCGAGTTGTACCAGCACCGAAACTAGTAACCACTATCCGTTACTACTACTTCTAGTGACGGCTTGAACATTATGAAATGGATATCAACACATTTTTTTAAGAGGCTTTTATTAGTCGAGACTTACAGCCCTTCGTCACTCACAGTGCTAAGCTCGTCACGTACCATTAATACCCAGATCGAGAATTTCACCACTTCAGGTTCCAAATCAGCTCTTCTCGTTGAGTGAGAAAAAAAATCAAAGTACACAGACGAATTGATGAAGATAACGAGCCTCAAAATTTAAATGCAATGCTCGCAATTAGCCAGAATTCATTTGTTCTTCACTGTCATCAAATTAGACTATTGTTGGGAAAGTGCAAAAATTTTGTATCTCCAAGACTCTCTGTTCTACTTGTATCCGCAGCTAGGACAGTCACAATGGGCTCGATTGTGGGTCCAGATAACCCCATCGTTATTGTAGGCATTGTCGAGGCGAGGAAATGTATAAATGAAAGTCTCATCAGACCAGTTTTTTTACTGGAATATTTAAGAGCGCGCAGACACGCTGACCTGCCAGACCCTGATCTTGTTATCGCTGTAGCCAGCGAAGAGGGTCTGGCCGTCGAAGGACCAGGCCATTGACAGGCACTGAGGAAGCTCAGCCTTCGAGTTCGAGTTGTGGGAAATGACATCAGGCTTGAGCTCGTCCACCAGGTTCTTGCCCTCCAAATCCTAGGACAGAAAAAGTCAACTTTATTTCTCACCGTTTCTTCAAAATGCCGAACGATTGATGAAATTGCAATGAAAGCCGTTTCGACTGCATTTTATTGAACTATATCTGATCGAAAAACGATGCTATGCTTGTAACGGAGCACAAGTAATGTACTGAAATCATACATGTGAATCTTTCATACCTGGCTGAATAGTGAGGAATGACTCTAGGAGAAAGCAAATAAAGTGTAGCAATAATCTTACCCAGATCTGGATGGAAGGTCCAGTAGCGGCGCACAGCCAATATCTGTTGGGGCTGAAGCAGAGGCTGTTGATAGTGTGGGGGTGGTCTAGAGTGTAGAGATGCTTGTCATCGTTCAGATCCCACAGCATGGCTTTAGCGTCCTTGCCACCAGAGGCACACAGGGAACCATCGGGAGACACGGTCACGGTGTTCAGGAAGCCGGTGTGGCCGTAGTGGTTAGTTTTGAGCTTACAGTTGGTCAGGCTCCAAACCTGTGAACGGACCCATCATGTTTGAAATCAGATCATTTAATGCGCATTTAATCCACATCCGTGATACTAAACGCTATCATAATGATAAGAAAGTTTCAATCTAACGACGATAATAGAACGCTTTCAGAAAAAATAAATTTTCGCTGCATCGAAGTGTTTTAAAAGGCCAGAGCGCATAAACAACATAGCGCATACACTGGTAGGGAGCCGCTGATTCATGAGAGCTCTATCGGTTAATTTTTCCATTACTCTCGCCAGTTAGTGCATAAAAACTAGTTGAATACCTTGACGGTCTTGTCCCATCCCGAGGAGACAATGATGGGGTTGTTGTTGGAAGGCGAGAATCGGACACAGGACACCCAGTCCTCATGGCAGTCCTCAACGATGGTGTACTTGCACTGAGCCAGCGTGTTCCACAGCTACGAGTTTAAAAAAAAAAACATTAAATAAAGCTACTCGGGGGGTTTCTTCCTCATTAGAGGTTTAATAAGAGAACGTTCTAAAAGGAGGAGTCGGACCATAGGATACTTGTCATTCTAAACAGTTGACAGTATTTTGCAAAAGTAATTTGCCTATGCAACAATAAATTTTCAACTCCATTAGCATCATTATTTACTTGGCAGATGAACTGTCATCGGGAAAGAATTCAACATTCAAACAATGCAATTTCATGTTAAAGTATCATTCGCGGATTCATTCAAATTCAAAAACAAAGATTAGATTACAAAACTGACCAATTCGTGGTCAAATAAACGCATGCTCACATAAATGCAATGAAACAATTCATATGGAGTTTCTCATGCAAGGAACTATTCATCAACACAATCAAATAAATACCTTGATGGTTCTGTCGCGAGATCCAGACACAATCTGCCTGTTGTCGGCACTGAAGGCGACCGAGAGCACATCCTGCACAGAAATGATTAGGTCTATGAACGGAGGCCAGTGGGTCAACCATTTATTTTGCAGCAAAATAATTTATTTTACCTGCAACCATTCTAACTAGCAAATATGTACACTAAGTTCATTGATGCGAACTTCTTTTCACCCCTTATTCTAATTTTTCTCTTCTGGTACGTGCTGCTTCATGACACAAAATGTAGTTGTGTAGTTCCTATTGTAGTTCCCACATGTAGTTCCTATTGTCAAATAACCAGGCATTGTAACCCAATTAGTATCCAGAGCTTCAAATTAATCACCGTTGAGCTGCCCACACGCAGAACTAGACTGCTTCAATTACTTACACTTCATTTACTTACACCGCAGCACTTCTCTTGTATTTCAATAAAAAAAAATATGAAAAAAAGGTTTCAGCTTATGCAAGGCCCGAGTCGATTCACGAGACGCTGAGGTCTGACAGGCGCGGTGCCGACCTTGGTGTGGTGCTCGAAGCGGCGGGTAGTCTTGCCAGCAGCCAAGTCCCACAGTCTCAGGGTCTTGTCCCAGGATCCCGAAAGAGCAAAATGTCCATCCAAAGACAGCACCTGGAATTGTCAACATATTAACATCCTGAAATTAACAATTTTAAAACATTAGGTTTTGACGATAGAATCTGGATGCAATGCATCGGTTGACAGTGAGGAGCAATATAACTCTGGGCACTCAGTAGCCAGAGACTCAAAAACAATAAGTGTTTGAGACACCGCGAAACGTCAATCGGTAGAAGACACTAACAAGCGTAATTAAAGACAACTCAACAAGTGACAGATCTCAGATTAATTATTGCAAATCTTTGCAGACAGTTGCTCATTTTTGAGCAAACTTGGGATCATACTTTTAACTGTAGCTGGAGTTTTCCAAAGGATTAGCTTAAAAACTAACCTTCAGCGACACCAGTAGTCACTCTTGCACTGTTTGATGTCGGCACCATCAGACGCACTTATGCACAACTGATGGCGTTGTGTGCAACAAATGTCATTATACCTAAAATTCACTATCTACAAATGCTGAAGGTGCGAACACAAGCAAATATCTTGAAACTAATATAGTATCAGAGTCCAGAAAAAAAATTAAATTTATTCCTCGTATTGCACTTGCACTTATCACTGAAATGTGTACCAACCCTCCTGAGTACTACTGGCGTACAGACTCATAAATTGCCAGGCTTGTAATGCTAGTTCTTAGTTAGGAAGCTAAATCATACAAAATTTAAAAAACCTTTATGTTGTATTAACATATTAAATTGATACCAGAGTTGAAATTGAGGCTGAACATAAAGTTTAGGCAAGGATAACATTAAATAATCATAAAAAATTAGTGAAGTTTATCCCTCTATCAATGACGAAAATTTCTCAAACAGGCCCCAAGAATTTCAACAAAATCGAAAACTCACTATGGATTTGGACATGAAGATTTCTGGTTGTCATTTCTTTGATTTCGTTGCATTACAATAGGTATTGAATGACTAAAGGACAATTTGGAAGACCTAGTTATAAATCTATAATTTTTAAATGGGTAGGTCTTTATTTTACCTAATATTGGCACGGTATTTTTTAGAGCCTGGGACTGTATGCACTTATATGTTACATATACACAACTATTTCAGCATATGAAATAGAGTTGTTTGTGAAATTAATTTTAATGCATTTCTTACCACATCAGAGATGAAGTGGTTGTGCCCATGAAGGCGCTTCTGGGGCACACCATAGTTGTTTTCATCCCTCACAAGCTTCCACAGGATCAGAGACTTGTCTGGAGATGTAAATAAAGTTATTAATAAAAATCGTTCATGAGTGAGCTGTCTTCATACCAGGGAAAACTAATTTTCCAGATGTGTGTATTTTTTTGCACCTATCTCAACAGCCCTTCAGACCATAAGATGAATGTTTTCTTGGAAAATCAGAAATACTCTGAAACACCTGTGCTCAATACTTGAAGAATTGTCACTTTGTTTAGATGTTAGGCCATGGAATCCAAATCAATTTAGGCTGGTAATTAGGAAGGTGAAAATAATAAACGAGACAACAAAATCCTTTTTCCTTAGCTACTTCCACCAACCAATGACAAACTTCTCTATTTCGTCTTGACAGTTACAAATGAAAAATTATCAAGCTCAAAAAAGATTCTTCAATATGATTAAGATGGACAATATAGACTTACCTCGTGAAGAGGACAGAATCATGTCAGGAAAGTTGCGGCTGGTAGCAATCTGGGTGACCCAGCCGCTGTGACCCACAAGGGTACCTCGAAGCTGCAATGACTCCATTCTAGAAATAGAATACAGACCAGTTAACTATCTGGAATTTGAAGCAAGTTGGACATGTCAAATATCTCTCAACAGTAAGATGGAGATGATGATCTTGGCAAGCTTGTGGTCACTACAATTATGTTAACTGAATAAGCTATGGCAATGGTAGATTGGATGAAAAAGTTATGGAAGTATAACTGCTGTCAAAGATGAATCAATCAATAGGTTCAGCACTTGTCTTTACTATAAAATGGGAAGCCCAACTGACAAATAACAGGCAGAAGGAATAGCAACAGACTAATGCTAGAGATAAAAAAAATTGAAATAGATCAGAACCTCAGCTTCCATCCTAACACTTATTTTACAATTCTATAGGAGGTTTATGTTCTTCAATGCAGCATATTGCCAATTTTTCTGCACTTTCAACAAATTTGTGGAACAGGCTTAGCTAAATGAAGAGCTCTATCCCCTAAATTACCCAGTAACAGGTAACAGCAAAAATTTTTGAACAATTGACTTTTGAAAAATTTCCAGACAATTTCAATGCACTGAAATTAATAAGATAGTTCCCTAGTGTTAATGAGCAGATTAAGACAAATGCTACAATTCTGCATTAACAAATTCAAAGGGTTGACTTAAAACTGTATCAATCAGAAAATGAGTCTGTGCATTTGCACAATCATCTCCACTTCAATTTGCAATTTTTTAATTTTCTCTCAACAGTATAAATGCAAATATTGAACATTCCATTTTCAAATGTTTCTCTATTTTAGACTTCCTGGTTTATTGATGTTGCAAATGCTGCAACTTACAACTGTATGACATACACCATTACATAAATTCACAATCATAGGTGCCACATCATGTAAATTAGCAGTCAAAACATAATTTTAGCAGTGCAGCATAAATTGGACTCCTTGAAATCTTTATCTATTTGATTATATAGGGGCTTGACAAATAGAAATCCACAAAATATATTGTCCACCAACAGCAAATCAGTTTCAATTATCTGAGGTATCAATTCATACTATTTGTGAATTTTTTCACAAGTAATTTAAAATCATTCTTCTGTTAAAACTCCCTCTAGCTCTCCTTTCAAAGACGATGGTGACAGGCATGAACTTCTGACTTGCATCTCTAAAATTGACCATAAATGCTCAATAATATTCAGGTCTGGCAATTCTGATGGTCAAATAAGATGCTCAATTTTATTATAATTTTCCTCCTGCCACTTTTTAGCAATTCCAGAGGCATGGATTGGGGCATTATCAACTTGAAAGATGGTGTTCCTCTTCAATAACAGTTTAGCCTCTTTGCAGTTGAGAGGTTTGTCATTTATTATAGGCTAGAGTATTGAATCAAAGATCTACCAATAATATCTGAGCAGGGATCAAATTTCAATTCAGTCAAACAATCAAACATTAAGATGCCACATTTCAATTGTTCATAACATCTTCATAACAAAATGCTAGAATGCCTCCATAAATAACATTTCCAAGTGCTTTGTGCATGACTTTTCCAATATTAAAATGGAATAGACTATTTTGAAAACTTTTTCCTATTAATGTATATAATAACATTTATTCCATCCTAATATTGGATAAGGTCATGCACAGACCATTTTGAAATATTATCTACATAGGCAATCCAGCATTTTATGTAATTACACAGGGGTTGGATCAAAAAGAGAAATGACCAGCATTTTGATATGAAAATTTCTGAACATTTTCTAAACAATGAAAATGACATATTTTATTGTTTGACTGGTTAATTAAAATTTTATCCTTGCAGATATTTTTAATAAATTTCTGATTTTTTCTTTTTCAACCATTGGTGCTTTGGAAGTTCTCTTAGTGCAAAAAAATAAACAAAAATAAAACAGTTATCGCCCTAGAATCCACCTTCTGCAGAGACTGTTAGCCAATATTAGACTCCTGCATTTGGAACTTTCTTCCATTTGAGACAAGACGCTTTGTCCTGGTTTGTAATAAAAACCAAGACAATTTTCAGCACTCAATGGGAATTCCAGGACGATATCAAGACAAGACGTCCCAGTTAAAATAGGAGGTTAAAAATTGTGCAGAATTTATATCTTTTATACAATGGACATGAAACAAACCATTTATTGTGACATTGTTTTTTGTTTGTACAATAACTTGAGAAGTATTCATCGACAATTCCAATTGTGGGCTTGGCAATCAAGATGGTTTTTGCTACATATCATAATTTAACATGGCACTTTTACATGACAAGACAAATGAAAATTAATGAAAATTTGCATATTTTATAATTTTTCCTTTGCAATGTTGAACTGTAATGCACATTAAATATATTTTTTCATGCAGAAGAGTAAAGAAAAAGTCAATTACAAAGTTTATCATTAAATTAAGTTTTCCCTAGTTAAGGGGAGCGTCTGGGGGTAAACAATATCTCTGATATCACCAGACGGATCGATTCAAAATTTGGTACACATATGTAAAACGTAATTCTGTTTTTTTTTTGTTTGTGCGAATTTTTCAAATTTAAAGAAAAGGTGAAATTCTTAGAAAACAGCCAAAAAGGGGATACTGTAGAAAGTCAATCACAACAATCAGTCCTATGATTTTCAAGCTAGTACAACATCAAGACATATATTTGATGTGTAGACTATATCTAAAATCGTAACTTTGGCTTTTTTTAATCTCATTTTTGTGGGTGTGGAAGCATTTTTGTTCAAAAATTTTTTATTTTACTTCTGCCCTCCCCCCTTTTTGCAAAATAAAATCCAAACTATAACAAATTCAAAAAAAAACCCCTTAGTTTGTAGATCTTTTATTTGCAAATCAAACAGTGTATGTATCATTGATGTAGATTCAAAACTCTAGGAGGAGATAGGTTTCCAGTGACAATATGTGTGAATGTTTAGTAAAGCCCGACAAAGTCCTGGGTGCCTTGAAATCGGCATTCAAGACTGCAAGGAATGCGACTAAATGATACTGGAGCTCAATTTCGGTCAAGGATGGCGAGAGCGACAGTGCGGGAACCACCCCGTACAACTGCTGTAAGGTTACTGGAGGTGAGTGTTTGTAGACTAGCTATATATATAGTGCAATATGGGAATCATTCCTTATGTTAAATGTGAAAGAACTCCCCCACCTCCCTCCCTTGCAGAATCTGTAGTGAACGCATAAATCAACGCACAGAGATGATTTTGGTGCCATTGGATAGGTCAGAGTGTCAGCCTTAAGATGAGACTGAAAACTGGAAAAGCCAAAATTGCCAATTTTGGACCCAGACGCTCCCCTTAAGGTCAATCAGTTGGAGCACTAGATGGTCCAGCAACCATGTCTCGAGTGACAGCCCTTGCACTGGTTTTATTAGCATTTGGGCTCGGGTATCTTGCGATATGTGGTGTAACACTTCCACCTGCTATATGACAGTAATGGTAGCTGTTCTGAAGGATGTGCTCCCTTCATTAGCCTTGTAAATATTGTGAGGGGATGGCTTTTTGCTCCATGTATTTTGTGTTGTCATTTTGGGAGCACAGCCATGCACCACCAATTTTGTGCACAAATAAGCCCTGAATCAAACGCCTTGGATCTCTCCGGACCTACACCAATCATCCGTGCACCACTCGGCTTTGTCCTCTTCCGGCCTTCACCACCACCTGCCGTGCACCACCAGGCCACGGAACGAATGACTTTGAGGCATCGTTAAATTACGTAACTTTACATTCACCGCATCTGAGGTTAGGTTTCAGATAGCATAGTTCTGTTCCAAAACATAGCATAGTTCTGTTCCTTTGACCAGTGGCCGTTTGACCCACGGTCTAGATACAGACGGCTTGAAGTGTTGAAGGCTACGTTCCTGAAGGCAGGAATCATGATGGTCCATCACATCCAGGGTAGTGGTGGTCTTCAGCAGGCAACCCATCATTTTTTCTCTCATGAATTTCTCCCTAATTCCTTGAGTTTCATCATTGCAGATCATCAATTATATATAGCCCGTGCACAAATTGTTTGCTAAATTGTCTTCCAAAATAGCTTAACAAGAGCACAATTGAATTATGATTCATAATTGGTGCTACTGTGCTAGTACCGTTTTCATCTGCTGAGATGTTATGTGCAACCCACTGCTCTATCTGTGATTTCTTCGGCTGTGTTTCCCAGTGGTTCCCTGTTAATCAAGCATGATAAACCTAAGGCTGGAATCATAAGGGATATTTCTGCTTTTCTGGTAGACTGGTGGTTCTCAATGGTGCTAAGAATTTGCATATTTACCATGTGTGTGCATCATCGCTGGGGTTATCCGAGTGTTTTGCCTAAGCTAGTGTTCAGTCTCATTGCTGTGTCAGTAATTCACAAGTTACACAAGCTGTGAGCTGGTGGACCCAGATCCTTATCTGTGCTTCAGCCATGAGAACAGGCAGGAAACAAAGGGGAGAAGAGTCCTTTGCTCAAGGACTGGTCATGGATTCTGGGAACTTGGGAAGTCTCCAGATTCCAGAACACGTGAACAACTTTGTGAGCCTTTTGTTGTATAGCCTTAAAACCATTTCTTCACTATGTTCTACTGATCACCCACCTGTATCATTCTTTCATTTGTCATTAATTTATCATTTATTGACTTAATATGTAATGCATCCCTAGGTACATTGTTTGCTTCCTAAACAGAGGAAAGTTAATTTCTATTCAACTTTACGGCGTTAAAAAAGTTTCATATCTGACTTTTTGTCAAGAGTTTACCAAGCAACAGCAGCACAGATTGATGATCTAGGTATATTATTAAACAAGATGATGAAATAATACAAACGCTTGAATAGGAATCGACATTTTATAGCCATAAATTGTGTTACCTAATGACTGGGATTGACTGCCACTGCAATGTAGAATACTTCGATTTCAAACGCATTAATCTTGACAATGAGTTTCAAATTAGTAAACTAAATGAGTAGGTAGGTACCTAATTCTTCATCACATTAGGTGATTAACTTACGAGTTCATCCGCTCATGTAAATTAAAATTGGAAAGTAAATACTCTTAGACGGATAACGTAGTGCTTTTATGCAAGTTGACTGGCAGTTAAAAATTTGAAATTGATAGTAGTTATAGTAGATACAAAAAGTGAACGCATTTAAAAGTGTTGACAGGTTTTACAAATACGTCAATACCTAACTTCCTAAGTGAAGTGGCCGGTGGCGCCAACACATGATCATGGTAAAAAAATAGGACCTAATTAGATACATTGTCACAAAAGGTCGTGTAATTATAATAAGCTGTTATGATACGACATGTTACGCTTCATTTAGATTAAAGTTGAACACCGCACACATCCAATAATGTAAAACTCTAAATTTTACTTACATTATGAAGAAAAATGCCGCGTTTTAGTAGCCAATATCAACTGCACCTAACGCAGCAAGGAAGGACCACGACTTAGAACTTAGATACCGATTGTCGATGTTGCCAGAATCTTGACACCAGGAGCAATGAAATATCATATGCAAAAATATAAAATAAAATCCCGCAAAGACTTGTGTTGAGTCTATAGTGGTAATTTACAGATTTATTTAGCTTGTATTATTAACTCTATTATTATCATCAGTTTTGGAATAAATTTATTTGTCTCACGTTGACGTTCACTATTTTCGGAGTGGTGTTCGTATTCATGAAATTGTTTCATATGATATAAGTATAACTTTGGCTTGCCAGTAAAGGACAAGAGATATTACATTCGCATAATATTACTTAATGGTATACCATCAGCGGACTGCGTTTGAAGCAGCAGATTTAATCTTGAAATTTGATATTGATTTGATTGATCGCTCATGATTTAATTTATGAGTTGTTTGGTTGCGTAAATGTTGCGTTCTCTCGTTTTAATGATAAAAACTGAAACGACTCAAGAATCTGTGATAATGCGTCCCGCAACGCATTGCTAGTGAGAACTTGTGCTCTAAATTTCATGCAAATCCTTTCAAAATTGAGGGACTTAGAAGCTGTTCGGTTGCCGTTCGCTATTGAGCCTGCTGACAAGTTTGCGCCTGAGTTCGGTATGTCTATCCAGTGTACCTGTGAGAGAAAGCATAATCGACATTCAATCAAATCTCATGACTAATGTAGAAGTTTAGGAGAATGGTCTCCTCTGGTAGGCAGGATGGCCCAGTGGTTACAGTTCAGAGTAGTAACATTGTAGACGTAGTAGAGAGGTGCGGGCGGGTTCAATCCCAGTTCCGTGCAACAGTGATCAGAATCGGAGAGGAGGACTGAATCGACACTTTTGCGAGGAGGCCGGGCGGTAGTGCAACGCAAAATTAAAGAGTTGGGTATTTGAGACCGCAACAAGCTATAAATATTCAGCGCTGAAATCGCTGTTATTATTTTTCTATTTATGATCAATCAACACAGCATGCATTTAAATCCGATCTTGCCGTAAACGACTACATTAATTTATATCCAAATTTCATTTTACCGAGAGTGGCAAAACGTTTTCAGAATTATTTATAAACTGTTAGGGAACTTTCAGCAATTTATCTATTTAAAACATCTTTCTTCAAAGCTAAGATAGAAAAGTAGATCGATGAGCTTAATCATGAATGAGTATACAAATTAATACTATTCAATACACTTTCGCGCAACCTGTGAGAGACAGTAAGCATTTCACTCACGTGGGGATGAGCGGTCAAGTTGTACGCGGATGGGGGATAGGATAAAAAGAGTTCCTTGCATTTATTTATATTTTTATCATGGCTAAGATCTAAGCTGGTGTCATGGGAGACCTCACCAATCATCACATACAAAGTGGTCCCTAGAGCCCAGCGTGCAATACACCCAATGAAAGAGATCTACCAGCTACGCGCAAAACATGGTGTTTTGCAACCATGGGAGTCGCCTTCAACAAAATACTTAACCAAGTGAACCTACAAGCTATGTTTAAAGCGTAGTAGGCTGTTAGAATCCACATTAAACTCGTATAATATTTCATCGCAACCATGCCAACATGTACAATAGAGTAAGCTAGGTCCCTTGAGAGGGTGGTAAGAAGAAAGGGTGATTACTGATGCGGAGAGATTGCCGCTCGGCAATTGAAAAACAGACGACGATTGTTATTTCTGTAGTGCCATCAGCCATTAAAGTATGGTAATAATATACGATTAAGCATCACTTTTTACATCATGATAGACATAGTATCCTATAATACCAGTTTATGTCATATATGTGCTTCAAATAGGAGAAAGGGGCTAAAACTAAACGGATTCGATCATGGAAAACTCGCTGTATCACATTTAAGGGTACTTAAAAAGTTCGTGGAAAACAATGGTTTGAAAAAAAGATCAAAGACATAAGAATTATTTTCATATATATGCTCTATCTAGGGCGATGCATTTCTCTGAACGCAGATACCTGCCAATAAGTCCATCTGTGTAAACTGAGCCATGCTTACCAATAATAATCGTAATAATAATACTGATAATATTATAGTAATATTAATATATTATATTATTATATAATTAATAATATTAATAATAATAATAATAATAATAATAATAATAATAATAATAATAATAATAATAATATTAATAATAATAATAGCGGTTTCAGCGTTTAGTAGGACGTAGGCTTGTCGCCGATTCTCAACATTACTGAACATTCACAGGATCACAGCATTTTGCGGTCTCGAACTCGCAACTCACTGCTCCAATTTTGCTTTGCTCAACCGCTCGACCTCCTTGTCGATTCTGACCAGAAACTGGTGCAGAGAGCTGGGATTGGTCCCGCGCGTCTCTGCGCCAATGTTGGTACTCAGAATGAAGAGAAGTCAGATGGAGCGGGGATGCCGAATGATTTCTCATTGAAATTCGCTTATTACAGCCCCTGACCATCAGACTGGGGCTGTGCAATGGCCTGCCTCTGTAGGGGCATCATTGGTCTCATTCCTTTCGCTTTTGGAACGACCAGCAACTTCCTTTCGCTTTTAAAAGTTGTAGGTTGCTGGTTTATTTGAAGTACTGTTACCATAAGCTTTCTCCATAAAGTCAATACTTTGGCTGTTCTGTTACCCAAGCTTTACCGCGAATTTAATGTTTGAGCTGGCCTCGATGTCCGCAGATGCCGCGTTGTATGAACCATTGATGCTTTCAGAGTAGCGCCGGAGCGCCCCGCGTTTGTAACATTAATTTAAGGGTTAAGGTGAGAACACGTTATAAAACATTGATACAGGATCGCTTTGGTGAATTGGCACCATATTATTTTCATAGAATTTTCAGTTATGTCCATTTTCCACGAACTTTTTGAAGCCCCCTCTTGGGCAGTGCGCGAGTGTATTTCGAATAACTTGGATCGTAGGCCGCAAACACCCAATATCTCGCAAACGACGATCAATCAGCATTCGATATTTTTTTTGCCCACACGGAAAATATTTTTTCAATCGAGAAAGTTGAATGAATGAATCCCGTTCATTCTTGTGCTATATGGCTCATGACATGTTTTGACAGATCAATTGAAATTGTGAATCCGGTTGAAAGAACTGCGTTAAATCATTGGCACCGATCTCTACTATTTATGCTTGATGAATGATTAAGCAAGTCGCGATCATAGGTCACTTTTCATCGTCCTAAAAAATTTAAAGATGATTGCACAGGCTTGAACGGAACGAACATTTTTCTGGCCGATCTTGTGACCGGTTTTACAATTCACAGGGACCAAGGATTCACAGGGACCAAACTATTTTGCGTCTTTAGATGAAACCTTGCTCACGAATTCATAAAAAACTTTCTCAGTGTTTTTGGATTATTTTTATTCTGACCTATTTAGGCTATTTTACAAATCATTTAGCTATATCAACCTCTCAGACGAATAGTTTGATTTAAATAAAAGTATCAAATCACCAGGAAATAGCATTCCAGATTCATTTACAATGAGTATTTGGGTTCAAAATTATCATAGCGCGATAATTTACGATATATAAATAGCGAAAGGTCATTCATTAGCTGCTGGCCCATGATCAATTATGTACCAGACGGACAAAAAAGCACCGATTCGACACTTCAGCAAACTCGCCTGCGAGCTCGAATGCAAAACCTAACTTAATTTTCAACTCTGGCACTCATAACTCCGTTAATTATGAACGGATTTTATTCAAATTTGAAATATAAGTAGATAATATCAGTAACTGGCGGAGGGAATTTTTTCAGATTTTTACATTAATAACTTTTTTGTTAATACGGAAAACCTAACTTAATTTTCAACTCTGGCACTCATAACTCCGTCAAATATGAACGGATTTTATTCAAATTAACAAAAAAGTTATTAATGTAAAAATCTGAAAATAATTCCCTCCGCCAGTTACTGATATTATCTACTTATATTTCAAATTTGAATAAAATCCGTTCATAATTAACGGAGTTATGAGTGCCAGAGTTGAAAATTAAGTTAGGTTTTGCATTCGAGCTCGCAGGCGAGTTCGCAGGCGAGTTCGCTGAAGTGTCGAATCGGTCAAAAAGTGTCGAATCGGTCAAAAAAGCGTGAACGTTAGCGAGGGCTATAGCATGGGAACGCTCTATCTTTCCAATAAGCATGGACTTAAATAAATGGTTTTACATGCTCATCTCCCATTAGCGGTAATTTCGCCCCCATACCCTTTGAATAAAATATATATATATGTAGAGCGCGTGCAAACCTTATTTATTCTGACCCGCTCACTGGGTCAGTATAGCTTTATTGCTCAATGAATTTTACTGTATTTTCATGAAAAAGAGGAAGGAAGTTACGAATATCTTTAGTTGATAATTGATGTTCATAACAGGTCTCGGTACCACTAATTAAAATGTAATCAATATATCAAGCCCAATTGGCATACAATGATGACAGAACAAAATGCACACTTTTAAAATTATAAATTTTATTCTTCATCGTGAGAAGTATACGTAATCCCTTATCAAAATGGGATTTAATTTCAAATTTAGAGAGAAATTTGCATTCACCCGTTCATGGAAGTAGTTTGCATTGGTGCGCTGTAGATTGAAAATGGTGAACCATTTACCCGCCGCACGCTGCTTAGTCTTTTGTTGTTATGGTGGTGTGAATTGCAGTGAGCGGAGTGAAACGTAAAATATTTAAATATGGTAGGTATATTTGTGTTCATATTTAATACTTGCTGCAGGTTAAATCAAATTTTTTGTTATAGTGCAATCGAATGTTTATTTATGCGCGTATTGTGGAGTTCTCGTGAATTCTTTAGCTATGAAGTGTGGCCGCTCGGCCCAAGGAGTGCCCAAAATCAAATCCTAATTCCTGAATAACTGGAACTGTTGAAGTGTTGACAACTAAATATATGTAACTCACATGCTCAAACAACTGTTGGCTTGATTCCCCACATCTTTCATTAATGGCTAAATACAAAATCAGAGTTTATTTCTAGCCCAAAGTGGCACTCTGTAGAATCCCTGCCAACCAAGTACCTAGCAAATAGACAAAAGAAACTTAGAAAGTTCTTGAAAACAAGATGGTGTCATGCTTATTCAAGTATTTTTGTTCATTTCCAAATAAAAACCCAATCAAATTAAGCTAGCCCATACCAGTTGGGTGAACTTATAAATAAAACTAAATGCCTACCATGCGATGAAGCAAAAACTGCCTGTATGCATTTTGGATGCTTTGTTCAGTTGTTGTCATTGTGATCCATCCATGGTTTGTGCCCATACCTACTTATGTTTGATAATCCTGGCATCCATGATACTTTACTGGTCAACTTGATAGCCTAGGACTCAAATAAGTACAAACTTGAGACTTGAGAGTTGAGGATGAGTCTGAAAATAGTCTTCACTTTGACTGTTTGACACAATGTCTGCCATCAATATCAATTGCAAGAGTTAATTTAAGGAATGTCATTTTGTTTATTCATGCTGCTGCTGGATTCTGCAGGTCCCAACATGGTGGCAAAGCAGAGATTGGACCAGCAAAGTAGGGTAAACGCGGTATATTCAGACATCGTGGGTAATTCCGACATATATTGAGCTTTGTCTTCATAGTGGCAAAGCAGAGAGTTTTTTAGACTCTCCCTCAAGTTCATTTTTGAGTCCTATAAGTAGACCAGTAAAGTATCATGGATACCAGCATTACCTTACATAAGAAATTGGTTTAAGTCTTGAGTAAATGAGGAAATTAAAAATGAATTGATTCTAAAAAATCTCTGGTTTGTCACCATGTTTGTCTTAGTTTCACGCATTTATTGATGGTTGAAATAGTGACGTCATACCTTTGCATGTCAAACTATTGCCAAAACACTAGGTTTGGGCTGTCTGGAGGGAAAATGTTGAGATCCAAAGAGAGACTGTGCATGCCACCCAGTGAGATCATCGAAAAATGCGTCAAAGTTGATAGGGTAAACGTGGTATATTCCGACACATTAAGGACGCATCGAGAAAAGAAAAACTATAAAAAAAACGTATATGTTACGTAAGTTCTGTTGCCTTCACATGACTCTCAAAACACTTCACTATGCGTCAGCAACGATGAAACGTCACGAAATGTTGTCATATTTATTAAAAAGCCTTTAGAATGGAAACCTACCAAATCCCTATATTCCGTCACTTTGTGTGGCAATATTCGACACGTGGTGAGTACTGAGTCGTATTGCATCAGCGCTTCAAATTTAACTGGTACGTATTGCTGACATCCACGTGTTTGAATTCCGTTTGCTGTGTGAGCTGTATTGGGATACAACACGGCTTTGAATTAGAACACTAACGAATATTGAACTCTACTTAATTACGTTTTAATTAACAGCTATTAGCTTTTAATTAAGCAAATTTCAATTTTTGTACAAAGCTTTGAACGATCTGTGTGTGTCCAATTCAAGTTGTGTCGGAATTAGTTTTCATGTGTCTAAATCCATCTCTCAACTTAATCATCTATTAATTTATTTACGACTTGAAATCAGCGAATACAAGTATACTTAAAGGATTCCTAATATATTCACAGACGTATTTAAAAGTCTCAAACCATAATATTCTTCCTGTAAAAACAGTTATTCACTATTTGGTAGAGCCATGTCAACTGTCAAATTTGACACATTTTTCGATGATCTCACCACGTGGCATGCATTGTCTCTCTTTGGATCTCAATATTTTCCTACTAGATGGCCAAGACCTAGTGTTTTTGCAGTATTTCGACACACATTTTCATGGTAATATTGTATCATAGTTACGTCATTATCCTGTATAGCTTGCTGCAAATGTATGACGTCACCATTTCAATCATCAATGAATGCATGGAACTAAAACAAAGCTTAATATAAAGGAAAAGCTGGAGAGGTGACGGAATTACCTACGATGTTGGAATATACCGCGTTTACCCTAGTTGACCTTGCTCTACCAAATAGTGATAAACTGTTTGTGTAGAAAGAATATTATGGTTTGAAACTTTTAAAAATGTCTGTGAATATATTAGGAATCCTTTAAGTATACTTGTATTTGCTGATTTCAAGTGGTAAATAAATTAATAGATGATTGAGTTCAGAAACGGATTTCGACACATAAAAACTAATTACCACACAACTTGATTTGGACACACACAGCTCGTCCCAAGCTGTGTGCAAAAATTAAAATTTTCTTTATTAAAAGCTTAATAGCTGTTAATTTAAAGCCTAATTAAGTAGTTTTCAATATTCAATAGTGTTCTAATACAAAGCCGTGTTGTATTCCAATACAGCTTGCACAGCGATCGGAATTTGAACACAAGGATGTCTGAATTACGTATTAGTAGAGTTTGAAGTGCGGCCGGAATTCGTCTTGCAACGTGCTGAATTTAGTCACACGCAGCGTCGGAATATAGGGATTTGGTAGGTTTGCATTCTGAAGGCTTTTAGATAAATATGGCAACACTTTGTGACATTTCATTGTTGTTGTTTTGAGTCACGTAAAGCAAACAGAACTTGAGTAACGCATATGGGTATTTTTTATAGTTTTTCATTTCTCGATGCGTCTTTAATGTGTCGGAATATACCGTGTTTACCCTATCTTGGAGACCAGCATTATCATTCACAAAATATTGATCTAAATTTTGAATAAAGGAGAAATTAATAATGAACTGATTCTAAAAAATCTCTGGTTTGCCACTACTGTCCTAAAGTGGAAAATTGGCCAGAAGCCACCTGTGAACTGGACAAAAACACCTGTGTATCTGGCCTGTTTCACCCATCCCTATGGGCCTATTTTGACCTGTATTTTCCAAAAATGTTCTCTGAAACAACCATTTTAACCCATTACAGTAGGCAGGGTGCGTACCAGTTATGGAAAACCTGGAAAGTCATGGAATTTGATTTTTCATTTTCCAAGCTTGGAGAAAGTCATTGGGTTTCATTTTAGGTCATGGAGAGTCGTGCAACAAAAGGCATTTTGATTTCCCTTGTTAAGGTTGATGTTGGTTACATGGCCAGGACCGCAATGAAAAAAAAAAAACAGCTTGCAGTCTAGAAGGCAAGTGCACTGCAAGTTCTCACTTTCAAAGCAGCAGGTATCTGACATTGAAACAATGTTGATTATTGGTTGATATCAGGTTGAAATGCTGAACAGCCAAAATTAAATGTCCAATCAACATAAAAATCTGACCAAAATTAGAACTGATATAAAACAACCTTATTTCAACGTTGAAACAATATCAATATTGGCACGTTGAACATTTATTTTTAAATGTTCATTTGATGCTGATTTCCAGTTGAAATGCTGAACAACCAATATTAAATGTCCGATCAACATCAAAATCTGACCAAAACTAGAAAGGACATAGAATAACCTTATTTCAACGTTTAAAAATGGTTGATATCGGTGCATTGAATATTTAGCTATTTACCAGCATCAGGGTTGGCGATTTTTTTGATTTTTTTAAAAAAATCAAAAAAATCGAAAATCAATGATTTTTTTTTATTTTTTCATGATTTTATTGATTTATTTGATTTTTTTGATTTTTTCAACTTTTTTGTCTTTCTGAAGTGTTATTTTTTATGTTGCAATTAGCCTACTAACAATAACAGTATATGGATCATAATGGATGGCTAAAAAGGGCTCTTATTGCCTTCAATAATGGCCAACATTACCTCGCCATATGTGTGAACGTGCTATAGAAAACTTCCGAAAACGACCCCAACAGTGTGATGCAGCTAACAAACCCCATCTTCCTGATATTGTTTTCAAAACATAAGTATTTTAAATGGTATGTTATGATAATCTTGAGGAAAAAAAACTTTCTTCTTTATGTACCTCCATTACTCTTTTATTTTGCCTCAAAACTGTTCAATCAGTTCTGCCCCACCCTGTATAAGCTAGCTAACACATTTAAAGTGTATATTGTAATCAATATATAACAAATAGTCAAATAGTTAAAGACTACTTATAGGTAGCCTTATAAGAATTAGCTAAGCTGCTAGCTATGTACAATGTATTGTACACTTGATGCCTCTGTACCAAAAACATTCAATTTATTGGAACCTAATACACACTAAAGGCAACAAGTTTATGTACCAATTTGTCATTCATAGTACATTTATACTAAGCCATGAATAACAATACCTCAATATAAATTAAAGACTGCCGCTCAATATATTTAAATATATGAAAAAATCAAAAAAATAAAAAAATCGAAAAAATCAAAAAAATCATGATTTTTTTATAAAAAAATCAAGTGATTTAATCACATGATTTAATCATTTTGATTTAATCATTGCCAACCCTGACCAGCATGAAACTAATGTTATCATACCAACATTGAAATACATTCCATTGAACATTGAAATTGAACATTGAAACATTGAACATTGAAATACATACATATATATTGGTGTAGTTTGGCAGAAGTTTCTCTTTTATGCAAGTTTGATTGAAGACCAGAGCATGCTTTTTATTTACAATCTTCTTGTTAGTCTTTTCAATGATTCAAACCATATTTCTAGCTGGAGCCGGGAGATCGAAAAGCAGGTTTCTGAATGACATTTTAATAGATAACGACGTTTCAAAAATGCAATTTTCATTATCAAGCTGGTGAAGGTTTTACAACACTTGAAGTTAAATTTTGGGAATGACAGAAGTACATATGAATGGTATAATGGATTCAATTTAGTAATTGTACTGTTGTATTGACACTGTTGACAAACTGTCTCACTTTGCTTGTTAATGACAAGAGATTCTCTAACACAGATTTGGATGGTGTTATGTGGTGAGATGTGCAACTTTAGAGACGAATCACAACATTGTAGTAAAATGAACACACTGTTTCAAGCATTATCAACTTCTGATTGACTGGACACTTTGGCATGCCATTCTGTCAGAATGCACCTACAAGAAGCTCTGGAATGTAGTGCAGATGCTCATGCTCCTGTCTCGTGGCCAAGCCACAGTTGAAAGAGGGTTTTTGTTCAACAAGGAAATCATGACACAACATGAAAGAGCAAACATTGGTTGCCCTGCATGCTGTGGTTGATCATGTTGCACAAGTTGGTGGCCTGGACAAGATGATCATCACCAAGAAGATGCTGCTTGCAGCTGGCAGTGCCAAAACAGCCTACAATAATTATTTGACAGAAGAGAGAGAGCAGAATGCAAAAGCCTAGAAAACCCCAGAAGGGAAGGCTTTGTTGGATGAGCTAGATAAACTGAAGAAGAAAAGGCATATGGAGGAGGGGCCGGGGTCTGGAGGGCATCAAGGTGCTTGAGCAAGGCCCTTGATACTGTTAATGCTGATGTTGCCACAGCTCTCGAGTGGCTGAAAAATTTGGAATATTTGTCTGAATTTCTCCAAAATTGTGGTAGAAAGCATCATTTTATTTTCATGAGAGGTTATGGCTTTATGCTAGGGCAATAAAAATAGGTGAAATTGACTGCATTTCACCTGTAAGTACAGACATTTTCATCTCATTCACAGCAACGGGTGTGAACCATAATAACAATTTCAACTCTGCTAAAACAACAGAAACAACAAAACTGAACCAGATCTATCTATTCTGATCAAAAGAGATTTATAGTCAACATGTGCTCATCAACCCCACAAATTGTAGTTCTGACTCCATCAGGAATCCCATTCTGAATTTACTAAGAAATGGCAGGTATGAACAATTATTTCACAGGGGATTCCATGAAAATTGTGAAGTAAATAGGCTGCTGTTTGTTTTTCACTCAAGAAATTGGGAAAAGGCCATGGGAATGGGTAAAATTTTCCACTCTTGGGTGTTCTTGTTCAATGGACTGGTGGCTTCTGTCCAATTTTCTAGTTTAGGCTCTGACCCAGGGTGCAATGATTAGGTGAATATTTAAAGTTACTTGGTAACACGTCAGCTTCAAAATTGGTTTTCTTCAGATCTTGCCAACACAGTTTGTATTAATAAACTATTTACATGTATTTTTGTCAAAAAACAAATCTTCAAGGTTTATGCTGTTCTGGTGATAATTCTTCAATAGACCTGGCAACACGTTGGGCCCAAACTTTGATATTAGCAACACAGTTACCAAACTCAGCAAGATGGGTTCTGATATTATATATGCAGTTTTAGTGATGACAACATAGCAGTGAGCAATGCAAGATAGGGAATTTGAATGGCATAAATGTTGCATCTCCAAAGGGACACATGTTTGATATTGTTGATATCTCGAGGCTCATTGTGCTTCTATTGCTGTATGGTGGCAAACGATAAACTTTAGTTAGGTAAATGCAAATAGACTTGCAAAAAGTACTAAAAACAAATGTTGAAATTTAGTTTTGTGATGATTCCAATGCATGATAGATTTTCAAAGGTGATTTAAAAAAATTACTGGTGAAAATAGTTTTTTTTCACTAAAGGAATTGGGAAGAGCCATAGGAATAGGTGAAATTGCTCAGTTGCTTGGTTTTTGTCCAATTCATTGGTGATTTTTGCCTAAGGTCAAATATATCCGAACCCCAGAACATATAGGGTTTCAAGTTCTATGATGGAGTAGATTGACTTAGGTTGCTGTCAACTGGGGTGACTTAGGCCACTGGGGGCGACTATGGCCACACCTACAACAGGGACGAATGGCAGCAAAACAAAATAATGAATGTTGGCCAAAGTCACCCTGGTGGCCAAAGTCACCTCAGTCACTTTGCATAATGCTTATTATTTTGTTTTGCTGCCATTTGTCTCTGTTGTAGCCTTGTAGGTGTGGCCAAAGTCACCCCAGTTGACAGTAGGTACCTATTTTGGACAGCAGATTGTTTGAAATTAAAAAAATAATTATTTGAGGAACTAATATCAAAGTCGACTGCAAAGTAAAAGGATTGTTAGATCCAGGATTGTTGTATTTTTTTTCACCTGACTTCAACTCATCTAATGCCAGTAAATAAATATTCTATTCATGCCAAGTATTTTCAACATTTAATGAAAACCCTTCATTATTGATGAAGTGTGGCATTTCATCAATCTTGCCACATCATGGTAGAAACCAAAACTTGCAAGATGCTCAGATTTACTATTGATTAATAACTTGCCTGATAATCAGCCTCCTAGTTGTTAATTGTAAATAAATTTTTATGTTCCTAAGTTTTTATTGTTTGCTAAACATTTTGCATGCCAGCATCCTGATGGGAAGGTTCATCAATCAAAAAGTGAAGGCTTTTATTTTAGCTATATATTTTCACTTGGATGTTACACGTTGTGTCTTAGCCCTCTATCAACAAATGAAAATAATTAGTTATCTCTTGTGAATCTATATTTACATCGTATTTTTTATGTGCAGGCCCGCACCAAGGCTACCATTCGTACCCGGAAATTCATGACCAACCGCCTGCTGTGCAGGAAACAAATGGTGAGGGAGTAAAAATGAACTGCACTAAGCAATATATTGAATTAATTAATATAATGCTCTTGCTGCTTGATTCCATTTTAATTGGTCTAAGTGATGAATATGCATGATGATTTTATTTTGTACATTGGTCATATTGTAATTTTAATCCCAGTAGAGTTTATATTTTTAGAAAGTTGAGATGGGCGATGCCTTCTTGTGACGTAGTTGAAAGGTTTTATTTTTCGTTGATGTTTGGAATAAATTTACTTTGTTGACGCGATATATATGTATGAGAAACATTTGCAAGTTTTGTTTTTTAATGCAGGTTGTGGACGTGCTCCACCCTGGACGCCGTGTTGTTGCCAAGACGGAGATCCGTGACAAACTTGCCAGAATGTACAAGGCATCAAAGGACACAGTTTTCCCATTTGGGTTCCACACTAAATTCGGTGGTGGCAGAACTACAGGTTTTGCTGTAATTTACGATTCATTGGGATATGCCAAGAGATTTGAACCCAAATACCGCCTTGTCCGAGTGAGTTCAGTGTTTCCTAGGTGCCAATTGCATACCGCTTTTACACGGCTAGGTTATTTGAAAACTATAGTTTTCATTAAGTTAGTGACTGATTTGGTGAACTATATTTTTTAATTCAATATTGGCAGTGACTAGCTGGCTGTAAGCTCAAGGGAGAGTATGAAATCGGATCTTATATACCTATTTCGTAATAATGAATTTCGCCGAACCCAGTATTTCTTTTTGCTAATAATGGTAGTTTTTTTTTGTCAACGCTGCTAATGCTATGTTGTTTGTGATTTGCTTACCTAATCGCAACAGTTTGAATTTCATACAATTTCTGAAGTTGTTGAATGAAACGGTGAATATTTTCCACTCTGATTAAATCTTATGCTGTGAAATAACGTTTGTGCGCATTAACTACGCCAAGCAAGTGTCAATGTGAAATTGTGAATCTCTATTGAAAGGAGCCTTTAGGCGTAAAACCATAGTTGACTTTACATAAATTGCTGAATGTGATGTGTGAATGTGAGATTACCTTGTATATTTTTAATGTCACTCTGTTTTGTGAGAAACTAAAATGATTTACCCCGCTGGCAGGCCGGGTTAATTGAGGTCAAGAAAGTGGCCCGCAAGCAGCGCAAGGAACGCAAGAACAGGATGAAGAAGGCCAGAGGTACTGCCAAGGCCAAGCTCGCCTCTGCCACCAAGAAGGTACGTGGTCAATTCATTCATTTACTGGAGTTTTTTTTATGGCCATGTTTTCCACAGGCGTTCCTTTTTTTGCCCGACTTCTAAATGCCATTTTATTATTCTCTGAAATATTTGTTTTTAATTGGTTTGTTTCATGAAATACGAAGCAGATTCCCGGCTTGAATATCCTTTAAAATGTCGCCTCTTTCAGGATGGCGTTATTTATGATTTAAATTCGACCTTTTTCACAAAAACGAATATTATCACAAAATTTTTATCGACAATAATAAAATCATTCTGTTTCATTATGTATGCTTCTTCTTTTCCTGAAACATTACCTAATTTGAATAATTTGTTTCGATTCTTCCCTCTTCTTTTGTTAACATGGTGTTGAATTGCCCATCATTATTTCTTGATAGTTTTCATTCATTCACTAATCGTGTTTTATTTCAACTGATTTCCAGCCTTGCTGGCGAAAATTGATATTTGATACATGAAGTAATGTTATGTTTCTTTCTTTGCAGTAAGCGGCGCCTCGGCTGCAGTAAAGGAAAAAAAAATACGTTTCTCATTTATCCTTATGACATTATCCTGAGATTTATAACGCTACTAGGAATCATTTTTCAGTTGAAATTTCGAAATTTTAGAGGAATTGATAATTTTGTACCAAATTACACATACTGAATGTTGGAATCACCGAGTAGATTAGTTATAGTGTTGAAGGGACAAGCTGACCTATGTATTCGACTTAGAAAAAGTATCATATAACAATTGAAAGCAAAGTATGCTGAATCATGCTACAAAATGCTAAGACTCCATCTCAGTCATACTCCCGCTATTCGAATGGCTATTCTATTCTACATTATATGAAAAGCTTGCTGTTGCATACATTTGTTCTACATATATATACCCCCTACCTTGAAGTGGACGAATTATTTTGAGATGCATTTGTCGCGGACACGAGAGTAAAGGTGCCACTCTTGGAACAAGCGCATCCGTCATTCCGAGACGTAATACTAGAAGACGAGTTCTAGGTATTGTATTGTAGCCTCGTATGATCTCGGAAATTGTTGTTACGAAATCAACTATTTTGGCTGGGTCAGGCTCGCTAATTTTTGTACAGAGTGATAAGTTGGCAAATGCTATTGAACCCTTTGTTCGAACACTACGGTTTACTATTATCTTGATTTTTCATACACAAGTCATGAATATTTTTTTATACTAAAGTTTCAGGACCACCAATGGATTGGCCTACCCGTCTAGCTAACCTAAAGACTACGGCCATGCCTGTTAAGTAATAATCGTTTTTTTACTAGCGTCTGATAATGGGAACAATGATCTTAATAGTTGAGAATGTCGTTTAAAGTCGTGCTCTAAATAGCGTTTCCACAAGTGGTTAACAGTTTCGTTGTCATCCAAGAAAGGCGAATGTTAGCATTGTTCAGTGAGGAAAAGGCTTGGCTGGAGAGTTGAAGATTGCTGTCGTTGGTTGAACGCTGATTAGCTGGAGCCTCCGTAGAACTGGATGAGAACCACAAGGTACGTCACCACCGTGTTCACAACCTGCATCAATGAAATGAAGTATGAATACCACTAGCAAAACGTGACCGTCCTTGAATATCTTGTTGTAGAAGATGGCGAAGTCGATCCTTTAAATATCGTGCCCATTTTGTTGAGTACGATTTCACGCTTTCCGAGTGGATCTACAATTTATAGCTCTGTAATTAACAACAGTATAACCTGAGAAGTAAGAACAAATAAAAAGTGTTTTTGGAGACTCAATTCCCAGTTCTAATACAGTAATTGCGATATGATTTGTAGGATCTAATGCTGAATTAAATTGTTAACTATTATCCATCGTGTGAGTCATAATTGCAGTCAGGAATGTATTCACTCTACACCACACAAACTTCGTTCAGGTTCGTGTACGTTTTATACGCCGTACGTTTAGCAGCTCCTCATAAGAAACGAGCGTATGATAATTATACAATACACCTCAATGTCTATGATTGGGACGTCATGAGTGAGGACAACATTTTAATTGAGCTTCGTTACACGTTCGATATCATGTAAATTTTTCTTTCACGGGACGTAATGAATAAACAAGTTATTGCGCGCATTACTTATTACTTAGATTAAAGCCGCGCAACTCGTTCACAAGTCCGCCCCCAAAAAAGACTCGAGTTTGTCGTTATGCTGCACTGGTTGCTCACCGTGGTCGCCATCCCTTTGTTGAGCGTAAAGAATCCTTGCCCCTCAACTTGAGCGTCCAGCCTGTCCACGTGATCGATCAAGGTTGTCATCTGCGAAACCAAGAAAACTCGTTAACAAGGGTTATCGGACTCGTATGTATGAAAGTTTTTGTAAATGATCGGATAAAAACATTACTACCGCATAAACTATGTCGCAATCAAATTTGTCTCCAAATTGTTGGAACTCGATAGAGACAATCAAATTCCCGACAACAATAATATTAACTACGGGTAAGAAATCCTTCACTATAAATACAACAAAGGGTAAACGCGTATCCACAATAGTACGTGTCAAAAAGATATGAAATAAGATTTAAAAATTTGAGTGTCGAATCCCAAGGTATCACTAGAATTAGATTTAAGTATAAAAATTTGCTTGCGAATTTAAGAAAAACTTAAATTACATTTGAAGTTAGTTTTTCTTTCATTTTTAATTAGGTGGTTAGCTCGGCGTTGCCCGGGCGGCGCGACAATCTCTTTAATATTTAAATCATATTACCTCCTAATAAACCGTTCAAACTCACATTTGGATAGAACGAAGAGCTCTCCAATCAACTCTTCTTTCAAGATATGATGCAAAATTTTCTTATTTACAACTTAAAAAAATTAATTCCCAGTTGTATATTATTCCCACACGAAGCGTATCGTGGAAACGGTTTGGTTACGAGTTTGGATAAAAATATATTAGATTATCCAAGCGAATGACAACGTTTTAGTGGAGTAAACATGTTTCATTGTAATACTGGGTTGGATTTTAAGAACTTAAATTCAACTGACATAAACTTGATTACGACTTTGTTGAAAAAATTATTTTAATTCCAAAACCCGGAGTTAAATTATATATTTTTCAAAGGCAGGTATTGAACATCTCTTTCTATAGGGTAACATGTGGCAGCGCGCCCATCCCTTTTTTTAAACTAAAATTTTGATAAAGTTTTAATTGATACGATGTAGTTCATTGTTTTGTTTAAAGTTGCCACTAATGAGGAATGTATGATGTGAATTAGAAGGCTATAGAGTTATTCAATTTCTAGTGAAAGACTATATTGTAAAAAGTGTCAAAATGGGCCCATTGCCCCACTCCTGGGGCAATGGGCCCATGGGCATGGGGCAAGGCGTCCACCCCTAGTCCCTCTACCTCAATTGCATGTTTTTTTTTTGTTTTAAAGATGATGAAACAACACCTTACAGTTTAAAATAGGAAAAATGTAATAAAAAATATTAGTACATTCACTCATTTATTAACAACTAGAAAAATTATATAACTTGAAAAAAATATTTCCTTCACATAAAAATCTATATCCTTGACTTTAAAATTATATCCATGCCATAAAAATTCATCATTGACATGAAAAAATGTATCCTTGACTAGAAAAAATATATTTACTTGACAAAAAAAAAACTTCGTTCCAGTTTCATCCAAAATCCAGATATTATGTGCAGGGAATTCGTCGTACTTGATCCTGATTTCAGCCAAGGATGTAGTTATCGTACCTAAACAAAGAATTCCAGGTTGCTTTATCTTGCCGTCTTTGGGCCGTCGCAACGTTTACTTGGCAATTTTAACTCTTGGTAATTTGTCATTCATAATTTCCTCCAAAACATTCTAAAGTTCAGTTTAAGAATAGTTGGGTATTTGGTCTTCCTTTTATAGTTGCGCATATTGTTGTAAGGGTGAAAGAGAGATAAGAGGTCATAAGTACGCAGAATTAGAAACTAAAACCTGCCGCCTTGAGGCGGCAAATAAAAAAAATCATACAATATGAAATGTAATTTGTAATTCAGAGAGCTAGTCATTGTTTTGAAGCGCTCATTGAGACAAATTTAAAGATGTATAACACAAGACTTCACAGAGGGGTATTGAGCCCCCAATGGGCGCTATGCTCCGTGACACGCGTGGGCCCGTTGCCCCACTAGGTATCATTTCAATTTATATCGTGTCAACATTTTAGTTTAAAAGCTAATAGTCTAAACTTGATCTCGAAATTATCCCCGTAAATAATAATTTCAAAATATAATTCACAGTACTTTCAAAAGTTTCATATAGAGTAATTGAAAACAATTTTTTTACGACTGCAAAAAACTTTTATCTGGGCTAAAACAGTTATTGGCGAGTAATTTATCAACGCAAACTCTTAGCAAAACGTAGAGCCGTACACTTCAGCCCAGTGAAATTGTCGACTGGCGGTAGAGCGCACGGACCAATATCTGACATACTTAGCGGGAAATCCGCTATAGGCCCATGACCCGCAGTGGTCCCGTTGCCCCATGTTATCCTATCCTTATATTCCATTTCAAGTTAATTGATTTCAAAATTATTATAATAGTTGTTAACAGCAAAATCTCAGTCAATATATATACGGCAGCAACAGGGGATCACTTCCTAATATTTGAAAAGTTTTTTCAAGAGTTGAAAATACTCATTCCTACAAAAGAATTTATTTCACGAGAGAATATTTTGTGGCCTTGTGGTTATATCAGTCCTACCGTTAGAAGCCGTAGAAAATATTAAATATCCTGGTATACCAGTGAAACCAAAATTGGATCTGCCACGTTGCCGATGCGTATTTGGCAGTGCTGAGTCTCTCATGGGCATTTTTAGCGCATTTTCTCATTTATGGAAAAAATGCACTATTGTGCTCGCCATGTCCGTCTGTCTGTCTGTCTGTCCGTCCGTGATTTCACGTTTTCGTCAACGAGAAAATGCGCTTTCTGTCATTCACATGCAGTGAGTACTGAGTTATTTTTTTAAAAGTGGACATAGTTACACAATTTTCACCAGCAGAGACGGGTTACTCCGTTTGTCGTTAACATAAATCTGTGGCCAAAATCTGGCCTCGAAGATGTTACTGTCGTCACTGGCAAACCATCATTACACGAGTTCAGCCCTGACCCAGATCGTTGTTACTACGGTATAAAGTGCTGGAACAAAGCAATGAACTACGAGAAGAATAATCATGTCATTAACTCCCACGCTTCTCTCACAGTACCAAGTCTCACAAAATGCTAGGAATTTCAGAACAGCTTCTTCTGATTTGCATTTTGAACTAAGAAGTCGACCGACAACGGAGCCTGGCGTCAATATTCTCCGCTGGCTGGCGTGCTGACGACAGGGTTTTTAGTATCATTGTTGTTAAAGGAGAAATGAAGGTGGGAAGATTTTCTTCTTGGCCTTTGTCGGACTTGGGGAACGATGGCGAGGAGTGCATTAGGGTGGGGAATCGTGGCAGTAACTTCTGTCCCGATGGTTTCAAGTTTTCCAGTCTCAGTGGATAATTATGAAGGGAACTGATACTTTGGTTCTAAATTATGATGCGTGAGTCATAAACTCGCCAAGTGTTTAATGTCTTCTCCTAATAGACAGTCCAACTTTACCAGGATTCTTTTTAAATTATCGTACCCTTAACACAGTAACTCAGAGCTCAGATAAATAGTGTTTTTAATTATGTATTTATTTTTTATTAAATTGCGAATATATTATAGATGACGTTGCAATTAGCCGGGTTCAATTATTGCTGAGATTAAAAATCCAACACTTTAATCCTCTTTCCGGCTGTTGTATAATATTTTTTATTCTTTCTTAATGTTAAATACAGATAGGTCCAATGAAATTCTCATCAGACAAAAAAAAAACAACCTATTTCATTCCAGCTAAAAAATTAAAAGGGAATTTAATGTTATTTTAAAAATAAATTTGTATTTTTATCAAGTTTGAGCCAAGTTACATTTCTATTCATATTACGGTGTCTCATGATTCCATCACTAACAAGAAATTTTATATCAGGCATCATCCTGACACAATAGATGTTGCGGATCTACCGTTGAATAACTTTATGTACTAAATGCTTTTGTATACCAACTGCGTCAGGCAAGCGAACAAACGCAACAATATTCTAAATAAACTTATAGAAAATAAAAGATTAAGAAATGTGCGGCTAAAAGGCATATATGAAATGCGATTTATTTATTAAACTTCTTTTCACGTGGAGGGTAGCTCTAACAGCTGCGAAAGAGGCCCGCATATCTAAAGCATATCTCAATCAATCGTCAGCTAAGGAAAGATCGGGTTCCAAAGGCAGGATCCCTTGTGAATCAAGTCACGAAAAGTTCAAGAATCGGCAACAGGCCATGGGCCTATTTCTCCAACGCCGACACTTCTATTCTATTCTAATATACTTTAATTGGACCAAGATCATACCTTGTGCGTGGCAGCTTCGTTGCTCATAGCGCCCTTCAGCATGATCAGCGGCTCGACCAAAGAGCGTTTCTGTGGTGTTGCAATAAAAACTTTATACATAAGTTAGTATAATAAAAAACTTATCAATATTTATTTTATTTAATTAAAAATTACTAAAATAACAGTGATTTGTGTTTCATTGATATATTTTTGTTGAAATTGAAGAACTCATGAAAAATCATAGTTACTGAAACAATGTTCACTAATTAATATAATGAACGTTGTCCTATTAAATTTTGATTTAGCAAATGTTTCGAACATAGATCTGAAACATGTGCTGGCAAATGTTCCATTCATCTCTTCAAACTGATTTTACAAACTTGTAGTCAGTAAATCTTCGTAGCATTCTTATGACATTTATTTTATTCTCCATAATTCTTTTGTCATTGTTCCATAATTTATGACGACCATTGACACCTCGAGTGCACCCAGTGGTCCCCAATGAGCCGTACGTCCGCTGCAAAACTCGTTCCCGGACCCCTAGACCGACCGGCCCAAACTCCGATCTCCTCAACATGTCATTATCGTAAATCAAGCGCTGAAAAAGCTTCTATCGCCTACAAGATCCATCTGTTTTTAACGCATCAATCCAAAGATGTAATTCTCGAAACCTCACAAACAAACAGTGACCCAATTCTCCCCAAGACAAGAAGTTACCGCAGCTTCTTCTTGCCCGTACACAAGAATAACCAATGAAATATGGTCTCGACGTCGGGCAAGAAGTTATTAGCTCACGCTCGAGATAGACGCAGAAGTTAACTTGCGAGCAGAAAAAAAGAGATCGACGCAAAATATCCGTGAACTTCATTTAAAAAAGACCAGCATCAGAGACGCGTCACTTAGTAAGTTAAGCCGTTACCGTCACAAGACTTTAACTGATGGTGCGACCGATTAGATATGTTCGTGAAGCCACGTCGTTCAAACTGGGCCGCGCTGGCAGTCTTGTCTGAATAAAATGAGTTATTCCGCAGTTCAGGACTACAGGACCCATTTCCTGGCTCTCTGATTCTCCATCCACGCGGTGAATTTCATATTTTACAGCTCTCGTTTCGCGAGAGGGTGACGGGAAGACGCCCTAGTTCCCGAAAGCTCATTGGTTGTAAATTCAAATCCGCTAGATGCAAGTGATTGTTGGCATCGTTGTCCGCTTAAATCCGTCCTATAGTCTCGACAGCGGGAGCACTCAAGCGTGAAACGCGCCAGCTATGAATCTTTTTATTGGCTTCATTGGCATTTTTAAACGATAAAGCGATCGATATCTCAGTTGATTTACAATAAAAAAATTTAAACAACACTTCTTGATCGAAAATTTGTCGATTCGTAGATTGATTATCCTGAAATTTTTACACTATGTTAACGGTTAATTATTGAAAACACAAATTTTGTTTAATTTTGGGTCCAAAAATTCCGCCACCATTCATGAGGAGTCGTCAAAAACACTATCTCGTCAATGCTCTAAGATCTGCACTCCAAAGAAATGTTCTCGGTGCACTCCACGTCTGCGGCTAGAATCTGGATAATTGGTTTGTGCTCGTGCATCAAAACTTAATTTTGACGTCGCCAGTGACTCAGACGACACGCAAAAATCTATATCTTTATTATATATTATTCCCCATGCTATTAATTATTATAGCATGTACATGGATGATTTATTAGAGCTATTTACATGAATGGTTTATCAAATATATGTACACGGTTATTTATTAGAGCCATATTCGTGGATGGTTTTAGTCTAGAACCAAATTTTACAGCTCGCTTTGACGTTTTTGCTGATACGCTGGTCGGTCTCCTAAGTTTCAGCTGATGGATATCACGGACGAAGAGTAATCGGATGAGGTAAAAAAGTGATTGCAATAACGGAATGGGCAAAAATTAGACAAATTTTGAGACATTCTAGCTTTTTTCAAGATGGGCGAATATTGGATTTTAGGTGAATAAACTCAAAGTTTCTGTAGATTAAATTTTCTGTTTGGAGGTATCTACATCAGCAGAAATTGTTTGGTATTCGCTATCTCAAGATTAACTAATTATGGAGATTAAAGATTATCTGAATATATTAACAGGATTACATATAGTAGCCCGAAAAAATATGAGATAAAAATCCAAAATGAAAAAAATACGGTCGTTAATTAATTGAAATAAAGGTACTGCCTAGGACATCTGAGGCCAGTCGTCAACATTCGAATAGCCAATTTGTAATACTACTGTAAAAGACGTTCGGTAAACAGTGATTGGACGAGGAGAATAAATATTTTGTATCGGGCAATTAATTGTTGTTAATATAAATTTTGCAACCTTAACCCTTCAGTGGGTAAGACACCCTAAATAATACCTCTTCACGTCCCGTGTTTGTGTTATATATGATAAATTTCAACACACACATCAAACAATATATTTAAGGTGAGCAGTGGTTAGGAAAAGACCAATCGACCAGAAATGATCAGACACTTATCACTCTACACGGTTTTTACATTCATTCGAAAAAATAATTTTGGAATCTTGTCCAACCACTGATTCTATTGCCAATCATGTCTCACTAATGTTTGCGGTGTCATTAGCTTCTGGTTGCTATCGTAACTCCATGATGGGTAGCTCCTACGTGGAAGTATTACTAACTTGGTGGAGCATATAAAGAACCATTTTGCTATAAGATAACGGCGTTTTGAAATATTGAAATAGGCAGCATTTGTACTTTAAGCCACAAGATTTTAAGATTTTAGATATAAATTGTTAGTGATTAAAATAAATTGTTAATTTTTTTAAAATCAAATAGAACTTCAGTGAGCATCGGAAATTAAGTTGCTGTCTAGAGATGAAAATTTCACTCTCTGTTCGGCATTAAATCATGAATATGATATCGCTCTAAGAAATACAATTAATCCAATGATATTCAATCATTTGAAAATTTGTTAGTTTTCCTTTATAATTACTTGTGCGATATTTGACCACAGTGACCGTATATGATGAAACAGGAAACCGTGATTTACGCTCTAAACGCAACCAATCTGGAAAATTGTTCATAAGTGATTATATATTCGTATATTAATTTATAATTTTTTTGTCCGCGGGTCAATATTAATCTTGAAAATTATCGAATGCCTGGTAGATTTCTAATGTAATTTCAGTGCTCAAGTTAAATAACTTTACTATGAACTAAGCCGCAAGAAATATGTTGTTCAAATAAATTTTTTTATCCTTGAGTCATAACCTTCAAATGCAGACTGTTCAATAATGGCGGGACGTTAAAGTAATAGGTCATATCGTCGCGATGCTTTTAACAAGCTGCCAAAGCCCCGTTGTCTTGTCGCCTTCAGATCGCATCAGTGAAGAACGACTGGCCTGGAAGCCGCGCGTCGGCCGGCGAAAGTAATTGAAAGCAAACATAGAGCGTTCGTGCCGCCTGAGTCACTCATGCATGGTCGATTGTCGGAAGGAAAATTAGGATTGGAATGATTTTTAAATTCTTGTAATTTGATGACTTTAGCAAAAATCTTTTGTTTGATTATGTAATTCATTAAGTCTTTGAGTATCATTCTTTGTTATTTTGCACAGTCATTGTTTTCTCGGGAAGTTTTCAGGCTTACTTTGTTCTCGACCTCCTCGCTGTAGATGGCGCCGATGAAGATTGGGGCGATGGCCTGAAGAGAAAGAAGTCCAAAGCTCAAGGGGAAGTACCAGTCGGAATAGTCGAGCATGGAAACGATGGTCCAGTAGAGGAAGCAAATCAGCGAAATAATATGATGAGGAATAATAACCAGCATCAGAGGACCCATTATTGCCTTGAAACGTTTGATCAGCTTCACGATATCCAGAACAGCGTCCTGAAGTCGCCTGATGTCTCCGGTAACCATGTATTTGCGGGCGGTGTTGTCACAGCACGCGCTGAAATTCGTACATTCGACGATGTGGTCAAGCTGGCTTCGAATTTGGTGCAGACACAGAGAAATAATTTTTGAGTTCATTACGACCCACAGAATTGGAGTTGAGAGCGTGAAACTATAGATGACATAAACATATATCAAAGACAACATCCTACCCACACCGTCGTTGTTTCTAATGTTGAAGCGAAGCTCGTTCAGCACGTTCACAACGAAGAACAAGACATACGAGCAGCAGTAGAAGCACAAGGGCAACATTACTTTCGTCGAATGAACGCCTTTGGAAATAGTTGGGAATTTCTTTTCAAATAGCATCCAGCTGTTAAGAAATCCAACCCACTTGTTACGGTGAAGAATCGAAAGTGAGTGCGTTGATACCGCAGTGATGCTCATCACTCCTACGATCAAAATCATGACATACAAGGTGAGGTCTTTCTCATTCAACACCGAAGTTTTGATGCAGTCGTAGAATGTTGGTATGTTGAAGCCAATAGCGCAGAAACACCATAAAATCAGGCTCCTCGATGTCGCCCACTTGCTGGTGACTTTATCATAGGAAACGGGCAAGCAGCCCCAGATTTTGCTCCATCGAATAATATGGACGTAGGGCGTGGGGTAGAACGTCGGCAGTCCGCGCTCAACGTCAAACTTGAAATCCGCAACCGAGCGCGTGGGCGCCAGATTTTTCCCGCCAATCATATCTAATAAGTCCGATACCTTTGTCAATTTAATAAACTCTTTATTCTTCAAATTCTTTGCCTAAATTTCAGTAGTTTGAGCGCTGAGCGATGTGTTTCATTTATTCACAAATGACAATGCATTTTCAGGATTTCTAGTCCTCGAAAAATCTCGATGCTTGCATAAATTTACTAGACAAACGTAGAGCGAAAATGTACGTTAGCAAGCCATGCGAATAGGCACAAATTCTTAAACTCTTCGTTTTTATAGAATAGGCAAACATCAATCGAGGATTCATAAGGAAAGCATAAGAGTCAACTCAACACGAATAAATTTTTCATTTATTCTGATTTTAATTATATTCAACGAGGTTTGATGTGAGAACGTCTGAATGTTGTGTTAATTTTTCGTGTCACTTAGTCAATGCAAGAAACAAATTGTTTCATTCATGGTGATACGAATCTCGAACATTGCTGACGAGGTGTTTAGGTACGCAGGTAAAATGTGCACATGCTAAACGACACCGAGTCAAGAGACTTCCACGTGACCAGGCGCAGTGACTCGCTGAGGTTCAGAGCGGCGCAGATGTCTTCAATCGAGGAGCTCCACTGACCGACTGATGCTGAGAGCGCGTTTGGCTTCCTTAAAACGTTTCCAGCTGACCCTATAGTAGAGAAGTTTGTGAATATATTGCAGGCACTAAAATGACCTGCCCTTAAAGCGTCACAATAATTGCAGTACGGCAAAGCGTTCCCGCTCACCACTTGCGCGTCAAGAGCCAAGTTCGGCGTTTAATATCCGCTGCAGGGTGAGCTCGGAGCGCGGAAAAGCGGTGTGGGATTTGACGCTACATCGTTTTGCTGAGGAAGAGCCTGTGTTTACTTGCGAGCTTTTAGGGCAAATATTGATTCTTGGATGCACTAAGGAACTGAAACCCGAGAGCCCTTCAATCAAGCTATCGAGCTTGTCTCTTGTCCGGAGGTCTCCTTTCTTCTCGCTATTTTGCTCTAAGTTTTTCTTTGTATGAGTGCTTCTTTGTTCACCCTTACGAGGACTTCATATATTGGCTTGGATTTCCACAAATTTTCACTGCATTCAAGAGATCACAGAGAATATAGAAGGTGACTCAGTCTTCCTGGTTTGCGCGAGTAGATTGAATTTCATTATTTATTAACTATTTACACAAGTGTTTGAGTTCCATGTTAGTAAACTGAATCAATATGTTTTTGTTCAAATAAACGCAATTAAAGTTTGCAGGATTGCATAATGAAAATGAGCTAAATATTTGGCCAATCAAATCCAATTCACTGCTGAACCGAATTCACTGCAAATAACTGACTGATGCAGATTAAAAGAACTAACTCCTACTATTGAAACAATTAGTCGTTGTTTGCCGAGTTCTCACATCCTATTAATGCTATTATCAATGAATTATCATAATACACAGTTGTAACACATTCAATTTATATATGAAGCTCATTTATATTAACGCATAACCACTATTCGGTTGACGTAATTTACTCTAATTAACGTCTTCACTAATGTTAGCATAGCGGTAATAGGCGGAGTAACGAAAGAAAGAGTGGCGGTGTCGTGTGGCCGACCATTGCGTCCGTGAAAATATTCTTACCGGAACAAACCTTGTAGTAGAGGGCAGCATTCCGCCAACAAAGGATATGACTTTTCGTATAGCTTTTATTGGTGGCACAAACAGTGGAACGATTCTACGTTCCAAACCTACGTTGTTGAATAGTATATTAATTTTGTATGTCTAGCGTTATTTTAGATTAGTAACACTACTGCTTTAGCTTGAAACGAATTCTAGCATTTTTAACGCAATGCGTGTTATTACGTAGCTAGAAACTATGACGTCCAAACCCTAGTTTTCATAGTCAATTACATTTACAATGATAGCAAAAAAGAAACATGATTACAAAAATGTTTATTTCAACATATGCACTTGCTACATCTCGATACAAATGTTGTTACATGTCTATAGTCATGAGCATGAGTCTTAATGTCTACACAGTACAGAAAAGAAACTATCGCAAATGGAGGTGGTGGGTTTTTGGTGATAATTCGCTCAGAAGGGTCGTAATTAAACATAGTTAACATAATTCTAGGCCGAGGCAGTGACCGTAGCTGCTCGTAGTTTCATCCGGCCACAGGTAGGACGTCAGCTCAATTGATGGAAGTCGTAGGTATTTTGTATAAATACAGCTGCATTCAGGGAAGCGAAGAAAGTTATGCGAGAAACCCACAACGATAGACGAACGGCAGATAATAATCGAGTGATCAAAAGTAAAGAAATATTTCTTTGCTGAGCATCATCTGCAACCACTTGAACATCAGTTTTATCGTCTAATAATAATTTGGACGATAGGAAATTTATCAAATTAAATGGTGAGCGAAAGAAACTCAACCAGCCAGACGTAACTTCTATGATGGGCGAGAAAATCATTGATATGAAGCCGCAAGTTTTTACGGCTTGATGAATTACAAGCGCACGTTTAGTATTTCATAGATAAATACTATCTCTAATTTGATAAGTAGGACTGAAGATAAATGTAGTCATGTAGTCATTTGTCTCGTGCACCTATGTTTTTTCCAATTCATAGCAGGGTGAATAATTCATAGCAGCAGAGGACCGTAATCGGATTTTAAGAGAAAAGAAGATAAAAAATTTTTAAAATATAAACACTGTTCTAATTTTGCTCAATCTGACTGATAATATCTATTCACTGTACAGAAGCATATGGTGTAATTTTAATGATTATTTTATTGTGTCGAATATCCACATGTGTGAAACCTAGTATTTAGTAATTTTTCCTAAACCTAATGTCCGTACTTGGGAATATAAACGATACGAAACTGCACAGAAGCAACTCTAAAGGCGAGAAAAAAAGTCGTCATGCAGTCTTGGCGTGAGATGGTCTGAAGCAGAACATGAGGAAGAGGGTGTACATGATGAACATGATGGTGATAGCCACCGTGGCGTACATGAACAAGTTCAGTTCAGGATGTCGGAACCGATTCTTCTGCAGCCACTCGAGCACCTCTTGTTCTGCCATCAGGTCACCTGTAACATTCAAATGAACAATCACTCGAGAACGTCTTGCTCTACCATTAGGTTCTCTGTTACATGATATAACTGATCGCTTGATCATTTTTTGTTCTGCCTGTATCACATGTGACTTGTAAGCAAACAATTACCATCTGCAAAATTTAGAGCAAAAGCTAATGCTTTCACCGAAAGAATTTAACGTAAAACCATTATTTTAATTAACTAATTATGTTGAAAACCGAATGGTTATAATGTAGAAAGAAGACAAGTAATATATTTAGATCTTCATCGACGATTAGCTATAAACAGTTAGTAGAATTTGATTGAAGGGACGAAAGAACTAAGTTCAACCGAAAATATGTAAAAATTCAATTATAGACAATATAATCAATCATCCACTGCAATTATGAATCAATAATTAATAGCTCATCACAAAAATAACTGAAGGAGATCATTACCAGACCTCTGTATATGCTGGGGAAGCGTTTACGGAAGTATGCGAGCGCAGGCAGTTTGGTGAGCCCGTACTTCTTAGCGTATCTTGTGTCGCGGATCTTGACGAAGGTGATGTCCAGGGAGTCCGCATCGTCGTCGATGTTCTCGAGCTGCGCCAGCACCTCATCGCACCGGAAGCAATCGTTCTGATCTGCGGCGGACATAGGAACAGGAAAGTTGAAAATTATGTTGCATATATAAAGTATGTATTTTTATTTTATGTTGTATTGTAAATATGTAGTAAATTAAAATTATATTGTTTGTAAATATGTATTAAAACGCGTATACGTTTTAAATAAATCTGATTAATATTTAATCAATATTGGAACTAATTCCTACTTATAAGATGTATGGGGCATCGAGTAACCAAGAAAGCAAACACTTTTCGGAGCTAATGAAAACGCAAAAATAAACAGAAAATTAGACGGTTTATCCCTACGGAATGAGAGAATTCGCCCAGTTCTATATCAGCTTGTGCATGCGAATCGCCGACAAAGTCAGTCTTAAGCTAACAACAATGCTGAAGTTTTTGCAACCATGCAATTTAGAAGTAACTCACAAAAATAGACAGCAACAAAATCGTTCTCCCCGAGCAATTTCTCCAGCATCTTGCGGTTGACTTCTTCAATCTCATCTTTAATTTCGAAAGCTTCTTGAGACGTGAGCCAGGCGCACACTTTGTCCTCGTCCAGCAGGTCTCCTGGTGACACAATTCCGTCAATAATGTATAAGATATTCACTCAAAAGTTATAAAGCTTTAACTATTACATTTGCTATGTTACAGTCCCAGTGTTTGCCTTTTATTTTTCGATTGCTTCACAATTGACTAAATATTGTTGGTCGAAGATGCTGTCTACAGATATGATGTTCAACAGTTCACGTTTGTTGTGAGGGCATTTATACCAAAATTATATATTTTGATATAGATAGTGATAATGATTTTCAAATTGCGTTTTATATAAGCATTCACAAACGCAAAATATCATGAAATGTTGCCATCCTACGCCACCGCGTCGAGCAAATCTCAGACGGCCGAAATGATTTCGCCGACCCCAGCGAGCTAAGAGTCTGCAGCCATCACAAGTTAACAAGAAGCAGTGGGTGATTATGTCCACCAAGGCTATGAGAAGTAACTGTTTTATGGCATGTTTCCATCTTGGCAACATTAGTGTCAACACTTGGATCATGAATTTATTCAAATAGTTATGAACATCATATTGAAGTAGGTTTGCATTTTTATTCACCGTCGTAGACTAGAGGAATTTTTTTCCTGAAGTAGACGAGGGCGGGAGTGTGGAGGACGTTAAAGCGCTGCGCCGCCTCAGGATCGTTAATTTTCACGAAGTCGATGCCTGTGATAATACATTATTTGGTGAAGTATAGTAAAATGTCCAACATAAAGATTTAGTGTTTTGGCTTCCCTACATAGCTATTTTATTAACAATTTTGATAGATTATCGTATTTCTTTCTGATTGGCGGGGCGTAACTTTTATTCCTTTTTCCGAATTTTCTGGCCCTAAATTTGCATTCAGACTTTAGACTCAGAAATTCGCGGGTCTCCTTTTCTCGTGAATAGTTTCATGTCCCCTTGCTAACCGTGTCTCTAGCTCTACATATTTTCCCAGATATGACACTAAAATAATTTATTCCTTATTATTCTAAATGAATTGAAATCTAGCTATCTTGTGACAGTCAAGAAAACAATAAATGAAAATGAATAATAATTGCGCTAAAGCCTATTATTTATTTTTATAAATATTTATGCTGCGAGGGCTTGAATGCCTGGGCCTCACCGAACTGGTCGACCTGCTCGTCGATGTTCTCGAGCTCACGCAGGACTTGTTCACAGTCCACGCAGTCGTCGTCGTCTGCAACCACGTCACACAAACGGTTAGAATTTAGCTAATTTGTGTATTGTATAAATTACAAGCAGTTCTATTTAGGAAATAATTTATTTTCACAGTTTCTGTTCACTCACACGCTATCTTAATTAGTCAATGAACAGCTATTATTGAGATTAGTACTTTACACAAAAAGCAACTCAAGGCTCTAAACAAAAGTTACTTAAGTGTATGACAAGGCTTGACAACAAAACCACAAGCTATTGCTCAAAACAAAAAAGCATGCAATTTTAATAAGCGTGCAGGCAATGTTGAGGGTGCAAGGCCAGTGTGAATTACGCTCGACAAGGAACAACCACCCAAGGTAACCAAAATTTGTTTTCAAAATTGGAAAAACTGTGATAAACCATTGTGATGTATATGAGATATTAGTGTTTTTTCGAAATATTAATGCACTTAACTACATCAATAAATTTACGTTTAATGATAAGATGATAGAGAATATTTTGGGTTGCTAATCGAATGATATAGACCTCGGTTGTGTAGTGGAAGTGAAATAACTGAGGCCTAGGACTTCAGAATAATGCCGGTATCGTAGCTAATGCAATTTAAAATATCATGGCAATAAGGCGCCATCCTTTTATTGTTAAAATTGAATGGAAAATTCAATTCAAGAAGATACTTTTGAAAATTTTGGCCTATAAGATTGTACATCAGACTCCAAACAATAACTTTTAATTTGCGAAAAAATTAAATCGCGGTGAATTTTGATCTTGGTGAGTTTTTAAAGTGATGCCAGGGAAAGATAAATAATAGTTCTGGTAGGCTTCTAATCTAAGAAAACTTTCTAATCAGTGAAATATTCTAGCAACTCAGAACTAGAAAGAACACAATTTTTTAAAATGCATTTTGAAATCGGCGTTTTGGTTCTTTTTGCCGCTGCATTCAGCTCGGGAGATCTGATGCAGGCACTGAAGGTATAGCTCGGTTTGCCTCGACCACTAATGAGAACTAAGACACGTAGCAACTAGAAAGCTCTATAAGCACTTTCCTATCGTGCGACAGATGACGAAAAAGTTTACTCACAAAAAAATACGGCAATGAAGGGAGTTTCATCGAGCATTTTCTTAAGCATTTTAGCATTGATAGATTCAATCTCGCCCACGAGTTCACGACTGTCCTCGTCTACGAGCCACTCCAGCAAAATTTCTTCGTTGCGCGCATCGCCTATGCGAGAGAAGTGAGCTTATAGGAAGACAATGCAACAATAAAAAACGTGGGACTGAAACAAGAGGAATGAAATCCACTGGCGAGATGAATTGATCAATGTCCATAAATTAAGCCTGCAAAATAAGTCATAGGTAATGATGATGTTACTCGATGATGCAGGATGATAGAGAGCGAAGCATCGGCAGTTGACAGAATTGGGGTCATGTGTGGGCAAGCGAGCATGCTTGGCGTACTTCAAAAATCATGTATACGCCGCGGCTTCAGTTAATCCTTGTTGTTAATGGCCGAGACATGGAGAGAAAGAGAGGTTGTAGAAGAGGATACTCACAAAAAAGAGCAGCTAAATAGATGCTCTTCTCCAAGAGCTGGTCCAGCATGGCCTGGTTAACGTGCTCTATCTCATCTACCAACTCGCGGTTCTCTTCATCAGCCAGCCAGTTTAAGAGATACGTTCCAGACTTAACATCGCCTGGTCAGGAGGCAATATCTTGTTAAGGGCGAGCAGCAACGTCGGTTCAATGGAGCTCATCAGAACATTATCTCGGGGGGCTAATAACCGTTGGACGATTGCGAACTAAGATTGTTGAAACGACCTTTTCACCGTACAAAATCAATTTAGAAAAAGTATTAAAAAATTTGTATTAATGTAATATTTTTCAGCACGATCAATTTAAATCGTGGCGATGATGAGATTAGCTTTGATGACCCGCTGTAAAATATCTGATTGCTCCATGAAGAAATTGAGGTGCATTGCAGGCCTGGAACTGGAAGGAGAGGCGATGAACAATTATTTGGGAAGGGAATGCCCAATGCGGTAAAAGGAGGATAGCAAAAGCTCACGAGTGAGAATAAAAAAAAATTGGCGTTCATGCATGATTCTGAGGAATGGCTTTGGCTCAAAGATTTAGATTAGTAACCATTAAACGCGATGTGAAAATAACCCCCAAATCAGTTAACTAATCATGAACAACTCAAATGTATTAGAGCGAAGTAAACTTTTTTTAATACTGTTAATTATGTAATCTTAGGGAGTGTGTGAAAATAAGGGAATAAAATTCAAGGGCTGAACAGACAGAGGGTCGTTCTCGCCTTACTGGTGAACACGACCGCTACGAAAGGATTAGAGTCTAGCATTTTCAGAAGCATGTTGCGGTTGACGCTCTCGACTTTGCCGAATAGCTCTCTGTTGTCTTCGTCTATGAGCCACTCGTACACGCTTGATTCTATTGAGATATCACCTGTAGGAGACATTAACTTTCATGGCAACCACAGGAACGAAGAGGCAGAAAAGACGAGGCGAGAGTAAAACAGTTAGACGCTAGAATTACGTGATGATTAATGGGAGAATAGGGTAGGACATAGATGAACTAAATGGATGATTCGAAAGATAGAATGTCCCCTATACACCATTCAACATCTGATAGGAACAAAAATTAAATCTTAAAAACAAATATAATGTGAAAAGAACTTCTCGGTTAAATTTCGTTGAAAGTCTTGTAGTAAACTCTTATCAAAGAATGCGTAGCCTTCTTTTCACAAAAAAAAACAATATAAACATGTATCTTTATTCTGAACGGTCAAATGATTGTACGGTTGGTGGTTGCTAACTTCAATGATATACATGTTCAGTTTGTCGTAGCCGACTGTTCGAAAAATCCGTCGCAAAGGGAACAGAATACGTACCGCCTTACTCTTCAGCACCTGATGGTCGCTGCGGTTAAAATGATTCGTCTACTAGAATAGTGATGCATAGTGATACCATACAGAATTGTCGCTAAATAGTGATACCATACCCTCGAAAATTAGAGGGTTGCCGTTGCGGAAGTAGATGAGTGCAGGAAGCGTCTTGATGCCATAGCGCTTGGCCAGCTGAGGGTCCTGGATCTTGACCATGTGGATGCCATAATTGTCGCACTCGTCGTCTATGTTCTCCAGCTCGCTCAGCACCAAGTCACACGCCTTGCACGCCGGCTTGTCTGCAGAGTTTCATCTGGACGTCAGGTTATGCTGGAGGCAAACTCTGACTGTTCGAGCTGCTTTAATTCACAACTAGACATTAATGTTAGTCAGGTGAATGAGTAATGTTTCCGAACTTAAATAGAGGTCTGAAGTGTGAATTTAAAATTTTAACAAACGCAGTACCTCCAACTACTGCGTGTGTCTCTAAGCATGACCTCCAGCATGTCAACTCAAAAAAGAAGACCGCGAGGTACTGCGTGTCACTGAGCATGACCTCCAGCATGTCAACTCACAGAAGAAGACCGCGAGGTACTGCGTGTCACTGAGCATGACCTCCAGCATGTTGCGGTTGACGGTCTCTATTCTGTCTTCCGTCTTCTGCAGGATCAGCCACTGCAGGACCTCCTCTTCCGCCATCAGGTCGCCTGCCGAGGGAGGCATTTATATAAGGAGGAGGCAGCAATTTTTTAAGCTTTGTGTTGTTACAGTTGATATTCACTGCAGAAATACTTACTTAAATCCTAATTCAACATCAATTTGAAAATATTTATTATTATTTTTCAACTGTACTTCTATAGTGCTCTATAACTCAGCCAATACCATATGTAAAGCGTGAATTCGCTACAATCTATTTAATTTTTTAATGGTAACAAATAATAACATAATTGCATCGTGAAAAATATCCTTTATTGTATGCTTCAGATGTGCGACATGAGAAGTTTATACTCACAAGTAAGTGGCCCAGCAAATAACAGCTAAACTTGTGTCGTTATAACAATTCTGTACTGATCAGGTCTAAGATTTTTCTTATTTTTTTTGCTGTTTGATGGACGTTATAAACAAAGTGACATGACTTATTTTAAGCCATCGCTTTCTTTCTTGCTAACAACTTGTGCAGTGAATAAAGACGACGGACCACTCTACCAAGACGGATAATGTACGAGAAAGTCTCACACTAAAATTTTTAACAAATTACTGTCTCGCAGATAGCACATCTCTCGAGGTGCTCAACATTTCAGCTGCACAATAGAAATATGCACACTACAATAAATTAAGTCAGGCCCAACTGAAGGCCATAACCACTATACCGTCAAAGACAGTGGGGATCTGATGCTCAAAGTATAGCAGCGCTGGCAGGGCGCCCACGCCGTAGCGCTCGGCCATGGCCTGCTCTTGTGTCTTGACGAATTTTACGCCCAGCCTGTCCGTGTCGTCATCGATGTTTTCCAGCTTAGCCAGCACCGCCGTGCAGTTTACGCACGCCTTTGCGTCTTCGGAATCTAGTTAATAAAAGTGATCTTAAGTCACAAGTAAGTAAGTTAATTTAGTCTTCTGAGTCTAGTGAATAAAGGTGATCTTAAGACCGATACAAGTTCTGAAATGCTGGTTAGGAAATAAATATTATTTAAAGTTCTCCGTATAGCCTCTTTTTCGAACAATGTTTCTAATAATCTGGTTTTGGAAGAAAATTTCACTGAAATAAATCATATTCATGGAAATCATTTTTAATTTAAAAATGGATTTTATCTTTTTTTTGAGTGCCATCACTGCACTGGGAGAATATAGACTTTGGTTTGAATGTATGCAGTTAAATGTAGTTGACGTTTGATTAAAGACACTTTTGTTATCGGATGAGTAAAACTCTCCTAACTAGTATGAACAATAGCCCAAGAATGTAGCTCCAACACAAACATCAAAGGGTGCTACTACCATATCTCACAGCAACCTTCGATGTCATTACAACTAAGATCTAGTGCACGCCATTACTTATCTGTTACGCTGCTCAATAACGCAATTACCAATAAGCTGCAAACACTAAACTTTTGATTGTTGAATTAAATATTAATTGTTGAAGATAGGAGTGCCCTCATCAATATAATGGCTTTATAACACGAACTTTTCACATCTCTCTAATACTTTTAGATACTTTAGTGTCTTTTTACTTCTTAACCTTCTACCGCCTTATGTCACTCTCCGGAAACATAATTTTTAAATGAAATTATACGTAAGCTATTAAGTGTAGCAACCTGAGGACGTTTGTACGCAACAGAGATCATTTTAAAGTTGTTGTACGTGGCAGCAACCATCAGTGCAAGTCATTTTGCGCTCACTAGAACGTATTCGTTTTGGGAAGTAGGCTTGTGACAAAATTGCTCCCGTTACTCATTTCAGGCGGTATAGGGTTAATAATGACGGTATTTCATATACATGAAACAACTGATTGCAATTCATCAAGATCCGTTGAACAGAATTTAACATTAAAATTTTCATCGCTCGAAACTTACAGAAATACACGGCAATGGCGTCGGAGTCTTTTATGACTCTGAGTAGAGTATCTCCGTCGAGATCTTCAATGAAGTCCGCTGCGGGATTCTTCTCAGTTAACAGCCAATTGAGGAGCGCTTCTTCGTTCCTCAAGTCTCCTGCAGCCATACATATTAATCGTAAAAAAACCGGTCCATGTATGTTAATTAATTTTTACTGGCAATATATAAGATAAAAATTAACCGAGTATACTTATTCGAAAAAGAATAGCAAAAATATATGCAAATCATGAAGTCATATGTAGGGTTTGTCAATAATTCTTTGAAACGCTACAGGGAGTAGAGATTCGAGTTCAACTCTACGGAGTTTACTACGAATATTTGAGTATCTTTGGTGCCGTCAACAGGAGATGCTATACGGACTGGCAACTATCTTTTCACTGCCTCCAGAGCTGCATTTCGGAAATATTATCTTTATCTGTCTACGGTTCTATATATAATTTCTATCTAGATTGATGGAATACTATTTTAAAATCACCTATAAAATAATGTCAATAAAAAGTAATAACAAGTTTTAAAGTGAAAACCGATACATGAAATATCTTACCCAATGTTTGTAATTTGGCAGAAACTACCATAAATTATCCTCTATTTTGTATAGTTTCTATAGTTAAAATCACTCACCCCCTAGGGCAGTTAGTAAGCATTGAAACGTGACCACAGTTGCAGCACCAGAAGCGTGTAAACCGAAGGAGACAGAAACAGGAAGATACAGAATGATAACAACAAGAAACGTCTCATGACTAACAGAAGCGACAGAAGTTAGCAAGAGTTTCATTAACATTTATTTTCCAATTTAATTAAAGATACTTATTGCTTATAGAGTAGTAGTGCTCGTCCATAAATTACAAGATCGGCTGTGTCTTGAACGGCTATTCACGGAAATTTCGAACAAATCTAAAAGTATCTTACAGTTCTACGAGAAAATCTAAGTTAAAAAAATTTCGAAAATGGTAAGTCCCGGTAGCAAACTGCATAAAAATTCATGAATGAAATAATAGAGAAATTGAGGGAAATTATGCTGCAATGTTCACAATCACTTCACATCATTGTTATGCTAAAATCTTCGACGAGTGTCAGATGTTAAAGTCATATGGGTAAACATAAAACTTTCGAACAGCTAATTTTTCGTCAAATGCAAGTAAACAAATAAACACGAGAGACATGAAAAATATTTAAAAGCGTTATAAATTTTAAGAGACGAAAAGAAGTGAGAAATTGATCAATTTGTTTATGCAAGTCCACGTAGCCAGAATAATGCATGCCTTATAGGTAGTATTAGCTCACAGTTGATAAGCCCATTGAGCCTCCCAGACGATATGGTCAACGACCACAAGGAACATCATTCCTCAAGTTAAAATTTCACGAAATGAAACCCAGTAATAAGCACTGCGAAAGTCTAGCATATTTTACTGAGTTCTTATAAGCAATAAAATAAGTCACTCCTAAAAGTTATAAGCAGTGCCCTATGAAATATTTCTACGTAGAACATCTCACCGGCGTAGATGACAGGCTGGTCAGCCCCAGCTCTGTAGAAAACGATGGCTGGCAGAGCGTACACGCCAACCTCCCGCGCCAACTGTACAGGGGGGAGATGCTACAATTCATTCTGGCCGAATATTTATAAACTAAATTGCTTTGAGCGTACAATTTTCTTTTTCAGCGGATGAAGGAATAAAATATTACACGAAATTCACACATTCATAAACAAACTTCATTTTTAATTCGAGAACTAACAATATCCTTAAAAGAAAATTTATAATTTCATTACATGAGCATAGTAGAATAAAGGGATGTGTTCATTGAGCAGAAATAATCTAGCATTTTTTTCTGATTACCAAATAAATATTTAGTTAGCTATATTTTACACGTAGTTACAATACTTTGGTTAAATCTTCGTTGAACTTTAATGTTATTATTCGCTCTCATGTTAACAAAAAATAACAATCACTAAGTATGTACGATCTTTATTTGAACAGATAAAAAATTTTTTCTCGGAATAATGTGTTATTACAATAAATGATTCCCCATGAGAAGAATTGACCCATTAATAACAGCACAGGCCTACACAAGCGCCATCACCGTGCAAGGTTTCAAGCCTGTGTTGGCTATACTTGGGATTGAAGAGCAGCCGTTTCAAAAATTCATGTGTGGATGATTTCACAAATGAGGCCATTACCCAAAATTGTGATTTTTGTTACGTATATATGAAGGGAAAATTCAGTATTTATGCGCTTGAAGTAAAAAATGACAACAGAACTAATTAATTTCATGAATTTCAAGTATTTCAAATTTTTCTAGTTTAAGTTCTCAGATCCGCGAATTCGACAAGCAATTTCTTGCTTAAAGAAAAATTCGACCAAAAAATCCGGCAAGAATATCGTCACTGGAAAGGAAAAGGGCAATCCGGTTCTTTCCAAGCACGCGTAACGAATGTTGTTATAAGTTTTGGTAGTATTAGTGAAGGGTATCGCTGAACATTTTAGCAGCACACTTGATATCAATAAACTTCTTGGATATTAATAAGACCATCGATGAATGATAAAATAAACAAAAAGTTTTGGTAGAATCAAATTCAGATTTGGGAGCTTCAGTTTGGAGGGAAGACTCTGTCACGCCGTGGTCGTCTGCGCGACGTGTACCTGTGACGTGTTACTTCTTCGTCCCACTGAACTCGCCTGGAAGTCGTCCAGCTTGACGAAGTCGATGCCGTTTGCGTCAGCTTCATCGTCGATGTTCTCGAGTTCTGCCAGAACTTTCTGGCACTGCTTGCAGCCCACTTCTGTGTCTGCCACAACAACTCTCCGTATTTAGTACAATCATCAGCGGGATAAATTTGAAAATGTTGGAAGTTAATTCAAACAACGATAGAAAAGTTCAATTTTCCAAGAAGGCTTTCGTGGCGTATTAATTTAAAAAATCCAGTATGCTGACTTCATTTCACTATATTTTTACAAATATTCCTTTTATTTAATCGTAATTCGAAACTCTTAGTCTGTAAATTTCATCCAAATTAGATTACGATTTCTGAAAAATTAAACTTCAAATTTCATGAGTAAAAATTGCCAAAGACTTGATGGATGGCTTTGCTAAAAAATTCTCCTCACGTAATCGATTCCTTTCAAACATGGTATTTCGAATATATTTCTACCTGCATGACATTGGCATCGTGTACAAATCAGCAGCGCTCTAAAAAATGACGTTAAATACAACGCAATGCAGACTGCACTAATCGTGTCAAAGCTCACAAAAGAAGACGGCCAGATATTCCTTGGCATCCTTTATCCTCTCGAACATTTTACGGTTGACCTTTTCGATGGCGTCATTGAGCTCCATGTTCTCTGGCGCCGTAAGCCAATCAAGCACGTCTTCCTCGTCGTATAGGTCCCCTGTGGGGACAGACGTGAGGGATGTGAATAGCTCCTCTGTGGGGACAGACGTGGGGATGTGAATAGCTCCTCTGTGGGGACAGACGTGGGGATGTGAATAGCTCCTCTGTGGGGACAGACGTGAGGGACGTGAATAGGTTCCCTGTCGGGACAGACGTGAGGGATGTGAATAGGTTCACTGTCGGGACAGACGTGATGGATGTGAATAGGTTCACTGTCGGGACAGACAGTGAAGACATGAAAGACAGGAAGCCAGGTTAAGGTCAGAGATGAAAGTCATGTTCACACGTAACATGCGCACATGAAATCAGAGAAAATATAGACATGAAAGACATGCAGACGGCAAAAGATAGACATGAAAGACATGCAGACCGGCAAAAGATAGATGTGAAAGACATGTAGACGGGCAAGAGATAGGCTGTAGAGATCCACTGAGAAGAGCGAGTCTCACGTTTGAAAATTAATACCGAGAATATCATAAAATTCATTCAGCTTCAGGTTTGAGAGAACAACTACGGCCAACCTCCTAATATTTCATCAGTTATTAATGAACGTACCAGAGAAGGTGAATGCACTACAGGGTAATGGACATCATGGAATTAATTCAAGTCTATTTCACCGAATACATGTTTCTGTGTGAAACACTAAACCATTGAACAGCACATCGGGTCGGTACCTGAGTACAAGTATCAAATAATAAATGATTGAATGCAAAAGAGAGTTTCAAAATAATAATGACAAGAAACGTAGAAAAAGGTAGTGGTAAGAAATATGAAATGACAGCGTTTAATAATTGAATCTTGTATTAATTAAATAGGCTACTCGCCTTCGTACTTGATGTGCTTGCCCTTCCTGAAGTAGACCAAGCCAGGGGGGTTCCGGAAGCCATATTTCTTGGCCATGAGGCGATCGTTCATCTTGACGAGATGCACGCCGAAGTCAGAGGCATCGTCGTCGATCTTTTCCAGCGTCTTGAGTACCTTGGCGCATTCTTCGTTCTCGTCGTTAACTGGCGGAGCATGGGGCATTATCAAGTTATAGTCAGGGCACGGGGCATCATTAAGTTATGATCAGGGCACGGGGCATCATTAAATTATTGTCAGGGCACGGGGCATCATTAAGTTATTGTCAGGGTACGGGGCATCATTAAGTTACTGTCAGGGCACGGGGCATCATCAAGTTATTGTCAGGGCACGGGGCATCATCAAGTTACTGTCTGGGCACGGGGCATCATCAAGTTATTGTCAGGGCACGAGGGCATCGTCAAGTTATTGTCAGAGCATGGGGCATCATTAAGTTATTGTCAGGGTACGGGGCATCCTTAAGTAATTGCCAGGGCACGGGGCATCATCAAGTTATTGATCAAGATAGGAATTATAGTTTTAACCTCAAGTTTAATGCATACAGTTGACACGTACAAAAGTAAACGGCGAGGTAGTCTTGAGAGTCGATGAGGGAGTAGAGCAGCTGCCTGTTGATGTTCTCGATGGTGTCTTCATGCTTCTGTTGGATGAGCCACGCCAGCACGTTCTCCTCAGCCGTGATGTCTCCTTCACCAGTCAAGCAAAAATTTTAAAAATATAGATATTATTTTCTAAAAAATGTGTTTCAGATCTTGCAATCGTAATAAAAATAATTTTTAACGATAACCTAATTAATATCAATCTAAAAATGTTTTTGCTTTTTATTACATTTTGAGTTTGATATTATTGCCTTTTAAACGAGTACCTCTTAAAAGGTCCTAATTTTCGAGCATTATCCTAGGGTTGATAGACTAACTTACCGTCATAGATAGTAGATTCTTGCGAATAGGAATAATTTTGTCGAAATGAACCGGGACAACCGGGAGAGAAACGGGGAAAAAATAACGGGACAGAGTAAAATTTGTCACAGAATAAACGTTTGAACCGAGACAAGAGTTGTATCCTGGAATTCGAATTAGTGTCCCGGTAATTATGAAACGATACGGAGTCAGATAGATATAAAACGAGACGTGACGTAACGAGACGAGACTTTTCTCAAATATTTATGGCAAAATAATATATACTTTAAAAAAGAAAACAAAACGAGCCATTCCGAACTTGTGGTCAAGGAATATCAAGTTAGCCATTGATTGTTAACGGGCAGTTTCCAGTCATGGGCAGATTCGGTGACATTTGGCTGCATTAGATATGTTTTAAATTTCATGCATATACGTTCAGAACTGAGGGACTTATGAGCTCTTTAGTTGCGTAAATGTTTTTTTTTCGTTCTAATCGATTACAAAATTGCGTAGGAATCTGAAGCTATAATTCCTCCTGCATCGCATTTCTAACGATTAGTTATGTTTTCAATTTCACTCTAGCCCTTTAAATTTGCTAGAGAGGCAATCGCGATGTCATTTACATAGCAATATACCAGAAACGTTGTAAACAGACATTATGTTGAAGAGATAATGTCTGAAATAATTCCCTACTATAATTAAATATTATTTATTAATTAGTATGTCTCGTCATGTCTCGCTATGTCTCGTTATAAAAGATGAAAATTCCGGAAAATTATAAAACTCCATTTTGACCGGGACGTCTCGTTATTGTTCCGAAATTCCCGCGGAGTGGGGAGATGGTAAACAGAGTCTAATAGATGGTAAACAAGAAGAGCTGAGGAACCCTGACACGCACTGAAGCCTTATTCCTGATATTTCATCCACATTAATATTGAGGTTACCTGATTTTCGAGCACCACAAGTCTCATCTTACAGCCGTATCCCTGCAATTCCGTATAAATTTATAGTGAGGTTTCCCGATTTTCCAGCACTACCTTGAGACCGAACTGACCATCATAGATGGAGGGCACGCCTGCCTCGAAGTACACGAGAGCGGGCAGGTGTGTGATGCCCAGCTGCTGGGCCGCCTTCACATCTCCGGTCTTCACGAACTGAATGCCTGCTTCGTCGGTCTCGTCATCTATCGTCTCCAGCTCCGCCAAGACCGTCTCGCACGTCGGGCAGTTGTCATCGTCTGCGAAACGTTATTGCAGGGATAGTTTTGTGATGATGACCGAGGACGAACGTCGACATCTACTTGCAAATACTTTTAATCACTTGAAACGTGAAATAGTTTCAATACTTTCATAGTTTTCATTTTCAATTCAATATAGTACAATTTTTCAGGCATTAAAAAATATCAATTATCAATAATGGAAAATAAATAAATTTCAGTTAATTATGCTTAGAAAGATAAGAATTTTATTGAAAAAAGTCATGGGAGTAACTAGTAAGCAACGACACAATAACAATTGAGCGCGAACATTCACAAGGCTCTCAACAATAACTTTTATGCGCGCATGTTACACGGGCCCTGATAAAGTTGTCACGAACAATGTCGCACTTTTAAATTAAAGATGGTTGATTTTAGTTCATCATTATATTCATCATAATTCAGCTGGACTCACAGAAGTAAACTACAAGATATTCGAAGTTCTCCGTGAGGCTCTGCAGCATTGCCCCGTCCACCTCCTCGATGACGGAGGAAGGCCCGCGGTCCTTGCTGTCCAAGAGCCACTCCAGCAGCGCCTCCTCGTTCAGCAGGTCGCCTGCAGGAATGGTTACGTTTAGGGCAATCAGAATCGCGTCTTCACCTCCAGCAGGACGTCTTCAGACATGGTTTTGTTCAGGATAATTGAGATTAGCCCCTTCTTCATTGAAACAACATCGAGTACCAGTGAATAATAAAATTAATCAAAATTAATAACATGAAATAAAACGAAATTCAAGAAGTGAAAATAAGAGTGTTTCTTGCATTCTCTTTTTTGTAACCGAATGATCTATAGAAAGTTCATAATAATAATGAAGAAGCTTCTACTTCAAATAATGAATGTGAAAATGGGTAAAAACTTTCCATCGTTTTATAAAGACTATCTTTCACATCTGGAATCCAGTCGGCTGTAAAGATAATGTAGTCTAAATGATGCATCAAAAGTACAACTGAGCTATGAAGCAAGCCTTACATGACTTTGTAAAGGTCCCGACGGTAGAAAGTCAGGAACTTCTAAGATAATTAAGTACACCAACGTTAGGGAGAGGCTAAGATACGACTGAAGGGTGTGAGGCAAGTTTATTGGTTTAGTGCTGGAGATGAATTGACAAGGAGTAAAACTGCTATGACAATGTTAACACAAGAATGAACTGTTTCTTAGGTGGATTGATTCAAGACGTCAGGCGGGATGTTGCTACAACTTCTCATAGACCATATTAAGCTCTAAGACTAGCTTTAACCTGTCAAGCAACAGCTTTCATCACCTTCGTAAATCTGGGGGAACCTGTTGCTGTAGAAAACAAGCACCGGCAGGTCTTTGAGGTCGTGGCGTCCAGCTGCACCTTCGTCGCTGATCTTGACGAAGTCTATGCCCACGTCATCGCACTCATCGTCTATGTTCTCCAACTCTACCAAGATCTTGCGACTGTATTTATCAGCATCATCATCTGCAGGTAGAAGCGGGGTGAGATTTAGCCACCAAGTTTTCTTCACAGCGAAGACAGGTCCTAAGCAAAATATCCCCTAGAATCATAAATACAAAAAAATATAATTCAGTACTCACTGCAGTGAGTGACAGAGAGCGCATTTTCTCGTCGACGAAAACTTGAGGTCACGGACAGACGGACAGACAGACGGACATGGCGAGCACAATAGTGCATTTTTTCCATAAATGAGAAAATGCGCTAAAAAGATGGTTTGAGAGTGGTTTTTTAATGCTTGATTGCGAAGACATTTTTAATCTTAACCGTTTGATGACTCACAGAAGAAGACCACGAGGTTCGAGGAGACGTTGAGCAGGCGCTCCAGCATGCGTTCGTTGACCTCCTCGATTTTGTTGGGGATCTCGAGCGTGTCTTCGTCGGTGAGCCAACCTAGGACCTTCTGCTCGTCCTTCAGGTTCCCTGGAACATGGAGAGTCGGTTCCAGGGTTAGTAAAATGGGGAAGTGGAATGTAATAAGTAATAATAATTTGGCAAATTATTGAAAATTCATTACATTGTGATTACATTTTATGGAACCTAGACTGTCGTACAAAATCTATGCCATAGAATATTAAAAAAATTAGATATTAAAACAACAATAAATTTGTTTAGTCTTCCTATCATCACTCCTTCGAACCTTCCTTTAAAAACCCACCCAGAATACGCCGTCCTACTTGCTGCGATACAAGACAGGACAGCCTGTACCTGCAACACTGTTCGTGTATCTTCAATACTTTTCTACATAAAATACTTCCATTCTACACACATAATACCTCCAATACTATACATACATAAAATTTGGTCCTCTACATACTATACCACCACTCCTGTATAAAAAATTCCTCCGCTCCTATACAACAAACCCTCTTCCAACTCATATATATACAATACCTTCACATCTGCACCCAAAATTCCTTCACTGCTGTACCCATAATGCCTTCACTCCTGTGCCCACAACACCCTCTCTCCCGGACAATACCTTCTCTCCTGTAAAATACCCACAATCCTGTACAATACCTTCTCTGCCGTACAATACCCACAATCCTGTACAATACCTTATCTCCGGTACAATACCTTCTCTCCCGTTCAATACCCACAATCCTGTACCATACCCTATCTCCGGTACAATACCTTCTCTGCCGTACAATACCCACAATCCCGTACAATACCTTATCTCCCGTACAATACCCTCGATCCTGTACAATACCCTCGATCCTGTACCATACCTTTGTATACGAGCGCCTCTCCGTTCCTGAAGAGGACGAGGGCGGGGAACTCCGTGATGCCGTACTGCTGCGCCAGGTCCACGTCCTCTGTGGTGACGAAGTGCATGCCGTGGTCGTCGGTCTCATCGTCGATCTTCTCGAGCTCGTCGAGGATGTTGTCGCAGCGCTGGCCTTCGTCACACTCCCCGCCTGCGACGTGATGAAGAGAAAATGTGTAGTACGAATAAACACAATAGATGAGAGATTAAATATTTAAATAATAAAATTTAAACGGCAATCATATCAAAATTAATTGGAAAGAAATCAATATTAAATGTTAGAATTAAATGAGAATTATTTTGCGCAGAAATATGTAATATCATATAGATTATAGAATAATTGTATGGGAACTAAGGGCACCGAAGTAAGATTCCATATTACAGTTATGGGGAGCTTCTATGCACGAGAATAATAATCACTATAAAACTTTTAATCTAATAATAATCTATTAATCACTAAATGGGAAGCAGGGAACACGCAATGAAAGTTTGCTGTCCCGCGGCTGGTTCTTCATTGATGTTATATATAAAGAAAATAGAAGGTGTTTTATCGTGTATAATATTAATGATGGTCCGATAATCCTTTAATTTAGGGAGACTAAAAGGGCTAGTCGGTAAAATAGGAATAAAATGAAAAAAACTTTAAAAAAATTAGAGAATTTTCTCTTTTCCGGACATGGAACCTTATCCGTGTTGGAAATTACGTGACTCAAACTGAATTTTCGTTAATTATTTAACATGATAAAGTTAAACAAACTGCAATCCACATAAATAATGGATATGACTAAAAAATTTGCTGCTTTAATTCATGTCTAAGGCCCCGACACTCACTGAAGTAAACAACAACGTATTCAAAATTCACGTCTAAGGCCTTGTCACTCACTGAAGTAAACAACAACGTATTCAAAATTCACGTCTAAGGCCCCGACACTCACTGAAGTAAACGACAACGTATTCAAAATTTACGTCTAAGGCCCCGACACTCACTGAAGTAAACTACAACGTATTCAAAATTCACGTCTAAGGCCCCGACACTCACTGAAGTAAACGACAACGTATTCAAAATTAGCGATGAGGTCATCGAGTATCTCGTCCGTGACCTCCTCGATGGTGTCCGTTGATCTCTGCTTCAGCAGCCACATGAGCACCGCCTGCTCGTCTGAGAGCTCGCCTGCAAGTTATACAATTTCTCATAGTTAGTCTAAATTTGTGCGAACAAATATTTATTCTTATTAATAGTAAATATTTGGTCAGATAGCAGTCACCTTATACGTACACCTTATATATATTTAATGGATTTTGTTAGGGAATCCTGAAAGGAATTACGTATTCAGTTGATGTAATTTAGCAACATGAAGCTCTGAATTAACTCTCATAGACGTATACAAATTGTGTACATGCAAGAAAAAGTAAAATGAGCGACTTTCTTCTAACATGACGAGTAATTTATACATATATATATATATATATATATATATATGTTTTGCTGTAAAGAGAAGTAGATAACAATGTAATTAAAATGTAATTATCATTAAAAGAAAAATAAGCTAAGAAAATGTACGAGTTAATTACGGTGAAAATACTCTTCAAAATTAATCGAAAAACTATAACTCTGTACTCACTGCAGTGAGTGACACAGAGCTCATTTTCTCGTCGACGAAAACGTGAAGTCACGGACGGACAGACTCAAACTGACAGACAGACAGACGGACATGTCGAGCACAATAGCGCCTTTTTTCCATAAATGTGAAAATGTGCTAAAATTTAGAACAGACCCTCAAAGATGCTGGGAATCCTGTTCTCGAAGTAGACCAGGGCGGGGAGCTCGTCGATGCCATATTCCTTGGCTTCCTTGGCGTCGGCCATCTTGACGAAGGGCACACCCGCCTGCTCGCAGTCATCGTCGATGTTCTCCAGCTCCTCGAGGATCTCGTGGTCTTCGTCGTCAGACCGATCGTCTGACCAAATTTATAAGTGGAATTTCATAAATTTTTCAGAAAAGGTTCAGCAAGCTAATTGTTTGAGTGAAAATATTGCAGGTAGAAGTGAAGATTTTCATTACGTGGCTTCTAGAGAAAAACGTGGCTTCTTCATTACGTGGCTTCATAAATAGTGAAAGAAATTACTTAGATGAAAGATACATGGATTCACGGCAATTTTGGATCCAAAATAAGTCATGGATTCGAGCGACTCGAGAGCCTAAGCTGCATCCTATTGCAAACAGATTTTTCATCGACTGTATTGACTAAAATCAGTGAAGCTGATATATTTTATCGCAAGTTTAAGTACTAAAATTGTTTTTATAGTCATTTTATAATTATATTATGTTACTTACAGAAGAGCACGGCGAGGTAGGGCTCACTGGCGATGAGCTTGTCGAGCATCTCGTCGGTGACCTCGGCGATCTCCTCCTCCTCGACGTGGTGGAAGAGCCACTTCAGGACCTCCTCCTCCTTCATGAGGTCACCTGCAACCAAACACTGGTTAGTAAAGGAGGTCTTCGTGATAATAGTTATCAAGTAAAACAGTGGAATAAGACATGAATAGTTTGTGTCTAAGAGGATCGAAGCTTCTATCATGGTTGAATAGTTCAACCATGGCTCCTTTGGTTTCTCAAGGATGAAAGGAATTCAATGTTTAGTCAAATATGACTAAACATTGGATAATACATACAAATAACCTTGGATAATACATTCAAATCAAAAATTAATGTCACTCGTTTGCTTGAGTAAAAAATTCGCAATTTGTTTGAGTCCCCTCATGCGCATTCACGCCGAGTAGTGTAATGTTCCTGGATCTGAGATGCACTTTAAGGTGTTAGCTTCCACTTCTAGTACTTCAGATCTGCGTATTTTAGAATCCTTATACATTTTTAAACAGAGGCCCAGTTTGAATTAAGCTTTTAGCTCTTGTCCAATTGCGATTGTTAATAGATAGGTTTAATATTTTTTTTCTCTGGCGTTTTGTACTATATTTGTTTATTTAGCTTTTAATTTCGGTTCCTTGAATTTCAATTGTACTAACTCATGATTTTATATTCAATGTAACGCCTTCCTCGAAGGACGCTACGCCTAGAACAGTTCAGCACTAGTTACACTTCCTGACGTACTGAGCTCAAGGCTTAAAAAAGGAGGTTCAATAATTTTATACTAATTAAGTTTCTTCGTTTAATAGTGAAGGAACTAAACAGTTGCAATTATTGATCATATCTGAAGAAACACGAAAAATGAATACATATACAATTTTGGCAAGGTTATGACAAATATCAAAGAATCTCAAAAAAATGCACCAGAAAATACATAAAAAGCTTATGAACTAGGAACACTGAACAGGTAAAGCGACCCTGGTTGCGGACAGAGTAAAAGTGGCCGGCGGAGATACGTGTCCGTAAATTGCATACTCTAGCAAGTGTTGCCATATGGGCACTTCGCACTACATAATCGCTAAATTATTGAGCTGCGGCTACATTCAATTTAGAATCTTCGAACTGACAATAGAGCTGGGCAAGGAAACGTTTTATATAAAGATAATAAAAATCACGAATGTATTATCCAAGTGAAAATTGATGTCCTAAAACATCTACGATTTAACGTATAGAAACTAACAAGCCATGCCTAATTTCGAAAAAAGAATAAACCAAAGTGGTGGAGGATTATCTCATCAATCATTATAATGGAGCCTATGATCTCAGTTAGTTATAGATTAGTATATATGATATTATAGATTTATTAAGTGTTTTTTTATCGTAATGATATTGCCTATAAAGATGTAGACGCACTACGACTCACCTTCATATATGTATGGAATTTCACTCTCGAAGTAGACGAGGGCAGGGATGACATCGAGTCCGTACTCCTTGGCCTCGTCAGGGTCATTAATTTTCACGAACATGATGCCTTTGGCGTCACACTCGTCGTCGATGGACTCCAGCTCAGCCAGCACCTTCTTGCTCTTGCGCTGCTCGCGGTCGTCTGCTCAGGCAGTTCGAAATTATTTACTTGGCACCGGCGACCCTTTACTGTGTATGTCTCTTTTGCCTTGTGAAGTCGGCACAGCTGGAGGTTTACCATCGTGTGGTAAAGAACGGTAATGTAAAAATATATTTTCGTAGTAGCTTGGTACCATAGCATTGTGCTCAGTGTTTTCTACGGTATCCCTAATGAATCAACCTAAAAAGTAAGAATTATAGTGATTTAGTCTCAAAGTTCGTTAAAACCTGAATATAAAAATGCTATTATTAAATTGGAGTTTTTACAATAGATTCTTAGCAGTACTTTCAACTAAAAATGAAACCCACATCTTGACTACGATTCAAAATAAAGTTATTACTGAAGCCGGCGTCACTGTCGAGAGGCTACCGACACACGGTTCGCACAAAGGGCCTGGCACAGTGTCGGAAGGTATAAACGTGTTACCCGGGTTACTACTTCCACCATATATACGATCAACGATATCTCACGAACAATCTGATCGTGCAACTGGTTTACTGGTTCTGCTCTATGCAAGAATTTTTAAGGACACGACTCAACACTCTACCGCTATGGTGTATAAACAAACAGAGAAACGGTAAACTATATAGGCAACTTAACATAACGTAACATAACATAACATAACATAACATAACATAACATAACATAACATAACATAACATAACATAACATAACATAACATAACATAACATCGCCGATTCTTTTCCTTTTCGTGCCATGTTCACAGAAGATCTAAAATCGTGTCATTTGACCGGATCTTTTCATGACTGACGATAGTTTGCAGTAGCTACTAGACTTTTACTGGGCTCGATATGGTGCTAGGCATTTCAAATCTGAACATATATTTTTCCATAGCTTTATCTAGTTTGTTCTTGAACGCAATTTTGTCGCGTTGAGAAGTTGCAGTGCAGTTTTTTTAGTTTATAGCCGTGGCCCCTGGTAGTGGTTCTTGTTTCAAATTCTAGTAATCCTTCGGGGACCTTGTATAAACCATGAGTATACTTGTATACTTCAATGAGGTCCCCACGCAGACGTCGATAACTGAGGCTTGGAAGCTTCATAATCTTCAATCTTTCTTCATAGGATTTGCCCTTCAAGCCTGAAATTATCCTCGTTGCACGTCTTTGAACACTCTCCATTAAATTTCTGTCCTTTTCAAATCTCGGTGACCACACAACGTTTCCAAACTCTAGATTCGGGCGCACGACAGCAACAAACAACTGCTTCATCGCGTCTGCATCTAGGAACTCGTATGAGCGTCTGATTAGTCCAAGAAGTTTGTTGGATGTGTTAGCTTGCGTTTCAACATGCTTAGAAAATTTCAGCTCCTTGTCGACATAAACTCCGAGATCTCTTTCCACACTAGACTTTTCAATCATTACTCTCTCGTTGCAACCATGTCTTCTCATGCTGTAATCTTGCTGTTCATTGTTCTTCCCGAGGTGAAGTACTTTACACTTGTCAGCATTAAACCGCAGCTGCCACGTATCAGCCCAGTTAACTAAACTGTCAAGATCATCTTGTAATTGCGCTTTATTTGCCGCATCCTTCACTGTATTATAAACTTTTGTGTTGTCGGCATACATGGAGCACACGCTGGACACTGCTTCTGGCAAATCGTTTATAAAAGCAACGAACAAAATAGGCCCCAGAACGCTTCCTTGCGGCACGCCACTGCGCACTGATGCCCAGTCTGACACGGTTCCGTTAATACTGACACGTTGTCGTCTACCTACTAGAAAATCTCTGATCCATAGGAGTACGTTTCCTCTTCCTCTTAACTTGCTGAAAAAAAACTAAAAAAATAACGCGATTGCGCGAAACTGCCATATAATTAGGAGTACGGCCACGGTGCCGGAGCTGATCCCAAAAGTTAGTCACTGATTCATTGGTATATATATGTGCTTACTGGAATGATTTAGATATATCCTCCATTTAAATGAACTGATCATGAGTTTGAATGGTAAAATTTAGCACCAAAAGACATATGACATATATGTGAAAACGATCATCGAGCAATTATTGGGACTAAAAATAACGTACAACTCAAATAAACAGACTGTGGGATGGAAATGGTTATGACAACGAGATGTAGAATTGTATTTGCAGAATAGGACGGCAGACAGCAGTTAGTTGTGTCAGCAGAAAGCTTGAATGGCTTACAGAAAAGGACGGCGAGATGCTCGGCCTGGACGATGAGCTTGTCAAGCATCTGGTCGGTGACGTCCTCGATCTCGTCGTTGGATATTTGGTGGACGAGCCAAGCGAGCAACTCGTCCTCCTTCAGCAGGCTCCCTGTGGGGGACAATGGCAGCGAGACTATTCAGGAATCTTCTTGAATTAATTGATGTATTCCATATTGTAAAGTATAAATTAATCCCTTAACTTAGTAAATCTTTGTTTCATGCAAATAATGAGGAATTTTAAAATGCTATCGGGTTAGATTTCTTTCTCTATGATAGATAAATATTGAGAAAAAACGTACCAACGTACACAGACGGCACGCCCTTCTCGAAGTAGACGAGCGCAGGGACGTTGTCAAGGCCGTACTCCTGAGCTTCTTGGTCGTCGTCGATTTTGACGAAGGTGATGCCGTGCGCGTCGCACTCGTCGTCGATGTTCTCCAGCTCGGAGAGAACCAAGTCCGACTCTGCTTCGTCTTCGTCGTCTACGACAATGTAAAAAAAATTTAATTTACGGGAAATTTTAAGGTGGATTTAAATTAATTTCAATATCAAAAAATGGTATTAATGTTAAAAATAATTAGATAGGTACTGTTGAATAATTAAAATCATAAGTTATGCCACTAATTGATTTCGATTATGCTAAACAGAATAACACAGGATGTTCCCTTCCGCATATTCAGAGGAAAGTTCGCTGCAACCTCAAATAAAAAGTTGACCTCAATGTTAAATACGACGAGATAAATACTGCGTGATATTTAACATTATATATGACAATAATTTTTAATTTTATTTAAACAAAACACTATAACAATTAAACAGTATATTAACAGTATAGAACAGTAAACATAAACAGTTAATTAAACAAAACACTACTAATTACGTTAATTAAACAAAACAGTTAATTAAACATAACAGTACTAATTAATGTTAATTAAACAAAACAGTTAATTAAACTAAACAGTATAAAGGACATGCACAAGAACAACTGCGGACGCACAGAAGAGCACGGCGAGGTGGGCGCTCTCGCGGATGAGTTTGTCGAGCATCTCGTCAGTGACGTCCTCGATCTCGTCGGTGTGAAGCTGCTCGACGAGCCACGCCAGCACCTCCTCCTCCTTACGCAGGTCACCGTCGTACAGGGACGGGATCTGCACGTACATACTACTAATTAATGATGAACTAAAACGTAATACCGGCACTGAAGGTGATTAATAATAACGCTCAACATCAGCACTGAAGGTGATCAATAATAACGCTTAACACCAGCACTGAAGGTGATCAATAATAACGCTCAGCACCTGCACTGAAGGTGATCAATAATAACGCTCAGCACCTGCACTGAAGGTGATCAATAACGCTCAACGCTTACCAAGTTCGTATGAGTATTACATACTATATAAGAATATAGTTTTTATATATACTATATTGTAAATAAGTATAGATATATCTTTATAGTAGGCAAAGACTGAACGGTACGAATTACTGAAGGATTGACTCATATCAGATATTTACTTTGCTTTGTATGGTGAAAGGGACTGTAAGCCAGTTCCACTTTTCTCTTGTATATTGAGTGATTATTATTAACATCCATTTTGATATCTTATAATTGTCTATAGTATTTTATTGCAACGGTATTGTAATAAATTCTGTTCAAGCTTTACTTAAAGGTAACTTGAATTTAATTTGAATTTATATTCAAAGGTAAATCATTTATGACGCTTTGAAGATAATTTAGTTATTGTTTTAACGCGCGGTTTGAATTCTAAATCGAGAGGATAAAGGAAAGCGCTCGTGGGACCAGCGCTGCACGCGGGACAAGGAAGTGTTATTGATTGTGATAAAAATTATAGCGATGTCCGACAGAAAATGGTTGCTATGGCGAGCAATTGGGGTAACTCAAATAATCAGTGGCATCCTTCCTCTTTTAACATAAATTACGTTAATAAATGCATATACATCAGAACTGGGCTGCAGGCGCAATGGTGCATAATGGAAGACATACTCTTATTTATACAGTCTATTCATTCGCTGCAATTGTACCAAATAAATAACAAAATTTAGTTCATTTATCACTGATGGATGTGAAAGAGCTGTGCGTGTCAGTGCAGTAAATCTGAAAAAGAGCCAGCAACCAGTTTATAAAATAACAAACTAAAAAAAACAGTTTTGAATTATTAGTAAACGTTTTCAACACGCAAGTGGAAGTCATGGCTATGTCAGAACTTTTAATTTAACTACGATCTTAGACAACAATGGAATGGTTTCGCGGTGCTCCTAGCAAATTTAAAATGAAAATTTTATATTTATTTTAGATTATTAATTGGGATTGATATCGAGGTGGTAGCTTCGCAAAGACATAATAACGACCTTGATTTGCATATTTGCACGTTCTTACATGAACTACGCTTCAATTGAGTATATATACTAGTCCTCGATATATTGCTGTTTTCATAACGCAATGTTATCATTCCTACAATAGTTAAGTTCTTAATTGAACTTGCGATACAAGCAGGTCAATGCCAAATTTCGAGTTTGTTCTACGCCGCGTAATCAAACATTAATGCTATAGTAATGAAACATTTATGCTATACTTAATTCAGTTGTTACACAAGTAATAAAATCAGTCGTTTTTCACCTCGTGTTCGAAGTAGACGAGTGCCGGCGTCTCCTCGATGCCGTACTCCTTGGCCGCAGATTCGTCACAAATCTTGACGACGTGGATGCCTTCTTTGTTGAGCTCGTCATCCACGTTCTCCAACTCAGCCAAGATCTCCTTGTCGTCCACCTCGTTTCGGTCGTCTGGGGTGGGAGATGCATGATCATCACCAACTTTGCGCATATACCACGTAGTCCTAATCAAAAGTATCTGGCTTGAATAAAAAAAAATTCAAAATTTTGGAGAGGAATTTTTAATTTTCTACTCATGTCATTAGTCTGCTTAAATCACAAGTTCACTAAGAAACCAAATGCAAAGAAAACGGCAAGCAAGTTCATCATATCTTCAGTAGAAAGATTTTTCCTTGCAGTTCAATGGGAGCAAGGAGGGGAGGTTCCCTCCAAAATCATCTCCTAAACTAAATGACGGATTTTTCTGAAACTTCGCATTCATATGTACATCACTAAAATAAAAATATTTTGCGCATATAAAATTTTTGAAAAAAAAAAAACTTGAAGAAAACGTGAAATAAATTGAAAACGACAATTAAGAGTAGTCTGTCATATATCTATCGCATCCTTCAATTTGCGTGCTGCAACATCGAGAGACATATCATTCGATTCGTAAATTAAATTTCTAGCGACCCTAGGAGCCTTTATTCGACTTTTTTTATACTTAATTCTCCGTTTTTGTCCCTCCTCGTTTTTACATATGATAATGAAAACAATGTAAAAATCAGAAAAAAGGCTACTAGAGCCGCTAGATATTTTCTTTACAAATCGAATGACATGTTTCTCAATGATGTTTCTTGAAAATTGAAGAAGAAGTGAGGAAAATATATTTTAAATTAGGCAAATCGATAGCTATTGCAATTGTTCGGCAGAGCCAAATATGTTTAATGAAATGATAATTTAAAGCGAATGATATCCTAAAAATACCATTTTATTAATTACTGTTAAAATATGTTCATTTTATATGAATTAAATAAAGCCTTGCGAAAAAAAAACTTATGTACGCACATACATACATTCGACGCGCCTTTTCCTTAGTTAAAAAAAAGCTCGAAAAACGGAAAAGCAAAATTTTTCGATTTTCGAGGGGAAACCCCCCACCCCATTAATGGTTTTCTAGCCTTAATATTGTAAATAAACTTTTGAAAGTAAGGTTCCTGCGTTAAACTGATATGATATAGATTGTAATCAAATTAGCTTTAAACATCAGAATTAAAAACTATAAGCGCTGTTCTCACAGAAGACGACAGCAAGGGAGTCCATGCTGTCGATGAGGCTGTTGAGCAGCCCTACGGTGACCTCCTCTATGACCTCGTCATCGTCCCCGGTGCTCTTGCTCTCCAGCAGCCACTCCAGCACCTTGTCTTCGTTCATCAGGTCCCCTGCCATGCGTAACAGGAATCAGTTAATGCCATTACGAATCTTTGGTGGAAGAAATTTTGAAATCTTTCCAACATTAACAATTGGCAATTGTCTGTAAAAAGGCATTTCATAAGACCGTTTTATTGAAAAAGTTTATGGGTTATGACATATAATGACGAAAACCCACTGTACCCTCAGAGTATTTTTAGTCTCGGCGTTGATTTGCCTGCGCGGGCGTAAACGATCTAGGAAACTCTACCGATTCTTCATCGATAACGCACGACGAGGAAAACACTTCGTCAACTCGAATCAATGGAAGTGCTCACCGTCGAAGACAACAGGGATCCTTCGTCTGTAGTCAACTCGAACCAATGGAAGGACTCACCGTCGAAGACGACAGGGATCCTTCATCTGTAGTCAACTCAAACCAATGGAAGGACTCACCGTCGAAGACGACAGGGATCCTTCGTCTGTAGTCAACTCAAACCAATGGAAGGACTCACCGTCGAAGACGACAGGGATCCTTCGTCTGTAGTAGACGAGGGCGGGGAGTGTGCCGAGCGAGTACTCGTCAGCGAGGTCGGGATCGTTGAGCTTGACGAAGGCGATACCGAGCTGGTCGGCGTCGTCGTCGATGTTCTCGAGTTCCGCCAACACCTTCACACACTTGCGGCAGTCGCTCTTGTCTGTCGTGGGTGTTTCATATTGTGAATCAAATTCTGACATTTTGATATAAATTTTAACGAATCTCATACATTGTCTTCCGTGGGTGGTTATATTGTAATTCTAGTTTTGAACTTTGGATGAAAATTTTAATTGAATATCATATTCCAGGCAAAAAATTTCTTCTAGATTATAATATTAACAAAATATGACCGTAGATATGTTAGTTAGATTATTCCTGCCCAAATTATAATCGGTTATTATTTAGTTTATTTTTAGTTAACCTTACTTCTATTTAATTTTTACATTGCTCATAATCCAATCCTGTTAAGTAGTTAACACTAATTTATTTCTATAATATAAAGTTGTTTGTTCGTCACTTTTTTCCATCATCGACTCCAACGCAGTGACATTTATTATGCAGAAATAACACGTCTGGAAACATATATTTACTCACAGAAGAGGACGGCGACATACTCCTGCTCCTCGACTACCTTGTCGAGGATCTTGGCGTTGACCTCCTCGATCTGGTCGGGCAGTTCCATGGCCTCGAGGCTCGTCAGGAACTCTAGAACGCTGCCTTCGTCCATCAAGTCTCCTATAGAACAAACAATAATGCATTTTACCACCATCTGTAAGCGACAGGATTAATGAAAAACCATGGAATTTTTTCGCTAAAAGGTTTACTGAGTGAGAAAACAATGCTAATATACGCAACACAATGCGAATAAACGCAAAGAGAAACAATCCTTAAGTTTAATTTTTCTATATTGCGCTGCAACTTCTCCTGCAACTTCTGCTGCAACTTCTCTAAATTGCGCTGCAACTTCTCCACGCGACAAAATTTCTTCTCGCTTCGAATCACCGACATGTGGAACAGCCTCCCCGATGACATCGTTGGCGCTCCAAGTATGAACGCGTTCAAGAACAGACTAGATAAAGCTATGGAAAAATATATGTTCAGATTTGAAATGCCTAGCTCCTTATCGAACCCGGTGGAAGTCTAGTAGCTACTTCAAACTATCGCCAGTCATGAAAAGATCCGGTCAAATGACACGAGTTTAGATCTTCTGTGAACAAGGCACGAAAAGGAAAAGAATCGGCGACAGGCCACATCAGGCCTACACTTCAGCGCCGACATCACTATGATATGTTATGTTATATTGCGGAAGCATTAAAGTAAAAAGTGGCTAATACAACATTTCGGACTTCAGAATTTTGCAGATTCTGTTACGCATATTCAGTTACTTAGTAATTAAATAATTAAACGAGGTGCTGCACCAGATAAATGTAATGCCAAGATAGTCTCGTGCTCCAAGGTATAATTTATAGAAGCTTCATCCTCGCCCAAATAACCAAAATGTTCTCGTTAGACGGTGCTGTAAACTCTTCTTCGAAGAGCGCAAAGTTCAACTCAGTTTTCATGCTGAATTTATTTATTCTAATTTGAGTAGAATACCATCACTGAGCTAAGCAGCCGTGACTTGTGGTTCCTCCGTTAGGCGGAGCTAAGGCCTGTCGGAGGGTGTGCATACATATCGAATTTCTGGCCCTCCACGAAGGCAAAGCTCTTTAATCCTCCACCTTATAAATTAAAGTACTTAACTCTCAGGCCTCAAAGAGTTTCATATCTGCACCTTCGTAGTGGATGGGCTCAGAGTTCCTGAAGTAGGTGAGGGCGGGGAAGTTCTTGACGCCGTGGCTGCGGGCAAGTTTCTTGTCTGCGATCTTGACGAGATGGACGCCGAAGCGCGCTGTGTCGTCATCGATGTCCTCGAGCTCGGCCAGCACCTTGTCGCAGATCGGGCAACTCCGCTTGTCTGCAACAAATATACAATAATATATAACATATTTATATATTATTATTTATATTATATTATTTATACTATATTATATTATATTTATAATAACAAATCTTATTATAAATATAAAGACAAATCAGATACTAAACTTTAAACACTTAAATGCATTATGCTTCTAAGTTTTTAATTTTCAATACTTGAATGTATGCTGTACTGTGTAAAAATTTATTTTTGATAATGTGAGTAATTTTTAGAAGTTTGATTTTGATTTAGAAAACTGAAAAGAAATTTCCAGCCTTTATTGGAACGTTCACTATATTCATCGGAACGTACACTTTCAGACGCGATACGAAAAATGCCTAAGCTAATATGGGCCCAAGTCTTGAAATATCTTATATTTCAGCGTTTACTTGGCCGTAGGCCTGTAGCCGATTCTTAACATCGCATAACACGCAGGTACAGCTCGTTGCGGTCTCAAACTCGCAACTCACTGCTACGTACAATTCTGCTTTCCGCCTGGCCTCCTCGCCGATTCTGACCAGAAACTGGCGCACAGAGCTGGGATCGAACCCGCGCTTCCCTGCTCCAATCTTGGTACTCTGAAATTTAACCACTGGGCCACCTTGCCCACCCTGATGCAAGCATTCAAAAAGGCATCAAAGTCGTTCTCAAATCTGTGTTATAAATTGAATGTAATAGATCAGCAGCAGAGTATTGAGTGAACGTCAATGAATTTATGTAACACGTATGAGTCGTAGCTTTCCTCAGTGTCATTCTAAGTATAACATGAGAAACATCTTTCTCTATAACTTGGTGTTCAGGTAAAGTTGCTAAACGAAACAAGCCTTTGAAGAGCACCTCGCTAATGAGGTATTGTTCTTGGCGTTAAAACTATTATTGTTCTTCAGTAAGAACTACGCCATCCACATGCTTATTTCGAGCTGGTATAGTGAGTAAAGACACTTGGCAGGAATGTTTCATTGCGATGTTATATTTTTTTACTCTTTGTGTTAATATTTTAACCTTCAAAGGAGTATGATAAGTAAGCGTGAGTCAGGCGGCCTGTTGCCCAACTCCTGTCACCGTAAGTCACTTCAGCGCGCAATGCAGCCTCGCAGTTCATTGAGTCGCATGCAGTGCATGGCAGAGACGAGACCGAAATACATTCTGAGCACAAATAAATGGGGTTCATTACGATCACGCATCTGCGCTAAATAAATGGTCGCATGTCAACCTAACGAGAAACACCGTTATTTTCTTTGTAATTTGATGCACAAAATCAAACACGCAGCTCTGTTGTTTTCATGGTTATTTCACGACCGAGTGCAAACCACACATTGTGTTCCGTTAATTACCCGGTCATTTATCCTAAAATTGGAACTGACAACGGAACTCCTCTGTATTGATGCACGTTTACTTATAAAATAATTACTAACCAGCGAAGCAGATGCGCTATTTTAGCATTTATTTCCTGGACAATTGCTTACCAATTACTCAGGTACGATAATTCGACAGATATTTCTCAATTACTTTTGATCATCAGGAAGCCATGCGTGATCAAGCATAGTTTTACCATTTTGTGGGTATTTCGTGAGTGCATTCATATATTGGCAAGTGGCTATGATTAAATTGTATTTCAAGTTTGACTTACTTTTAATGTTATTAAATTGAAATGTATTTATTCTTCAAAATGCTCTCAAAATGATTGTGTTAAGTTGCTTGTATTTAGCTTATAATAAAAATCATAAATGAAACCTCACTTGTTTTGGATAGCAAGCGTCGTGCACGCTTAGTTACGACCAGCGAGATTCTTGCGCGGCTCAGTCTAATGTCTGCCGCAGCGTTTGTTGCAATGTCTGTTGTAGCGTTTGTTGCAATGTCTGTAGTAGCGTTTGTTGCAATGTCTGTTGCAGCGTTTGTTGCAATGTCTGCCGCAGCGTTTGTTGCAATGTCTGCTGCAGCGTTTGTTGCAATGTCTGCCGCAGCGTTTGTTGCAATGTTTGTTGCAGCGTTTGTTGCAATGTCTGCTGCAGTGTTTGTTGCAATGTCTGCTGCAGCGTTTGTTGCAATGTCTGCTGCAGCGTTTGTTGCAATGTTCTGTTGCAGCGTTTGTTGCAATGTCTGCTGCAGCGTTTGTTACAATGTCTGTTGCAGCGTTTGTTGCAATGTCTGTTGCAGCGTTTGTTGCAATGCATTCTGAACTTTCAGTTGCGGTAATTTTCATTTCATGATTTCAATCGATCAGCATATTTTGTTCTCATGCATACCAACAATCTTCAATCGGCTTCTTCAGAAACCTTGCATCGGACAACAAATATAGTCTTATTCAAGCCTTTCGCATCCTTATTTTCATCATGGATAAAAACTTTGAGATGTATTTTATCAATATCATTAAATGAAGTTCGTTTGTTATGTATAACTATGTTTTTCAAAGTATTCCAAACCTAATGAAGCTAAGCAGCTCCTTCAATAAAGTACAATATTAGAACCGAGACGGCAAAATTTTCCCTAAGGCAGTTTTATTGAATTTATTCTCATTTATTTATATAATAATGAATTGTGTTAGGATACACAATTCATTATTCATTATGATTTTCGCAATCTTGAAAATATTTTCGTAAGTTTTCGTAAATTTTCGCCACTGAGGACGTGCCAATTAGAGCTCAAGACGCTCAGAACTTCACTCTGACGCTCGCCAATCTTACCGATGTCAGCGGTCGCTCCGAAACAATATCCAAAATATATTGGTTACATTATCCTCGCTTCTGTCAGCCCCAGGGGCGACCTCTTATAAGAAAATGCTGTTACGGTTCACGCTCTCCATACCTGTTAGCCTTTGTGTAGATATGACATAGTAATTCCATTGTGGCTCGCTATATACAGGGTCCTTCAAAAAAAAGTATCTGATTTCAATAGGCTTTTGCAAAACTCATACGACACATACAGAACAATTAATTTTATTTGTGAATAGCTTATTTGATGCCATTTTATATCACTTAGTACACTTTACTTGATTTTGAAAATTATGTTTGATAAATGATGTCCCCCATTGTTAAGACATTCAGGAAGTCTTTCCCTGAAGTTCCCATTGTTAAGACATTCACGAAGTCTTTCCCTGAAGTTGCCCATAGCTCTTCGTGTAACTTCCCTTGGAATGGCTGCCACTTCCTGCCTAATGGCATGTTTTAGTTCTTGCAGATTTCTGGGACGATATTTGTACACTTCAGCCTTTAGGTAGCCCCACAGAAAGAAATCTCAAGGTGATAAGTCGGGTGACCGTGGGGGCTAGGAAATGTCTCCTCTTAAAGACACAAGACGTTCAGAAAACAACTCTCTTAACATTTCCATGGACCGGCGAGCAGTGTGAGTCTTTCTGTGGGGCTACCTAAAGGCTGAAGTGTACAAACATCGTCCCAGAAATCTGCAAGAACTAAAACATGCCATTAGGCAGGAAGTGGCAGCCATTCCAAGGGAAGTTACACGAAGAGCTATGGGCAACTTCAGGGAAAGCGTGAATGTCTTAACAATGGGGGACATCATTTATCAGACATAATTTTCAGAACCAAGTAAAGTGTACTAAATGATATAAAATGGCATCAAATAAGCTATTCACAAATAAAATTAATTGTTCTGTATGTGTCGTATGAGTTTTGCAAAAGCCTATTGAAATCAGATACTTTTTTTTTGAAGGACCCTGTACATATCCACGGTCAGCCATTGTGTAGGTTCTACATTATTAATGCTTAATGAAATTGTTGCTGGCGTATCCACTATCCATGTCACTGTCAGAAATCGTGGAAATATGACATGACAATGCCATTATGACTTACAATATTATGTCACTGTCAGCCATTGTGGAAATACGACATAGCAATGCGATTATGGTTCACGATATCTGTATCAACGTCAGCCATCGTGACGTCACAACATTGAGAATGTCACTGTGTGTCTCGCTATCCATAACTCCGTCACACTAATTCTGGTCCTGTCTCTAAGTTCTGACGTATGACGGCCATTATAGCAAGCACACTTCTTTCGGTGCTTCACCGCTGCCCCGAATCTCACGTCATCTTAGATCTCCGTTATACCTTCACGATTTTATCGAGAAATTAATTTCATTTATTTCATAATTTAAAAAATTTATCGTAATTTTTAAGAAAATATATCTATGTTACACAGATGTACGTATATAAAATCTGACCTCATGAGTAAACCATATAGTGTCTCACCAAGGCTTAAAATTGGTCCCTTCAGGGTTTTAGCCTGTGGGTAAACTTTTTGAGCCGAAGAGAAAGAGCATGAGAAAGCCGAATCTTTAGTTCGACTTTCTCATGCATCTTTCATCGTGTGTATGTATACCCTTCTACCCTCAAGACTTATCGGAAGTTGTTTACTGCGAGTTGTTTATAACACGTGTACGTCAGAATGTCGAGCACGAAGAGCAAGTTTAAAATGTAGTTAAGCTCCGAATGTTTAACCTACCGGTTAAACGACGCTTCATTTTTCAAATTCCCCGTAAAATTTTAATTCGGTAAAAGTATGATGATCATTTTTCCTGTTATTCGAACGACGCAAAAAATCAAAATTACTTTAAACTAAAGCTAATTCTGGATACGACAGGCGTTTGAGCAAGTCTTATAACTGTCATCGTATCGAGACTACCCGATTTATGAAGACCATAAACAAGCCACAGCGTCTTGGCATGACAACTGCAGTGCACGCGTGGCAGCAGTCATGTCAGTGACCTCTTATAATATTTAACAAAACAAATTTAATTTTTATCGTTGATTCTTCTCTCTATTCAACACATGACCTGAAACAACACAAGAAACTGAAGAGGCCAGAAGATCAGTAGACGCTCAGCAGGGGTGTTGGCAGTACAACTGCTGGCATTTGTGCTTTCTTTGTTTGCTTTGCTTGGGATTAAAATTCCTCGCGTTTAATTACAGCAAGAGACATTGAAATTTGCATGGTTGCTTGCTAGACTACAAGTTAGACACCGAGAATGTGATTTTAAATATAAAATAGAAGGAAGATATTTATTAGACTTTACAGCAAGTAACGCGTTGCTAGCCACAGCCCGAGTACAGTCTACCGACAAATCTACAGTAACGCGTTGCTAGCCACAGCCCGAGTACAGTCTACCGACAAATCTACACTAACGCGTTGCCAGCCACTGCCCGAGTACAGTCTACCGACAAATCTACATTAACGCGTTGCCAGCCACAGCCCGAGTACAGTCTACCGACAAATCTACAGTAATGCGTTGCTAGCCACAGCCCGGATACAGTCTACCGACAAAGCGCTTCCTGTTGTCTGAAGCTCAAGTTTTTCTCGCTATTCTCGCTCTGTGACTCACGGTCAGTGGCTCGATTAATGCTAAGCAGGAGAGGAACGAGTGCTAACCAAGAGGGGTCAGAGTGCTAAGCAGGAGGAGCACGTATGCTAATTAGATGGGGCACGAGATCTAATTAAGCACAAGGGGCGTAAGGCAATTGAGATTTTGATAAAATATTGTTCGCATTGACAATATTTTGAAAGAACACGAGTTCCTTCTTGTCTACAAGACGCGCAATTCGCAAATGCAATATGGGCTGTCTTGCCACTATGTATATCATTCTAGACAGTCCTTAGGCCTATATTGACGCCAACATCATAATAGTCAAGCCTGGTTGTCCCACACCCCTGCCAACCTACGTTTTTATCAAGCACCAGATTTTTTTCTAGCTACCTCTGTTATCGTTTTTCTAGCAACCTCAGTTATCAGCTAATCTTGTCAGTCCTGTCAATTTTGTAGGTACGGGTCGAATCCAAAATGAGAGAGCGATCATGAGGATTACCTAATAGCTAGAAGATCTGTCGCATCGACGAGAGACACATCCTTCTTGTTGACAGAGACGTCTGTTGGTGACAGAGGCGCCTGCTTGTGACCGGGTCACCTGCTGTTGACAGAAGCGCCTGTTGTTGACAGGTTTTTAACAGAACTGTCGTCTGTTCGTTTTCTTATGATGCGCAAGTCGTCAACAAGCAGAGGCTCCGAGTCGATGGGTCTGCCGCTCTCTTCAGTTAAATTGAAATCTCGGACGTGAACTGTACACTAGTTCACTGCAGGACTGATGCGAGTCTCATTACATTGGTCTCATTACAATTGAGAGTCTCATTACAATTGAGACTCTCATTATAACTGAGCGTCTTATTATAATTGAGAGTCTCGTTATACGTAATTGCGAGTCTCATTATAATTGAGAGTCTCATTATTATTGAGAGTCTCACATTACAATTGAGAGTCTCATTATAATTGAGAGTCTCATTAAAATTGAGAGTCTCATTACAATGTTGAGTCTCAGAAGCCAACGAAAGATTCCATTTATTAATTCTAGCAATGAAGAGGACGAAGGATAGGAGCTGTCAAAAATACAGTGAACGATGGGCAGGTAGATCAAGAAACACGGTGGACGAAATACGGGTAGAACCAATAACACGGTACACGAAAGGCGGGACGCCGCATGACTCAGCAGTGGACGGTCATGGGACGCTGCATGACTCAGCAGTGGACGGTCATGGGATTGCATGACTCACCAGTGGACGGTCATGGGACGCTGCATGACTCACCAGTGGACTGTCATGGGACGCTGCATGACTCACCAGTGGACGGTCATGGGACGCTGCATGACTCAGCAGTGGACTGTCATGGGACGCTGCATGACTCACCAGTGGACGGTCATGGGACGCTGCATGACTCACCAGTGGACGCTAATAAGGGAGGAGGGGCGTAGCGCGCTCAGGTGACATAGTCTATATCAGGAAGTGTGGCCATAGATTACTGATGATAATTTACCAGGGCTGGCTGTTCTTCAGTATTTACTGGTATTTTTTCATCAAATAGTGTAAAAATGCGTCCGTTTTTATTTTTTAAATCAATACGATACATTGAAACCCGTTGTATAATTGTGCATAATGAATATTAGGATGGAATGTGAAGTTTTCGTTCCCGAATCTGATCGCTAGTTATTTGGACGAAAATTCTTGATTAAAGAATGACGATGTTATTCACTACCCATCAGAAAATAGGGTCGTGTCTTTATGATTGGTTCGATTAGTTCGTTTGCTCATGTGAAATAAGAAGTATGTATTTGTACGTATATTAATATAAAACATTGTACAGTAAACTCTACGGTATGTGATCCTAACATTTGGTTTACTATAAAAACAATCTCCGGTAAATACTCGATATTTTTAAGTTACTTATAATAGACTAGAGGACCAGATCCTTCAACAAGGTCAACATTGAACATTAAGATCTGACGGACTATTCAAGTGTTTTATTAACAAAGACAGACTGTTAAACTATTAAATAAATTGTGTATGCTCAACATAATGACTGTTCATTTCTAGGAATCGTTGAGGAATCGCAAGTTCCACAAAAATCAACATGTTTGAGGGCTAAATGAGACCAAGTAATTGATTCTAATTAATTTTCCACTGAAGGCAAAGTCGAATCTCATATTTCATTAAACCTTTAAATTGAGATATCAAGTTTTCATTTTATTGGTGTTTTCAAAGTTACCGGAAGCACTTGTCTTCATAATACTTCCACCAAGTTAGCTATGCGCATTTAAATCTAGCCGCAATTGAACCGCCTGCGCACGTCAGTCTTTTCCTGCGACGTGGTATTTTTTAAAGGGGTGGATTCCGCATTATTTTTTTTGCTTATCTCCCTAGCTTTATCCCCTTGACGGATGCCCCCTCCCCCTCCATCTCCTCCCCCNTAGGTGACCTGCACCTGTGACGTGACTAGGTGACCTGCACCTGTGACGTGACTAGGAGACCTGCACCTGTGACGTGACTAGGTGACCTAAACCTGTGACGTGACTAGGTGACCTGCACCTGTGACGTGACTAGGTGACCTGCACCTGTGACGTGACTAGGTGACCTGCACCTGTGACGTGTGATGGTGCCAGCACCTGTCGTTACATGTTGCACCATCGAACTCTTTCTCGTTGATGAAATTATTCGCGTGCAAGATAATTTAGTCAGCCATGCCTCCGCCAACGAAGCTTCGTTGGCGGAGGCTAGATTAGTGTAGCTTCACTAGCTGCACTAATCCTAGTGACCGTAATACCACTACACTTAACACACACGATAATGATCAGAAATACGTACACTTGCACTACAATAATGCATAGAAAGCCTGAGTTTTTCAGATGATACCAGAAATCTTTTCCTCTTGTCAAATATGTAGATGAACGGTACGCATGGCAGTGCGGCGAAGACTGTGAGGTGGTCACTCTAGTGTCAGAGATGGCGTTCGTCTTACGAGTATGTTACACTAACAATGCTGGTCGGTATCATATAAGTCATAAGCAATGCATCACTAGGCTAGTAAAAGATATACTTCCTCTGCTAAGTTAATATAGTAAACGTTATGTCAGGTTAACGTGTGTTATGTTATGCCTGATTTATGTTACTTACGTTATGTTAGGTTACAGTAGGTTATAATAGAGTTAGCTTTAAGTAGATCTAATTAAGGTATATAATGTAGGTTAATTTTAGTTAGATTAATCAAAATTTCGCAATTCACTCAACTCACACCAATAGACGGCAACGTAATCACTCTCTTCCAGCATGTCATCCAACTGCTTGGCTGTCACATCCTGAATAACGTCATCTTTCTTGCCTGAGACGGCACTCACAGACGTCAAGAGCAGCATCAAAACTATGCACATGCCTAAAATGAACTTAGTACATTTGCGAGAAGTCCTGGTGCACTCCACCTTCTGTTTGATGCACTGCACTGTATTCTTATTCCACCCTCTGGCTTGTCCAGTGTGGAATTTAGCATCAACATCACAAGCACCAACATCATCATGGTGACTCAGCCTCATCCTGACGTTCCTGCAAGATCACTCGTTACCTAGGCTCTACCACTGAAGAAAATAAACACAGGGTATAATTTAACAAAAAAGCTGTAAATTTCATTCAAAAACTCTGTATCGAAATATCATTGAAAAAGGGAATATTTTTTAATCGGGTCATCTTCCCTGCAATTGCGAAGGTAATTTGGCCTACAAATTGTATGCATGCAAATACTACACCCATGCACCTTGCTCTCTTACTGCTGACTGTACATGAAAATTCGTCACACTTCACTTCGGTCAAATTGACAAAATCGACCACAGTTGAGTGCAGGGAGTCGATTTATATATGTTCTTCCCTGTATTTATTTAGCGTCATAATAAGCATCCAAAACGACGACATAAATCAAACCTAACAGTCAAACATTGATGGGACAAATTTCTCTTCCGTTAAATAATTAGAATGAATATAATAGAGTACTTCCACTCGAATTTCAATATTCAATGTAATTAATGTATATAATTAATTTGAAAAATTTAGCTACTAATTCACTATTTACTTTATTAAAACAGGTCATATAAACTCCATTGATGCTGTTATGTGGTTCAATAATATATTCATCACTCTCCACCTAAACTTCAAACACTGAACTTTGCACGCCTGATAAACTTCACTGCAATTAGTTGCATTCGTTTTCTATCACGTATTATTTGCTTGCCTGTATTATATCACGTATTATTTGCCTGTTTGTCACGAGCTGTTATCTTAGCCACCCTGGCGCTCTAAAAAATCATGTCACTCTGCAACCCTAGCGGGTCGACGAACTAAACTCGAAATATTCGTTCGTACTAATGACTTATATTTGATGTACAGCTTTGTTGTTTAGTGCAGCCTAGCAGCGCTAGCGCAACGCAGTCACCCCGCCGGCCGTGCGTCGCAACTAACCTTGGTGCTGCGGTGGCCGCCTTCAGTGCCGATGCAGCTACACGAACCTCTGCCAAAATAGCCGAGCTCTGCTAGCGTAGCCAGCACCGGCCACAAGCTCTGCTCTCTGCCATCGAGCTATCGGCAAAAATGATGTAATGATGTCTATTTTAAACCAAACTAATTTTAGACTTTAAATCTGTGCCTTGTGTTAGAAAGCTAGTGTTGAAAATTATAAAACGATATCTGTCCCGCGGAAAGGTTTTTTAAATGCTTAATATGAGCTGCGTTACCAGTGATGTAACATCTGTTGATGAATGCAAAAAATTTAGAATGTCAATGCATGCTGTCTGTTGCAAAGCTCTCCCCGAAAATGATTGAACGAATAACAACCTGAATTTTGATCTCGTTTCAACGTAGAATAGCCGTTGGGGGATAGATCAAATTTCAATAAACCAAGATCAGCGTTGCTTCGATGTTGAAATAAGTTTGTTCAACGTCTATTGCAGTGTTAATTCCATTTCCACTTCATTTTTCTTCAAGTTTTATCTGATCAACATTTAAACCTGAAATCAATCAATAAGCGACGTTGTTTCAACGTCAGAAGCCTGCTGGGGTAGGTATCTCGATATGATGATAACTTCTATATTCATGAATTAATGTTCCTGTTCATTGCTGCTCGAGCACATGACCATCACCAGAGTTTTCGATCACGAAAGTCTTCTGCCATAATTATGATCGTTTGTTTTAAGTAATCGCACAGTGACATTCGTTTTATAGCTGTCCTCTCGCATCTTCGGAAGACGTCTCAAGTTCGGAAGAAGTGTAAACGGCCGAGCTTCGGAATAGCTTTGATGGTTTTCATTTTAGTGACATTGCTGTCAGGTCGTGGCCGTACTACTGCTGCTGCTGTGTCTGACAGTACTTTCGACATTACTTGAATGGATTACCGGCTGTCTAATCGCTGCGCGTCTGGTTGCTTCGCTTGTTGTCGTGCAATTTAATAAGGGCCGGCGTGGCCGCCGGATTGTTGTTGGCCGTACAGAAATGTTGCAAAGTCGTGATGGTCAGTTCTAGATGTTTCTATAGGAATCGTAACTGTATCGACGAGTCGATGTTTCCGCGACCGGTATTGTTTGAAAACGTCATATGGCCGCTGTCGTCACGACGTTCCTGGAGTGCAGACCGTGCGCCCTCACCAGACCGAGCGCCCTGACCATGACTGACTTCAGGAGAACCAAGACACAAGATCCCTCTGACGTCAGCTTAATTACGCTCCTTACATACATCGCAATCGCTGACCCTTGCATGACGCTGAATTTCTGGACTGATTTCACTCCCGATAGGCTCACCTGGACTCCTACGTATACTGCTCGATGTAAACAACGCTCGCGTTGCACATACCTCATCGCATTAAACAACATTCCTAATTTTCTCAACACCCTAACTTAGAATTAAATTCACAACTTGATAATTCGTCCCTGAACTACGTTTTGTACACGCATATCAGCAACCCCACACTCCCGCATTACAACTACCACACTCCCGTATCCCAACTACCACACTCCCGGATCCCAACCACCACACTCCCGTATCCCAACCACCACACTCCCGTATCACAACTACCACACTCCCGTATCACAACCACCACACTCCCGTATCCCAACTACCACACTCCCGTATCCCAACTACCACACTCCCGTATCACAACTACCACACTCCCGTATCCCAACTACAACACTCCCGTATCCCAACTACCACACTCCCGTATCCCAACTACCTCAACTACCACACTCCCGTATCACAACTACCACACTCCCGTATCCCAACTAACATAACCATAACTCAAAAAGCGTTTAATGGCCAAAAGAGACGCTAGACGTGTACGAAAGTGACGATTTTGATGCACCAAAAAATGTAAAATATTCAAGAGTGTTGAAGAATATTTCGAACACTTCGCTACATTAGAATTATGTAAAGTAATAAAAAATATGAGAGCAGAGGTGGGCCGCATATAACCAAACAGAAAAAATAACGCGGACCGTACGCTTAGGTTAAATTATTGCAATTTTCAGGTCAAACCACAATTTAAAATATTATCTTAAATTGATATATTATACGCTTCAAGTTGGTATTTTTATATATAAAGTTAATTTAAAATATAGTAACATATATGTTTTTCATCATTAAATAGTGTTCTTTGTTCTTTCACGTTGTTATTGGTAATTTGAATATTTATTTGCATAATTTACATATATTATCTCAATGCAAGCCTCTAGCATTTATGGTGTTATCATGCAGTTTTCCTGCGTTTTACTATTTTAACGAATGGATATACAGACAGTTTTAGAACTACGGATCTATTGAATATTTTTATGAATAGAGATGGATAAAAGATACATTTAATTAGGTATTATATTGCTGTGAAATACTATATCTCTGTAGTTAATGCCGAAAATTGTTTCATTCCAGTCTATTCTAATTATAATTCTACGTTATTTGTTTGAACGAGAGGAAAAGAGCATCAACTTGACACCACGCGAGTTGAATAGACGAGAATGAAACGAGAGGAAAAGAGCATCAACTTGACACCACGTGAGCTGAATAGACTAGAATGAAACGAGAGGAAAAGAGCATCAACTTGAGTAAAAGACGAGCTGTTGAGACCAGCAGGCCTGTGCTGCACTGGGTGCTGATAGCGTGCATGGCGAGGGAGCTTCAGATTGAGCATCTTCTTAGGCAACTACTTAGTGAACCGTCAGTCAACTAATTAGTGGACCGTCAGTCAACTACTTAGTGAACCCTTGGTTAACCACTTAATGAACCGTCAGTCAATTAATTAGTGGGCCACCAGTCAACTAAAACTGCAATAATTTTTCTTTAGCGTAGTCAACTACTTAAAAATCTTTTTTCGGCATGCAAGCAACCAAATAATTTCTTAGTGGTGGGATCTGATAAGCACAAAACTTGTGGTGCTTGTCGATAAATCACCCATGAAAAAAATCACCGGAAAGAAAAGTTGTAAATTTCACTACAATTCAAGTGTATCGACTGAAACACTGAAGAAAGCTAGGTAGTTTGATTTTTGCCAGCTGACTGGTATGTTGGGCATTTGCCATAAGATTAGTCTCAACCTCCATGATATATATATATAAATTTCACTCGCAGCATTGCTATTGAAATGTTCCATGGGAATGTAACGGGTAATAATAACTAATAAACTTTTACTCTTCAATCATGTAAAAGTCATTGCAAATGCTTATAAATATAATGAATATTTGCCGACTTGATTAGGGGCATAATATGTAAAATCATTATATTCACTTTTGCTATTTATTTAGGACAGATAACTGCTGAAAAATATATTACTCAATTAAGTTCCTCTGTGTTTTGGGTGGACAGTCTAACATTCAGTTCTGATTCTAGCTCATTAGCAAATTTGACATTCTTACCTCTTCATTGGATGAAAGGCTGCAACGTCACGTGACATACTTGCAGCCAATCCCCTTGGCTTATGCTTCTTCATTCACGCAACGAAAGCGAAAAGCTATATTGTTTTTGTATCTACAAAATAGTGAGCAAACAAATCCAATGAAATCTTCTATTGAAATAAAAAATAGTATGATAAAAAAGCATGGTAATGACGTGGTTTTCTAGAGTTTTATTTCAGTTAGAACTACATTAACGATGTAAGCAACTTGACATTTCGTAAAATCTTGAACTAAAATGTTGTTGCAGATTATTCATAATTAACGCAGACAAAATTAGCTGATAATTTTGAAAAACTCGTGAGTTATTCAAAGATGAGAATTATAAAGGAACATCTTATCATCCAACACAATGTTAATACTTATCGTAGCATGCAATGATCGATATACTATTTTTCTATTGACTTTCACTATATGTGCAAGAGATTGAGGAGTGCAAAAGTTCCAACATTGTCATCCCTGTTGCTGTCGAGTGAGGTTAGGGTGTCTTTTTAATTACTGTATTTTATCAATATCCACTCACTCACAGGTTAGTTTGAACTATTTTTAGTTATTTATAATGTCTATTTCTTGCATATATTTGTACTGTTAATCACTAAGTCATGAAAGTTATCGACAATTAGTCGTCGAATGTCTTTGTTTTCGTGGGTCGCCTTGTCAAGGCTGCGAGCGCTCGGAGTCGTGAGACTGAGGACTGGTTTCTGTAACTCGGTGTCGCGTCCTATTGATATCAACATAATAATTTGTTCCTTTTCTTTTATAATTTGTTGAGCAAATTTTACACTGTTCTCTGTAAATATAATGCAAGACCGCTAGTGCTTGCCATATTCGAGGTTTGGATTTTTTTTTTTGGTTACGTACCGAGTTGTCCGAGTCTCCGATTTCTTGTGATGATATAATTTGTACCTGCGCTTTTAAATTAAAATAAGCCAGTTTTCTTCTGTTGAATGCTATTGACAGATTGTAAAAAAACCATGCATTCTAGTATCAGTTGCATTGACTAGCTTGTTTTCATTTAGTTGTTGGCTCTTTTGTTATGATACCTAGTATGGGATGGAGAATTTTAACTACTGGGGGAGGTTACAGCGACTGAATTTGTACTCACTGCAGAGGAGACGGGAGAGGTATGTCATTCTGTACACATGGAAAATGATAACCGGAATAGTGCCAAACTTCGAGAGCGAGACCTTCAAGATTCAGACATATCACAACGAGAGAAGGGGGAGACTGTGTACCTCCCCTGCAACACTACCAGCGGCGAGAAGCAAGCAACAGCATCGTGCATCAGGTGGCCCAAATGAGGGCGGATGAACGATAATCAGAGGCGGCGATCCATCGTGGCCTGGGACTGTTGTGTCCCAAACAAATACTAAGGATACTAAGGATACCATTTATTGTCATTGACAAATAACGTGTAAAAACGTGTAGCTACCTAAATCATAAATGTATTGATAGCCTAGCCTATCATCAAATAAACAACTTTTATTTCTAAGTTTTTGACAGTGAACTATAAAAAGACAGCTTATGCTGCAATGCTCAATAACTTTTTTTTCTTTTTTGGATGTCATCTTAATGTTTGGTTTTCTAAAATCACTAACAATATTCCATTTTAATTTCCATATAAGTTATGATGTAAAAATTATATGGTACATGTGAAAGTGTTTTAATTTAAATATTTTTCATAATTTAATGCTATTTTCTATTTCAGGTAAAAAGTATGTGTACATATTTCTGCCATGACAACATATTATTTGTACATATTTCTGCCATGACCATTTAATAGCCTAATTGAAAAATATTAAGAGAGTATCTTCATCAAGTGAAGCTTGCCAAAAGTTACCTTATTATATAAACTGGAAAATTGTGTGGTAGCTACAACCCTTGATGCCTTGAAGCGTGTATAATAATTAGGCATGTGCTAGAAATCTGATTTTCTTGTATAAAGATAATGAAAATTATAAATTTAATAATATGTGTTTAAAAATTTATTTTAAAGACAATACTTCCTAAGAATCCATTGTCTCTGATGTTGCACATAATGAATTTCTGATTTTATTTTCTAATAATAAAAAATACAAAATTTTAAATTTTTTAATATAAAAATGATTTTTAAATTTTATAATATAGGTACCGGTATAAAAAATTAAAATTTCAAAACTATTTATTCTGTCTGTTGATTAATGTATTATCTCTGACTTTATGCAAGTCTGCAAAATTTCAGATCAATAGGACAACTAGAAGTGTGTTAGATATCAATTACTATAAGATTTGTAGCAGACAGACAAACAAACCAACAATAATATGCATTTAAAAATTAGTTTTTAAAGACAACACTTCTAAAGAATCCAGTGTCTCTGATGTTACACATGTACAATGAATTTCTAAATTTATTATCAATCAATAAAAATAATAATTTTTAAATTTTATCTTCAAAATTAAAAAAATTTAAGTTTTGCAAAATTATTTATTCTGTCAATTGAATCATGCATTGCCTCCAATTTTATGCAAGTATGCAAAATTTTAGATTCATTGGAAAGGTAGAAGTGTGTTAAACATTGATTATAAGATTTGTAGCAGACAGACAACAAGAAGTGAAGTTAAAGAGAAGCAAAATTGGAAAAATATAAAAACATTAACTTGTTTGTGTTTTTAAATAAAGACCAAAACATAAAGAAAATAGTCACAAGACTAGAATAAAACATCTGGATTAAAGCTTTGACTGTTGGTGGGAAGGGAGATGAGGTGTGATTGAAAAATATGAATGGTATAACATTGTCCAAATGTAGAATTGAATGAAAATTTTCATGTTCTTCACAGTTTTGGCACATAAAATGAGTTTCTTACATCTGAAATTTGCCCCAATATCAGGAGTACCGTAAAATGGGGTAACTTAGACCACTTTTTTTCTTATAAATGATGCCATTTTCTTACTAGCTAAATTAAACTTGAATTGAAACATGCAAAATACAGGTCTATACTCTAGCTTCACTCACCATAAATTGCTGGCTCCTGCCTCTCATAGTCTTTTGCAAACTTTTTAAATCTTTCTATTGTGTTATGTAGCCTCAGTATTAGGCCTTTAATGCCCATTGACAAAATTTTTCTATGTCAAATAGTTTTTGAGTTGTGGGGTTTTTTGTAAAAAAAACCAAAAGTGGTCTAAGTTACCCCGCCGGTCTAAGTTACCCCATTTTACGGTACCTAACAATTTTATTTTAGGCTGGGGATATTCAATCACTTAGATATAAAATATACTATTAAATATTTCTACCTTCACAAAAAAATGAAAATGCCAACATTATTTTAGAGTGGGGACAATATCATGAACATGGATGCTCCTTTCTACAATCCATACCATCATCACATCTAGAGATGATGCATGGGGGCTTTGCTGATCATGCCTTAAATGATGATTAAGTTATATCACCACATCTCTGCGATGGCTGTCCTGGGCTTGGGCCTATGTTGTAGTTGGTTGTTGTTGTTGTTGTTGTGGTTCCCCGGTCTCATTTTTACAAGAGACCCCCTCGCGCAAGTACGACACCACCGACAGGGGGTCGCTCCAGAGCTGTAGGGTCGAGGTTATATGGTGGTGTTGTCTGAGATCCTGCCAGAGCAGACATTCCAGGAGAATGTGAGTGATTGTGTGGGGAGCTCTCTGGCAGGATGGGCAGGTGTCTGCGTCTGCTTGGCCTATTCTGTTTGCGTATGTTTGTAGTGAGGGGTGGTGGCTGCAGCGCAGCCTGGCTAGGTGTACTCTCTCCAGTCTAGAGAGCTGTGTTTCTGTGCTGCTTATGTCGGGTGGTGGGTGCCCAAGGACTTTGTTGTTGCTGGCCAGCTACAGCGTTCTAAAGGCCCGTTTCCACTACGGGACTGATTCTGAAGGATTGAGATTGGACTGAGACCAATAAGCCACATGGCTGGACTTGAAAACTGGCATGCGCGTTTCCACTACACGCCTGTGCTGGGATCGAGACTGACGTGCCATCTGGACTACCGCTCTGTCGCGCGCGACATTTCAGTTACCCGTTGGCCTTCGAAGAGGGAACATACTGACGCTCTTGCTTTAAGCTGTTGTCACTGTGCGCAGGCAAAGGCGCAGGAGGAAAAAAAGATCGATTTGGTGCAAAGAATGGCTGTTGAAAAGGTCTTCAAGAGGTAGTTATGGACAACTGTTTCAAGAGTTATCATCGAGAGAGAGCCATTTCTTCAGTTATTTACGAATGCCTACGAATATTTTCTATTACATCCTCGATAAAGTAACACCATTAATTTCTCGCGAAGATACTCACCTTTGTAGGAGTATTTCTGCTGGCGAAAGACTCAATAAGCCTCTCAGTAACATCTCTGTTCCAGTCTCCGTCATGCGACATTGCAAAGAAAAGTAAATGAACAGTACTTGTGTGTAAATAAGGTAGGAGCAACAGTCACACACAATCTACTCAGACTGCAGTCAAAGCGACACTCCCGAGATGAGCAGCTTGAGCGGCTCAAAAGAATGAACACTGCTTCATTCGCCGATGAGCCCGTGTTGATGGTCCGGACAGCTTCAGTCTGGGCTGAAAACGCCAGTTTTTCAGTCGTCAGTCGCGCAGAGTCTCATAGTAGAAACGGGCCTTAAGTGTCATAATTGTGTGTAAGTGTTTTTTTTTTGTGCTGGTGTTGCCTTGGGGTGGGGGTACTGTATCTAGTATGTTGGTGTAGTATCTGTGTGGGGTTTGCACTATTTGTCTGTGTGTAGGTGGGTGGTTGCATAGGTAGTGGCACGGGTGTTGTGTGTTGTTTATGGCTGGTGTAACCTGGAGCAAAAGTTGTGTTGTCACCAAGCTACTTTTTGATGAAGAAGTCTGAAAAATTTCAAGAGACTTTACAAATGAATTAGAACCATTAGTATTGTTAGTACCAGTATTAATTTTTCTGTCTTTAAGCAAAAACCAAAATTTGAAAGATGCACTCTCTGCTTATAATGTTTATGAAGCCTGTAAGTGCAAAGTCAACAATACATGAATCATGCAAATGCGTAAATTAAAACATAGTATCATAGACATATGCCATGCATCAAAAGTACTATGGATCTTAATAATGACAAGGCAATATAACAACATTAGGCATAATACTCTGAGAACTTCTTATTTTTTTGCTGTTGGTCCTCACAGGGTGGACTTAAGAGCCCCTGGGCATGGGGAAAGGATGACTGTTGGGTCTGAGAGCCTGTGGCTTGTGACGTTTTCAATATAGGAAGGCAGTCAAAACCTTCTTATGAGAGGTCAGTTAATGTGAAGCTTGGTGCAGGATTATGTAGGAATTTAGAGAAGACGTGTATGAGCAAACAATCTCAAGTATAAGCTGTCTTCTGATATAGTGCAGGAGGAGAAAGGGTTACTAGTGCAACACCCTTCCTAACACTTGACACCTGAAAGAGACATTCAGATGACTCAAATTTGCTAAAACTAGAAGCAAATATAACAAATGTGACACCAGTTATCAATTGAGTGAATGTCAGTCATGCTTATTTACATATGTACATGGAGCCTTGCAGCACCTTCCTGGCTTCAAAATGACCTTCCTGGCTTCAAAATGACCTTCCTGGCTTCAAAATGAAAGAATCAAAAGATTTTCTGTTGCACATCATTATAGTTACCTACCCCCAAAAGATTACAGAGTGTAAATTGTACATTAATGTAACCTACATTTTTTTGTATTTTTTTTTGTCTTGGCCGTGCATGACGTTGACAGTCCAGAAGAAAGTGTTGTATCTGATGTGTTGCAGGTGAAACATTGTGTTGCAATAGTGCAGTATCTGGTATGTCATTAGCTGATACTATGTATTCCTGCCATTTCAATGTAAGAATGTAACCGTCCTACACTAACTAGGCTTTGTGTTATAACAAGAGAAAATGACTTGTCCAAAACATTCAAATTTGTTCTTTGGATTCTATGAGCCAGGATTTTCCATTCACTTATTCTATTTCAATAATATTTTCTCCAATGAGTAGAATTCCATGTTCCATAGATTAGGTATTCATAAATAATGGAGCTTGTAAGATAATTCACCCATGCTGTTGCCTTTGAATAATTTTTAATGCAAATTAATTGAAATTATACATTTCAATGGCAGTATTTGAAAATAACCCAAGAATTCATGTTCTTGCCAGAAATTTTTGGTCTACCTACTCAATATTTCATTCCAGTCATGAAGCATATATTAAAATTTAATGCAGAGTAAAATTTTTACTTTGAATGAGACAGCCGAGTATCAGGAATAGCTTCGATGGTTAGCTAGGTTTTTTCTACTTTTTTTCTAGGTTTTTTTGGTGTATTTAGAGCCTCCATGATACCAATTTGTTGCCTGAAAGAAGCCAATGTATAATCATGGCAGATGGATGGTGCTGATTGCATTTATTTTCAATATGGCCAAGGCCAATAATTGATATGGAAAAAAAAGTTCTGCAACGTATGCAGAAATTTACTCAAATTTAGACTAGCTACAAACAATGTTATTTCATGTTGTCAATATATTAACTGATACTGTTTGAAAGTGCAATCCCACAAAAATAGTGATTTAAGTTCAAGTTCTCTTGATTGAAAACTTGATGGTAATATCTAGACTCCTGCGTCTCGAAATAATTTTCTCGAAATGAACCGGGACAGACGAAACGAGACGAGAAAATTCCGGGAAAAAAATAACGGGACAGAGGGTAAAATTTGTCCCGGAATAAAGGTATGAACCGAGACAAGAATTCTGTCCCGGACTTTAAAACTTGTGTCCCGGTAAATTATGAACCGGGACGAGACAGACAGATTTGAAACGAGACATAACGAGACGAGACAAGATTTGTCTTAATTATTTAAGACTAAACAAGTTTTTCGATTACGATACGAATCATTTCAAAAACATGGGTTGAAGAATGACAAGTTTGCCCTTTATTGCTAATAGGGACATAGACAGTTACAAGTTAAATTGAGTTAATTGCAGATTTAACATAAATTAACATAACATAGTGGGTGATCTCGGCGCTGAAGTGTAGGCCTGATGTGGCCTGTCGCCGATTCTTTTCCTTTTCGTGCCTTGTTCACAGAAGATCTAAAATCGTGTCATTTCATTTCAAAGTAGCGCTGCCCAGCTCTGTATAAATGTATGACAGTAAGCCAAAGTTTACACCACATCAATAATTGATTAGTCTCGTTATGTCTCGTTAAAATGGCTGTAAATTCCGGGAAATTTTAAGGTACCTATTTTAACCGGGATGTCTCGTCTCGTCTCGGTATCGTCCCGGAATTCCTACGGAGGGCTGAAAATTGTCCCGGTTTTTATTGCGAACCGGGACAGAGCCTGTTGTCTCGTCTCGTCTCGTCTCGGATTAAAAAAAATGCCAAACGCAGGAGTCTAGTAATATCTTGATATTGTATGTATACCTATTTCTTCACATTCTAATAATGATACAAGTACATTTTAATACGAGTACATTTTAATATGTTCTACACCAAAATTTCTTGCTTATTTAATGTGATGCAATTATGAAATAAAAAAATTGATTGCCACTTGAATTAATTGATTGTCTTATGATAGCAGCACATCCTATTCTGTCCACTGAGATTTAATTTTCAGCTGCTGTAGCATCCATTTCACTACTGAATTCTTATTAATTCTACTAATAGACTGAATATTTTAATTCATTTCTCTGGATTATTAGTAAAAAATTACTTGACATGAAGGCTTATGAATAATCAGTGCGTAAGAATTTTAAAATTGGATTTAAATTTCAAGATATGAGATGTGTTTTACTTCATATTTATTATTTCAAATACAAGTGTTATTTTCATTGGATTTATTATTCTTTTATACCAAACACTGTTGGTTTTGTTTCATCACTAATGACTTTTGTAATTTTTCAGTGTCTTGTGGTGAGCTATGAACTTGTCAGACCAGCATGGGTAGCAGTTGTCTAAAGAAAGCCCAACATGCGCAGTGGAAGCAAGTCCAAAAAATCCCATGCACGGAATAAATTGAATCAACAGAATAGTGGCACTGCCACTTCTTCACTTATTTCTGGCACTGCTACTCCTGGCAGTTCATCAACTGGCTCGTCTTGTACAGGAACGCTCTCAGTTACGAGTCAAACAAAAGGTGGTAGTGTTGCAACAGTATCAACCTCCACAGTTACAACTGCCACTAGTGTCCCTGCTCCTGGTGCTAGTAACTCTGATAAGAGCACCACCAACAACTGCAGTGATGACAGCTCTGCAACGTGGCAAGTAAATGGCAGCTGTAAGGGAATGTCTAGCAACAATGGCAACAACAGCTATGGCAAAGAGGACAAACCTGGCAATCATGGTGCCTGCAAGTTGCCAAAGAAGAGGAAGTTTGATCCTGCTGAGCTGGAGGGCATGCAAAATGAAGATAAACCCACCAATAAAATATTAGTTGTCTCTGCTAGCCAGGTCCCTGATGGCTCAGGTCTCATCCTGTGTGATGGTATTAGCAGTCATGGCAGTGTTACTCCCATCACTTCATCCTTCTCTGCACCATCCAGAAACCCAATGGTGGTGCGCAGCAGTAGCAGCGGAGTAGAGGATCTTACCATCAAGGCTCCAACATCGGCCAGCATCTGCTTTATGCAGAATGCTAAAATCATTGCTAGTAATGGATCAGATTCCCATGTTTCTCTCCCTGTTGATATGCGAAATAGTCAATCTGCTGCACAGACTAGTATTTACTCACGAAGTCAACCTATTGCTTCATATGTACAAACCCAACCTCTTTCTCTTGTATCTGTCAACAAACAGCCATCTGCTGCTCTTTCTATTCAGTCAAGCATTGCCACTAGCAATGGCTCATATGTGAGTCGCCCTCGAACTATCAGTGCCATTGAAAATGCAACCCCATGCCGAGCTGTGACCCTGGTACAAACTGGTGACACCAAGACTGTACATTTCATCAACCAGCCACCTGCTAGCCAGCATTTGGAAAGTGAGCGCATAACTCACATGCATCAACCTATAGTTATCAAAGACAATTCGGTTCAAGTGAGTTTACAGCAAGGAACTATTCCAAGCAAACAGATGATCATTACACAATCAGGTTCCAATGTAATACATTCTTACGTTCAAAAGCCAGTGCATTCCACTCAAGTTTCTTCCATTCCAAGTTCATCTCCTGGTGAAGGCACTACAATGAGTTATCACCTACAGCGGCAATCGTCTGGCACGCTTCTCGGTCCTACCGTCACTCTTGCAGATGCTCATTCCCCTGGAGGGTTAGAAACTGGCACAATATACCAGGTGCATCCCACTCAAGCCAGCCAGCTTGGCTCCCAACACATCATTGTGGCCAATAGAGCTCCAGCTCAGATGCAAGCTAACTCGCAGCTCAGGAGCGACAGAAGCAGTCAGGCGACATCTCCTCCCTTGCAGCTTACACTGCAGCATCAGAGCAAGGATCAGATGAAGAGTGTTCAATTACAACACTTTGTTCAGCAACACCCTGTACAATTAAATCAACAGCCACATCTGCCTCAAAATATTCACCAACATTTAGCTTCTGCTCAGCAATCCATTGCTCGGCCAATTCCTGTCCAGCCTGTTCAAGTTCAAGCCAACATTCTGGCTCACCCCACCTCTAGAGCACAAGGCCAGATTGTGAGGGTGCCGCAGCAAACTTCACAACTCCTGCAGCAGCAGCAAATCATAGCAGTCTCGAGGGGGATGGTGATAGCATCAAATGCTGGAGTGACTGCTTCTCTTTGCACCGACTCAAACGTTCAAAATAATTTTATTGGGACTGGCACCAACAAAAGGCAGTATTCAAGTACGGGTCTGTACAAAACGACATCATCAGAAATGACTCCTATACGTTCTAATTCAAGCCTGAGGAATAAAATAACAGGTACTCCTGAGATTGCGTATAGCTCAGCCACTGGGCGAACCCCTGTCAATTTAAGTGACTGGGTTGGCCACAGGATTTTGGCCAAGAGTGGAGGACACTTTTACCCGGCAGTGATCACGGCCATTCAGAGTGTGTGCGATATTGTTGTGCGGCTGGACCACAGCCCTGGCAAGGAGCTGGTCTACACCAACGTGTTCAGCAGTGCAAAATGTGACGTGGTGAGTGACTCGGTGCCTAGTGTGCAGCAGCTGCTGGAGGGCATGCGGGTGGTTGCACGTCTTGACAAAGATCAACAAATCTTTGTTGAGGGGGAAATTATTGAGAGGAAACATTCAGGGGGAAGCATTTTATACCAGGTGAGGATTGCCACTTCCCATGATGGAGGCAGTGAACAGGAACTGCAGCTCATGAGACCACACCTGCGTCTTCTCCAGCCACCATGGTGGGAGGACTTGGAGTCTCTCAATTCCCACATCCCAAGCCCTTTAACTCCTCTCACCCCTCGGCCGCATTCGTCCAGCGCATATCCTCATCCCAATGGTGCACATAACAAGCAGTCTCTTGCTGCTCAGTATGGCGACCAGCAGCAGCAGCACTCAGCTGACACAGGCTTTGTGAGCTCAAGCAATAACTCACCATGTGACCGCACGAGCCTGACACAGCACCACAGCAGTGGCAGCAGTAGTGCTCATCTCAGCAACACCCAGCACCACAGCAGCAGCAGTGCCCACCTCAGCAACACGGCGACGCCGTCCGCAGCTGACCTTGCCCTCGCCTCTTCAGTCCGACGCCCGCCTGACGAATATGAAAGTGATGACGAACTCAAGCGGGAAGACATTTCTTTCCCATCAGATTCTGGTGAGATTTTACAACTGCTTTTATTGATCTTGTAACTCGTTTTATTTGGCCCTTCATGTTTATAATACTTTGGTAATAGTACAATTGTTTGTGTGTTACGTTACGATTTTGGGGCTTAATGAAGTTTCCTGATTCAAGTACTTTGCATTAGGTTCTGTAAGGGAAATGTATGTTCTTATTTACAAATCATGCTGACGATCAAATCCTAGTGATATTCAAATGTCCTTTCTTGTAATTTACTGCATGCATTTAATGACATGCAGTAAATCTCCAGTAAACGAGACCAATTCAACCTGATAGACTTCTAGAAACCAAATTCAATTATTTACAACTGCCATCATTCAACCTTGTAACCACATAATTTTCCTGGTTTAGATCAACACCACTTCGGCAACCTACACCGGTCGCTGTCACTGACCCCTGGGGCACTTGGAGGGGCTGGTGGGGGAGGGGCGCGCTACCTGGAAAGCAGCAGTGGGAGCAAGAGTGGCGTGTGTCGCAACTCCATGCACAGTCGGGGCTCGACTTCCAGCCTCATCGAGCACGGCAGCAGCGGCATCGCTACTCCCAGGCTCACCCCTGTCACTCCCAGGTGCTGTCACGCTCTATCCTGTGCCTGTCACTCCCAGGTGCTGTCACGCTCTATCCTGTGCCTGTCACTCCCAGGTGCTGTCACGCTCTATCCTGTGCGTGTCACTCCCAGGTGCTGTCACGCTCTATCCTGTGCCTGTCACGCCCAAGTGCTGTCACGCTCTGTCCTGTGCCTGTCACCCTCTATCCCTGCCATGCACGCGACTTGGCTGGTAGTTGTTATCTGTACCCACCAGTTCATACATGCACCTTCCTGTTCTTACCTGCAGCCATCTCTCCCTCATGGCCTCCATTTGTCATCACCTGTCCCTCCCTCTACACTTATCTCTGCCCCCTCTCACCTGGCGTATTCGGCTTTGTACAAAGCCCCTTTCAAATTTTCCTGCTAAATTTATATCCCTTTTGCATAGGTCATGTTGAAAGATTGGATGCATACTTTGCATTACAAAAATTTTAAAATTCGTTGACTTCATTAAATTTCCTTCTTAGATTTTATTATCAAAACAATATAGAAGGAAAAGATAGATTTTGTTACCAAATAGTCCCTCGACTTGCAGGCCGCTATTTGATGTCCGTTTATGTAGGCACTTGTTCTGGAAGCCAACTTTTAATGATGTTGTATTTGATGTTTTTGCAGGCTTATTGCAAGAGCTTGTTCTTAAGTATTCTTGTATTACAGGTCTGGGACAGGCACCCCGTTGTATCGCAAGGGCGAAGTGGTTATCACCCCCAACGGCGTGCGCAAGAAGTTTAACGGCAAGCAGTGGCGGCGCTTGTGTGGCAAGGAGAGCTGCAACAAGGAGAGCCAACGCCAGGGCTACTGCTCCCGCCACCTCGCCATGTATGGCAAGCAGACGCGCTCTTCGGCGTCCTTTGCTGGGTTTGTTATTATTATCTATTGTAGCGTCATGCATGCTTCTTAGTTTTACCGGGGCTTGGGAGTTCTTGCTTTCTGGGTTCTTATCCATGAATTTTGTTGAGGTAAGTTACACTTTCAAACTTTTGGTTTTGATTTATCGAGCTCATTTGTTAGGGTCTATTTTTTCATTACTAGTATTACTGCTAGGAGTTAACCTGGCCCTGCTACAAAATGCTAGGTAGTTGTTAACTTGGCCTTGCTCGGGATTATTATTCCAACACTTATTTTGACCATAGGTTTTTAATATTGCAACTGAAGAAGGTTAATTGAATAAATGCCTATTCAAGCCCGTATTTTGTGCGGAACTCCCATTCAACCTCTTTATTTTAAATGTCATTTCCGGACTAAAATTTATACCTACCAATGTGAAAATCACAATTCAATTTTTTTATCTAATTCTCAAACCCTCCAAACCCTCACGTAAAATAACTCACGATTATCAAATCCCGTTGCAAATTTTGAGAGTAAAATAATTGTAACACTAGCAAGACCCATTCAAACTCTGTACAGCTGAGAATACTCATCCCAATACTAGCTCAAAAAATTTAAGGTAATTTTCATTTTGAATTTTTAAATAAAGATTTAATTAACCAAATGAAAACGTACATTTGAAATTTTTATTATAATCTCCCTTTGCCCTACTTCTTTCTTTTCGCTTCATTGCACTGATTAAAATACAATTTCAAGCCTTGGTCATATTCCGACACGGTAGGTATTGTAGATACGTGCTCGTATATTCAGTGTCAGGCTTCAAGCACGCGTGCAAACAGTCAAACTATCGCAAGTCTCTTCAATATTTGTGAAAGTTTGTTTACGTGTGTGTGTTTTTGAAGCCTGGTACCGCAAATATGTTGGGTTTGTTCGGGTGCGAATCCTTTAATCAGAATATATTAGAGAATTAAAATTGGCTTTTATTTGGGACAACGAAATTCTAAAATGACAGGAAGTATCTAACCCGGGAAACACCAGGCTAGCCTTGACATTGTCTTGATTGACCCTTATAGGAAAAATTTATTACTCTGCTGGGCATGTCGGGTAATACATTGCTGTGCGAGGATTGCCATACAGCAATTTTGGTCATTCCATTTGACTATTTGAACAAATTTTCTGTGCTAACACTTAAAATAACTTAATAACTGATTGTACTATAAATTTTTGGTTGGCTTTAAACTCCCTTTTTGTTTCATATTAGTCGTTGGTCAAGTCGATGACGGTTGTGCCGCGATGTCGGCCTCCCTCCATGTGTTTGTAGGCCTCCTTATTCACTCGAAGATTTTATTTGCATAAGGTATCAAGTTAGCTCACCATAAGGCCCTGGATTTATTATGACGGTTGCTATTGCTGCTACAGGAAAGATACTCCGAGTTCTGATGCCAACTGGGACGCCTCCAGAGACTCCTGTGATACGTCTCCGCATTTCTCCGCTACCGCCCTGCGCTCTCAGGATGAGACTGAAGCTGCTAATATGCTCAGTGAGTTCAGCTGTGAAATATCCTTCTTTCGTGAATAGTTGGATGCTTTCCAGTTGATTCTTTTTAATGTTATCTTGATTGTGAGTTAGGTTGAGCGTTAGGAAAAATTGCTATTGCAATAGTATTAATAGTATTGCCACTGTATCCCTGTAGACCACCCACTGTATCCCTGTAGACCAGCCGCTGTATCCCTGTAGACCAGCCACTGTATCCCTGTACACCAGCCCCTGTACTCCTGTAGACCATCTACTGTACCCCTGTAGACCTGCCATTCTGGTCTGTCAGGGCGTGGTAGTCCCATAAAGATTCAGGGTATCGGCGCCCTCATTGACTTCTGATGTCTCGTTAGCCCATTTGTTGAAAGAAAGTAATTACATTGAAGTTAAGGTGAAGTTTTTCTTACACATTGTAGCCATATACCGCCGATACTCAACGAGTCGATAAGAATACAGTAGAAACCATATTGGGATCATATCATATTATTGAAATGCTGCTATGAAGCTATATGCAGGAAGATCCTTTGCTTATTTCTTGCCATTCATTTACTTGATTATCAATACTAAATTGTATTTTACTCTTTTTGCAAACCTACCATCTCTTTGCTTAACGTCTTTCCTAACACTTATTTTGACCGTGCCCAGTTTCTGATGACCTTTTCCCTACATTATTTAAGACTGATGAAATTTATGGGTGCTGGATAAATTCAAATTTATTTCTCTCAAAAACCTTATCACATATTTTGCGCTGATGATATTCAGCTTGTTTGTATATTTAGTTGCTGAACTCGTTCTCTCCGCCGTGAGTTCGTGATAATGCCAACACTACCAGCTGCTGATTTCTCATCAGTTCATTTGAGTTCAATTAGGCCAACTGTGCCGATTGCCTTGATAATGGGCAGATCCAAGATCCTTCTTTGAACTTGACGTGCTTAATACTAAATAAATGACTTAATGAATTTAAACACTTGAGGCCTGTCATAGAGGTGAATGGCCGAAAATCTTGGCTTCGCATCGCCCAGTGAAAAAAAATCCTGAAACCTCAAACGTGATTGGGTGCATGGAACCCAAATATTCTAAATTCCCTTGCACTAAGCATTGGAAGTCGGACCTAGAATAGACCTCTCGCTGACACGACTAACCTCCTGGTTTCATTGCAGTGTCCCTCGGTCACTCATCCTCCCGGTCCACCACCCCCGCAGGAGGGTGCTTCTCCCCGAACACGGTCTCGCCACGTCCAGGCGTTTCCACTCTCCAGTCGCCCATCACTGTGGGCCAAAAGGCAAACTTTTTCACTCCCATAAACCACCCCGGCACTGCGGGCGCTGTTGGCGGCGGCTCTCTGCATGCTGGTATCCAAGGGGCCAGTGTTAAGTCGCCCGTTGGGCGGCTTTGGCTCACCCAGGAGGCTGAGGCTCCCGGAGTGTCGGGCTCCTCTGTGGTTGTAGGCAGTCTTCAGCACACTGCTGGGACTGTGCGCCACTCCACTCCCGTCACTCTTCATAATAAACAAACTATTTACCGGTAAGTCATGCCGAGAATATCGAACCTGATTTCTCGTACTGTTTAATTTTACTCAATTAGGGTCATAATCTAAATTCTCAGACCTGCTTATTTATTTGATGGTTTAGGAATTTGGACAGTAACATCTAACATGCCCAATGGTGTGTCGCACTCGCTTGTAGTCTCTAAGATATTACAGTTATGGTAGAGTTTTTCCTGAATTGAAGTGACACAATATGTCATGACTAGTCAAAAGTTTAATTACCTACTCGGTTTTCAGACACAAACCAGAGGAAAAATGTCACATTACATTTGTTGTACCTTTCGGATCCTAGAACCTTTCAGATGTAACATATTTATTAGTAATTACTAGATTTTTCTGTTTTCTCAATACTGAAATCCATTCTTTCTTGACTTTTTCTGAGTAAATTTCTATGATTGGTTCGCCCAGGCCGGAGCTGCTGCGACCGATAGCGGTGGACAAACTGCCTTCTCCCGTGACCTCGGCCAATGGTAGCTCCTCTGGCCACACTGTCATCCATTCATCGTACTCCCACTCGCCTGCCAGTCAACAAGCTCTTCATCAACAGGCACATTTGACACAAAAACAACAACAACAGATACAGCTTCAACATCAGGAGCTTGTGCCAGTGCAGAATTTACCTAGCAACCATTCTAGCCACACAACTCATCCAACCATATCCCTGAGTCATACAAGCCAGACCTTAGCATTCAATGCAAGTGAGAACTCGACGGTCGAGCCTAGACTCCTTCAAAAAGCACTGAGGAATTCGGAAGAAGAGGAAAATTGTGTCAACACGTCTTCAGATACCCAGCAGCCGCAAGATCTCTCGGGGTTCCGTGCCTTTAGTCAGTCTGGCAGCTTCTCAACTGTTGCTATTGCAGGCGGGCAGGAAGGCCTGATGCTGCGAGCCAATGCCGTGCCCACGAGGGACCGCACGGCTGCCTTCAGCGTCGTACAGCAGCCTAGCGGCGTTGCCAATAACTGTTCCATATACACCACTGTCCCTGTGTCAGAGAACATGGAAGTCAGGGCTCCTAAAGAAGAGTTTGGCTTGATTGGAACTCCCACTCCCATCACAAATGGAGACGATAACATGCGGGTGTCATCTGACAACCGTGCTTTTGCTCCGATTTATTCTAAATTTCATGACATAAGTCAGGACAACGATGTAGATTTATCTAAAGCAGAGGAGGTGAAGGTGGAGCAGGATGGTCCCAAGTGGGCAGAGAGCAAGTCAGCCCTGGAGGTGGGGGATGAACGACCAGTTTATCAATGGAACCAGCTGGTGCCTCTTATCACCTCGCACGTGTCCGCTAACCACATCGTTCCTAAGTCAGAAATTGAGGACTCCCCTTCTCACATTAACGGAGAAACACCAATCCTAAACGGCAGCGTCGTGAAGCAAAATGACTTTAGTGACGGCGGAGGCAATACTATTTTGGCTCTCAATTCATTAGGAGTTATGAATGCGAATACTGATGCAGCTACACCGGGTGGCGTGTATGCAGAAGGCGTGTCGCCTTCAAGGGAAGGCGTTGACGTCGGGGCCGATGCCGACGATGATGTCTTCTTGACAGACTCTGACTCTGCGTCTGTTGGTTCTGAAGGACAAAAGCGCCGCTCACAGTCACTCAGTGGCGTCTTTCCAAAGGAGGAACCAAAAAGTCCGAGGAAGGTAACCCATTTATTGTTAGTTTTCATCACCATTGATATGCGTGTTTTAGCTTGATTTTTAGTCATCCATTGTAGGTATGCATGTTCACATTATTAGAGGCCACAAATAGGATTGAAAAATGATGTTTGGTTAACACAATAATTCCACACAGTTCAAGTTACGTTTACTGCAATCTTTCAGGTAAAATTTGTTTCTCATTGCGGCTACGTATTAGGAGAATCCCGCCGCTGATTCACACTAAATTCAAGTCTAACTCTGAAACAAAATGAAATTAAGACAAAAAATTATTCTTTCAACATTGTTGGCTGGAATGTCTATTCCTTAATTGGACGACCCAAACTGCGGCAACTCGACTCGATTGTTCAACTGATTTTCTCCGGCTTAACTCAACTCAAGTCTTCATTGAATCTCATTTTACGATTATATTCTAGGAATTTTATGCATGAATTGTTATTCTGAATTTAATTATGATTTACTCTTTTTAAAAGCTCAGCCCCGTAATATGGTCACTGGGACCTTGCAACACTGAAAATGCAGCTTATCAACTCAAATCCTTACTACTTGCCTTACTGGCTGATAGTTTGCCTTTTTATACTCTTGGTTTTAATAAGTCCCCTTTTATTGTAAGCTCAAAACCAATTTTGTTTCAGACTTAATCATGCAGTTTTAAATCAGCAACTATGGTCTTCAAATAATTTCCGTGACTTAGTACAGTATAACCGGAGCGGCTTGCTACAAACTTGGTATTTGTTGCAGGGCAAAGTCGTCGACCACATCCGTCGTCCCATGAACGCATTCATGATCTTCAGTAAACGCCACCGGCCGCTGGTGCATCACCGATACCCTAACCAAGACAATCGCACCGTGAGCAAAATTCTTGGCGAGTGGTGGTACGATCTCAAGCCAGAAGAAAAGCAGAAGTACCAAAGTCTCGCTACGGAGGTAAGTTACTTTTATTTCAACTTTATATTCTCCTACAAGTTTCTTTTCCTAGCCTGGTATTAATCTTCAGCTATATTCCTTGCTTGTCAAATTGTATCTGAATCATCATATGGAAAAAAGTCAAGTTATTTTAAAGGAAAATTTTATTGTTCGTTTCAAATTGAAAATAGAAATATTTTTACAACCATGCGCAGATTAAGGAGCATCACTACAAAGCGCATCCCGACTGGAAATGGTGCAGCAAAGACCGTCGCAAGTCTTCAACGAGCTCTCTCAAGGGTGACCCATCAGGCATGCCCCTCACTCCCGGGGGGCCCAACAGTGATGGGCTGCCCAGTCTTCCCCCCACTCCTGGCGGGCCCAACTCTGCCCCCACGGTGTCCACTCCCTCCGACTGCACCCCCGCCACTTCTGCTGCTCTGGGCATGGATGGGTCCCTCAGCATCACTTCATCTGCTCTACAGAAGATCACGCCTCAGGTTACCTCCGAGACTTGATTTAATTATTCGGTAGTGCTGTGTTATATTCATTGACTTGAGTATTGGTGATGAAAATTATTGTGAAAGGTAATTGGCTCACAGCTCAGTTAAAGTTAATTGGCTCACAGTTCATTCATCAACCGTGGATGATGAATGGATCTTGTCTTTTGTCCTCAGTACGGAAGCTGCAGGCGTGGCTCTGAAATATCTGATGACGACTCCTCCATGGTCATTTGTGAAGAAGCGTCGGCTCTTCAGTCAAAACCTGCCGGTACGGATTGCTCATATAGAAAATTCTAAAAACTAGACAGTTGAAATTCATCCAGAAAATACTTCCTGCGATGAAAGTAGGTGCAATATGAATTTTTAATTGGACCAACGTATATAATCACGGCAAATTGGTCGCACATTTTTTTTACTCTAGTACAATTTGTGTCTAAAGTGTTGTTATCTTGTTTTGTCAATTTCATTTGTGTGGTTGTGGCGATCATGGGGCGTAATCAATCGCAATTACGCAAATTTAAGCACAGAATATCCAAATCCAAATTCGGTTATAATAATAATAATTACCACTCCTTAATTAATTAGGCGTTTCTACGAAAGATTGAAATGCAAGAAACTGCTTTTTCATAATTTTGACTTGGTTCTATTCTAAGCTGTGAAGTGGATTTCCTGGAAAAATTTTGGAAGGCACCTGAACTTCCATCCAATTTTGATGCTATTTATGAGTTTCTGATGGCAGCTTTACATGTAAGATTATTTTCTGATTTGGTTGCTTGCAGCAGCTGACAGTGATGTGGACCTCGCCTGCGGTGAGCGCGTAGACACGGACTCGGAAACGCAGAGTGACACGGAGGTGAGCGAACGACTGCGCTGTCCTCCCTCATCAGCTGCTTCAGGCGAGACGCTCACTCACTATTACACGACTCCAAAGACTGCGTCCGAGGAAACAATATCACAATATTACTCCATACCAAACTCTGCACCAAACTCAACTTCCCTCACATTTAAGCACCAGTTGATCGCGTCCCAGGATGCAAGGGAGGCACAAACTTCATTCCTGAATAAAACGAGCTTGGCGACCTCGTTGCCCACTTCAGTGCAAATCAACACCAACACGGGATCTGTACCCCAGCAGAGTTACTTCGGTAGCGCTACTGTTACCACCACCGCTGCAGGATATACCGCTTCAGTTGGTCAACAAGTGGCGGCCGTTCCTGCCCCGGCAACTGCCACTGCAGACATCACCTACAAACCTAAGCCAATTAAAGGCCGGTCAGTTACCCCTAGTGCTCTTATTGCGTATTATCATTTTACTTGTGTTGGTGTTTAAATTCATAAATTTTCCTTATTTTTAATGAGTTGTGTTGATTGTAGTTAGGATTATTCATTGTTGGTCTTGATGCCCAGTTAGGTCAAGGCACAAAAGTCGTCAAGGTATCATTGTGTTTATACACAAACGCTCCTATTCCATGACAATTTCTAGTGTGGTGAGACAGAGAGATCGTGCGGCCTCATCCAAAGTAATCGAATGGTTGCTGGCTAACATTAAGTAAAGCAGAATAGTCATTAATGATTTTATAAATATAAGAGCAGCAATACTGCTGTTTTGTATGTGAATTGATGAATGCGTATTGTCCGTTACAGGTGCTTCTATTAGATAGTTGGTAAAGTGCTACTCGGTTAGACAAAAACTCAAATTTAAACTTATATTCCCTATGTTTCAACCATGGAATTTTTATACGTATTTCCGTAATATGTTAACCCCACAAACGCAAGCAAATATACGTATTATAATCAAAATGAATCTGCAATCGGCACTGCACAGAACGTCGGCTGAGGACGTAGTTACGCTGTACGGCATGAGTGGGTCTATCCAGCTGGGGGCTGAACAGCTGAGAGGGCAGCAGCCTCCTGCAGGGGCAGGATCTCAGCCCTCCACCCCTTCATGCCCTCAAAACTCCACACTCATTGGCGGAGTCCTGCAGCAGCGGCCTCCCACTCCCTCCCACTCGCTTCAGTCCACTATCAGCGCCTTCAGGTTATAAGAACATCCTTACATAAATAATGATGAACAGTAACCATTGCATGCCTTTTGGAAAAGAACTACCGGTATGTCAGCGTATTCTTATTTGGAAAAAAATAAAGTTTAATCATCATGATCAATTGTTTCTTGCTTTGGGGTTAATTGGTTTTCTGTTGCTCGTAGAACGATGCCGGCGTCGCCCAAGTCCCGCCTGGATGAGGGCGTTGGTGGGGGCGTAAAGCAAGGCGGCGTTGTGCATCACAAGCTCCTGAGTTCGCCCGGCAGCGTCACGAGCAGCCACTTCAAGCCGTTCACTGCCGTCCTGCCCGAGCAGCTGGGCACTCCTGGAGGCACCCTCGTGGTGGGAAGTGGTGCGCAGGTTTCTACGGCCCTCGTGGAGTCTGCTAAAGGCACCGTGACGGTGATGGCTTCTTCTGCCACTACGGCTACTACCTTCCTCATGTCGCCAGCACAGCACGTTTCTGTCCTAAGTCCTGGTAACCCTGGCGGCGCAACAAACGTCGTCCTCAAGAGTGCAGGTGGTGCCAGTGCCAAAGTATCAGGTGCCACGCAGGTCCAGTACCTGGTGCCATCTGTGACGCTAGACGGCAAGCTTGTGCTTCAGACGGCAGCCATGGGTGCTGGAGGAGGGGGACAGCAAGTTCGCGTGCTCACTTCATCAGGTGTTGACTTGCCGGCCACTGCAGGGGTCATCAAAATCAACAGCAAGCAGCACCCGGCCAGCCTCGTGGTGCTCTCAGGGACTCCTCTGACCCACCAGCAGCAACACCTCCGTGGCTTGCCTGCTCCTGCGGTGTCACAGAACCAGCAGCATCTCGTGCACCACGTCGTGCAGGCGCAGAACAACGCTGCTGCTGCGCGTCTTAAGCCACTGGGTTAGGAACTACTTTACTCTTTTTTTTCATACTTTTTGGATGGCTGTCATGTCAGTGAGAACCGCTATCTTCATGAATAATTCCTTGAAATATCAGCCTTTTCTGCACGATTTGAACAAATCGTATCCTACTTCTGGTTAGTTTTTACTTGTGTTTAGTCTCTTAGTTGCCTCTTTATTACATCTCCCTGCTACAAACTAGTTATCGATTTTTTAAAGACCCTCTGTTAGACCAAGTTAGATGTGCTCGACAGGCAGCCTCATATCCACAGATCGTGCCTCTTTAAAAAATAGATTATCGGGCGCTGAATGATGCTTTTAAGTATTGCCTTTCTCGACTGTTGCAGAATATCAGTTCCGTCAGAGAATTAGATCATGCAACAGACCAACCAGGATCGTACAGTTAATTCTACCTTTATATATCTGCAGATGCCAGCACCTTAACTCCGACGTCCGTGGCGGTGTCAAGCGGCGGACAAGTGGTCAAAACTTCCCAAGCTCAATATTTCCACACTCAAGTTGTCTCACAACAACAGGCAATGCATCTTCACAATCTCTCCGCTCAGATGTCGAAGGGAGTACGTCATCAAATTGTGCACACTGTACAGCCGCCCAAGCCTCTGGTCCAGCAATACCAAGCGGACACGAAGAAGCAGGTGCCCACGTCTGTGCCGGTCGCTCTTGCTCAACATGTGCAGAGAGGTGCAGGAGCGACGCGTCTGCCAGTTTCTGTTGGCTCGACCATGGAATTATCCTCTGATGCTGATGGCACGCAAGACTTGCCGCCTGATGGGCCTGATGATGGCCCTGTCGACGAAAAACCCAAGTTTATTCTGGCCCCAACTCCAGCTCAGCTTGGCAAAGCGCCCCGACAGAAGCGCAATTCGTCTACCGGTGAGTACACCCTCTCGTCTTGAACAAATATTCGTTGTTTCTCATGACGTTGTCTAACTAAAATTATTTTCCTCTTGGTGTCGAGGTGTTCATTTCTTTCAAGCGCATAAGTGAGTCAATTCTGAAATCTTTTTAATCTATCAGAGAAGAATTGAACAGAATTGACGGTCCGGTTGATCAAAATTAACGTCGGTTATGTCATACCGGAAACATTCATTTGTGCTTCCATAGGTCATATGTCGAGTGCGCTCGCCCATGAGCACTAAGACTATTAGTTATATCTTTGCTTAAAGATAACTGTGACAGCTTTCTGTAATAAAAGTTCATAGTTTCAACATAATATTCTAAATAATACGATCGCTCCTCCCCGTTAAATGTTCACTAGCCATTCTCGGATGCCCATTAGAATTTTTCGAGCTCAGGAGGTGTACTCGTGCTCTCTACTTCTATCTTCACTACGATCTCAATGGCTGTTTGGTTTTAACTTATTTCTTAACAATATGTTTTTGGAGCCTCAATTACTCCTGCACGAAAATGTAACTTCTGTCTGGTTATTGTTTGTATTCTGTTGAAATCACTTTCCTTGCTTCAATTATTGAATGGAGTCATATCGTTGTCAGTCATTCAGAAATAATGCTAACCTATCTATAAAATTGCTTCGTTAGAAAATCGAGAATTAAACTAACAAATTATCATTGGTTTTTACTTATAAGTCAATGACGGGGAATGTTGTGTGTGATGTTGCCCAATAATTTCGCATCAGATGATGAAGAGCACAGCCCCACCTTCACCTCTCATCACCATCATCATCATCATCCTGATCATCATGAAGAAGACCGGGAGCTGAGCCATGAAGTGCCAGCCAATCAGCTATCACAATGTACTCACTCTGTGCCTGCCGTTGCTCTAGAGCCTAGATACACGACGTTTAGTGGCATCTTACATGCTGTCTCAGGTCACCAGCACCTCACGCCTAGCTAACCTTACGCTTGTAGTGGCCCCGTCAGTGTTATTGTATTATATGTAGCAGGCGCTTAACTCACGGGAATAATTGCTGTTTATAAAGACACTTGTCGGTGATCTGTGATAGGCGATGTGGTGGTTTGTAGGTACAAGTAAGCTGCGAGTAACGTGCAATACGATCAACCTCTACGCGTGTGTGGTTCATTTCCTAATATTTTCATTAGCGCTCCATTTGCGTACTTTTTAATAGATTTCACGGACGTGTAGGTTGGCTACTAAGTAACATTTTTATGATTGACAGTTGGCACCGCTGTTGTGAGAACACGGCAAAGTTTTTTTTAAGACATATCAGCTTAAGCCGTCATTCTGCCTTGAATAGGTCAGACGCTCCCTTGCTGGTATTGAGTTTAGTTGCTGGTAAGTGCGAACTACGATATAATCAACGTATTTGCAAAGTCTCATTTAGGTGTATCGAATATTGGCACATTTGTTAAACATTTTTGTCGGAAGATACCTGCCTGCGCCGTTAATAGGACTGTGGCTTTTTTCCTCAATTGTGGCTGCGGACTTCTCGTTTGTGGAAGAGGAAGAGTTCATGTGAATTTACACCTTGACATTTTAAAACCTTTTTGTTGATTTGTATCATCTTCTTTTTCATGTTAAAGGAATGGAAGCAATTATGAATTATTTTCTTTTATTAGTTTGTTTTGTTATCCCTTATCTTGTTGCCTATTATACAGCCTGAAAAACCGTGTCGTTATAAAAGTGATTAATTTGCTGTCGTTTCGAGACATCTTTATTCGATTAAACACGACCAGGTCTCCTCGAGTGCAGTTGTAAATTAAGAGAAAGTGGCTTCAGCAGCTCAGTGCTAAGCTCAGACTTTATGTTCAGTACCAGTCAGGAACTTTTGTTCACCTCTAAATATTATGCAGAACTTGTCGGTTCAGGACCTGTCCATGCTGTTCACGCTCGTTAGTTGCAGTACTTTACAGTACCATGCCGAAAAAAAACCATACCATGAGACAGTACATCGAGTATCGTGAGTAAGTTGCATTCGTAGTTTAAAATTTACGTAGATTTCCTTCGTCTTGACTTCTAGATTCTGGTCGAAACTTAGATCATTTCCAAAGATTTCTTCAAGTCGCATCTATAGGGGTGGCTGTGTTTAATGCATCAGGTTATTATCTGTCTTAGGTCGTGTGCTCTAACCTTATGTTTGTGTCTTCATGCAGTTACTGCTGATCGCTTCTTGAAAATTCCGCTTTGTAAATGAAACGAAACAGAATATCTTGACCACATTTAGCTCGATTAAATTTTACTCTCATTCTACTGAAGACGAAAGGATGTTTCATTAGTTATTGATTACACATGTAAGACCTTTATTCGTAGCTATACTTTAACTGTACTTTGACTTGACGATCCAGGAATTGTTATGCGAGTCGGTGGTGCTGGTGACTGGACAGTGATATCTACTAGTATTTCCTAGTGGTCGTAAGGCTTGCCTAGATCGCCTTTAATAGTAGTGTTGAAGTAACTTAGTTAGCACTTAGCACGTGGAAGTTTGTCCGAGAAATGTTCAATTGTAGACTTGTGTGAAGTCTCCCAGTTAAATGTAGATCCGAAACTCTATTCTTTGCATAGTAACGTGCAGAGCTCTGGATCACAGCTGCAAATTTAATTCCGCTCTTGTAAAACATTGAATGAATCACTTGCTCTTTTATTGTTGAATTTCTATGTAGTCACAGCCTTTGTTCTGTGCTCCAGCATCATACAGCAACATTGTGTTACCTGGTGTAGTGTATGGCAGTCTCCTGGCCCTGTAGCTACATTGCCTTCATTACATACTTCTGATCATCTGTCCGTCTCTGGCTTGCTGTACACATCATACCAAGCTAGACTTCAATGATACCTAATGTTGCTATTATTACTCCAATTCTTTCCATAATATTCCTAATTTAGTCTACTATTGATCTTTAATCTCTCTTTGCTTTGCATTCGTCCCTAGCTTGCTTATCGTTATTACTTATTTTAGTTTAGTATTGTTGCTTCATGTTTCAAATGAGCGCATCATTTGCATTGCAATTAAATTGTTCCATAGCAAAAGTAATGAAATGATATTATATGTATAAATCTTATACAAGCTCATTCTTTTCTGCATTGAAGATTCGCGTTTCTAATTTTGAAGCAGTCGTTTTCTTCCAATTCCTACTTTTTCAGTTGAGACGGATCACATTATCATTAGAGTGTCATGTATATATTGCATGCATTACTTTTTCAGTTGAGACTGATCATATTATCATTAGAGTGTCATGTATATAGTCATGCATTACACGTGTTAACAAGCGTCTTGTGATGACCACAGGCACGGCGACTGAGGACGACCAGCAGCACCACGAGCAGCAGCAGGACGAGGGCGACGCGGCGCAGCCTTCTGCTGTGCCACCTTCACCAGGCGGCAAGAAGAGTTTCTTCAAGAAGAACATAGAAGATGGCATGGATAAGTGAGATATTCCTTCGAATTTGTATGAAATTCTCAATTAAGATGATTTGGAATGATCGTTCAAATTAAAGCCTGATATTGACGAGGTGATTATAACCAGGCTAATGGAATCAGTGAGCGCAAATGTACGTCCTGCAGTACTGTTGGCTTTTGCATCATTTCAAAATTTTTTGAGTATCATTAACATTTCCTTGATATTTGATTGAGTTCCTGTTCCCAATCAGAACATGAACAGTATCTCAACGCCTATTTTATTACTTTCATCAATATTGTTATTATCCTGATAATAAATGTGCAGGGTTCTTGAAGAGATGAACTTCAACGAGAAGTTTACGAAGCTTCCAGAGTACAACCCCGAGATGCTGGGAGGCCCTGGCAACACGCCCATGACGCCGCTGCCCTCGTCGCCTAAATGCACCTTCAGGAACAGGAGCAGACTTAACGGTGGGCAAATGCATTAGACGTTTGCTCGGTCATTTTGATGGAACATACTGCGATTGATGTGATAGAATTGCTGAAAATATGGAACATTATCAAGTATGACTATTGAATTCGAGTATGATAAATTATGTTTAAACGCAATCAGAAGTTTCCATGATAGGAAGACGTTAGGATAAAAGTTGAGCAATAATGTGACTTGCATTTTGTTTGGCGTGCAGGAGGTGATGGAGGTGACGAAGTGACGACAGGGTCGCAGCCTCCTTTGTCGTCATCCCTGCAGGGCTCCAAGTTCTTCCCTCCCGACTTCAACCCTGAATCTTTCAAAGGCAAGGCACCACCATTGATAATTCCCCATGTACACGATTTATACCTTTGTTCTAATTGAGTTGCTTGTCTTCATTTGAAATTGATACTTCTCTCTGATGAGGATTAATCTGCGGTGTAGAAATCAATAATAATGCCGCTGAACAAGTTTCCGGAGTGAGGGTAAGATAATTTTGTAGTTTACTCTACGTTTTTTGTTATGAAGGCGCTTTGGTTATTTCTTTTTTCGGTATAAATATAGTACTTTGCAAATTTATTGGAATGCTTTTTTATTAGCAGTTGCATCGGTGTTTTTTTGGATGCCTATTGCCATTGGTGCATTGGATTTTTGTTGGTGGTTATGTGCTGGTTATAACACATTGGTTTGAGTTATAACCAGCAATCTTTGTGACACGGCTTTGGCGATTCAAAATTATTAGCATTAATACTGTTCCTGCCTGAAAAATGAACTTCCGAGATTTGTGCGTGCGGTAAATTACGATCATTGCACAGGTGACGGCGGAGGTGCGGACTCAACTCAATCCGGCGCCAGCGTCTCGGCAATTTTAGGCAGCGCTGGTGGGGTTGGGGACGACTCGCCCCTGGTCTGCACCAGGTCACCCCGGACACCCAAGACCCCAGGGCACGCGTCCGAGAAGACCGTGGCCGCGGCGAGCGGAGGGGGTGGAGGGCACTCCAGCCTCAGGCATATCCTCGACCAGCGGCGTGCCCTTGTGATGCAGCTCTTCAGTGAACATGGATGGTTCCCTAACAGTGAGTCTTTGTTGCTTGCTTATTCTGCTAATTTGCTTTAATTACGTTTTTGTATTCGTGAATATTCTATAATGTTAAGCTGCACATTCTGCAGTCAAAGTTTTATTTTTTTATCTCAAATCCAAGCTGTTCAATATTCGATGTTTACAATGGTATTGTTGTTTCCCCTTAACTGTTGCTATTCTATTTCTTGCTTTTTCTGTAACATTGTCATGATTTGAGTGTCTCACGACGTTTTCCAGACCATGTGGTGGCGGAGTTCCAAAGCAAGTACGCGGAGCTCTTCCCAACCAAGAACTGTTTGAAGCTCAAGATACGCGAGGTGCGCCAGAAGATGCGCCAAAACACACCCGGTGTGCCTAACACCCCTGGTCCTCTATCAGCGGCCAGCACTCCTGGCCCTAATAGTCCTAACGCCCACAACTCCCTGCATAACAACTCCCACTCAAATGGTGCTAATCACCACTCCAACACGATAATTTTTTCCAACGCCAATAGTAATAACAACAGTTGCAGTAACTCCCTGCACTCTAACGTAAACAGTTCCGTCAATGTTACGTCTACTACAGCTACTTCGCAGCAGCAGCTGTTGCACCTTACCGGCCCTGCTACGGTTACAGTTTCTTCCAGCGGCTACCACGCTCTTTACAATACTAATAACAATAATAATATACAAAACACTGTTCAGACCAGTGTGCCGAGTAATGTTCAACTTCAACACATTAATAGTAGTGGTGTGCAAATACTTCAAACACCACAACAACAGCATCAACAGCAACAACAACAACTGCATCAACAGCAACAACAGCAGCAGCATCAGCAGCAACAACAAGCAACAACATCCGTAGCTTCGACCTTGCATTGTAATCAGCCTAAAAATGTTTGTTACTGAACCCTGATCTCCGTCTAAAGTTCGGGTCATGGTTCGAACAACTTGGTTGTGTCTCTCTAAACACTTGAGCGCTCAAACACTTGCTAAGCGACTGCGAGACGTGCGCTCGCAATTATAAACGCGTTGCCGTTGACAGGAGGAGATCTGTGTTTCCAGGAGAAGCTTAAATGCTTCTTACTGAATAATTAATTGCCGGTCCCGAGCCTTGGCTTGGATTCGGCGTTCCATTGTGCAATGTCGGTATGTACCTACGGTATGTTTTATCCTTAATTGGCATTGTTAAGTGGTGCTCAGTCGTAGTTTTTTATAGCCAAGATCTCGTGCTAACAGAGGCCTCTACTATTAGTAAAACATAGTAGTACCTCCCCAGATTGTATGTATGTACTTCAATGTGACATTTTAAAATGTGCAATTGTATTTCTGGAGACGAGGAAAATATCGGAAGTGTGTGGTGTTCGTTCTAAATTGTGGTACGGCGTCGGCGTCTCTTTCGTAGGAATGACTTGGCCTTCTTTTAGATAGATATTACTTCAATTTCAGGAAATGAAGCCTGTAAAATGTTAGGAACGATTTTTAGATAACTTGCACGCATAACCCAAACTAAATGCGGTACATCTCCAGCGTCGGACTTGGTCAAGCATTTCTTTACCTGATATCGGAAGTTCCATTTAATTCTTCGGATAATTCTTACTATGCGCCGATTAGCCTCAAGATTCTAGGTTGCCAGCCACAACATCGTCCGAGAGCAATTCAGACCCACGCTCTCCATCAATTTACAGTCTTAAGTTTACAGTTAATGTGAAACTTAAGCTTAGTCCACACGGAGCACAATCATTTCCCACGTAGCTAGCACAATCATTTCCCCACCGTATCGTCAAGCAAGGGTTTCAGTCATGAGTATTGTCATTTTTTCGTATACTGCACCTTTTTTGTAGTACAAACGTAGCCTTAGAAGAGCCAAGTAATGCAGAGCGTCGCGCTTCCTTCTCTCTCCAACACGATTCGTTTGAATTAGTGAGCATATTTGTAAGGAAAACTTCTAACAAGACGCCCTTCTTATATTTCCTGATAACTGCTCTGTTTCTGAAAAATTTGCCGTTACTCGCTGCGAACATTAAGGCAAGGTTCAAGCAATAGCAACTTAACAAATATTTTCGTCATAGCTCAACGTTGCAATCGACTCCTTCCACTTTCATGCGTGTTTCCGCGTCCGTGATGCGAATAGTGCTCCTCACTGTTGTATTTTATCTCGTTCAGATGTCAATTGTTTTTTTTTACTGGAGTGCATTGTTCGATTAAAGGCTTGAATTTGACTTAGCGTATAATTCTATGATTTTTTACGGCGTTAGTGACGACGGTATTTCCGACCAAAGCCTTACTGGGGAAAGTGATACTGCAGAAGTGTTACTGTATACTTTGTACAGGATATGTGCGTTTTGAGAAAATTTCGAATTTTTAAAGATATTGTACGGGCAAATTTTACCTCGAATTTATTGTAACTAAACTTGAACTTTGCGTTCTTCAATATTGTCTTAAGAGCTTCTAATCAGCCAGCTGTAGTATTGGTATCTGACGCCGTTTATTTAATTGTTCTGCAAACATATTCTCGCTGCCTCGGAGTCGATTGACAACGATGCGAAAGTAGAAGAAAATTCTAATGATAGAGCTTGTCTTGTACGCTATTATGTCATTTGCAAGTGAATGTCTATTAGGATGACATGTTCACGACGCTCGGCATGTTTGAATCCAGTTATGAACTGACAATTATCGGCTCAGGATAAATACTGTTGACATGATATTATGTTGTGACGTGGAGGCGGTATTAGGGCGCGTGTAGGCCGTAACGTGAAGGTCTTTGGACGACGCTGTCTAATCCTGTGTAAATACGAACCCTCGTTGAGAAAGAAAGTGCTATTTTATTATGCCAGCCTCGTTCAAATCTTTATATTTATATATTAGAACAAAAAATAATTTTTCGCTACTTTTAAATTTATGACAATTATCGAAAGAAGTAAACTAAAAAGGAGATTTGTGAAAAATGAAAGTATATTTTCACGAGGTTTCTAAAACCTGGTTTCTTGGCACAAACTCTAAACATTACATCAGCCATGACGATGCCTTCTCATGCCTCACGTTGGATCTTTCTATTCGTGTAACTCGCTGTATGAAAACAGCACCTCTCATTGACAAGAGGTCGACAGGTTGAAGTATAGATTACGGCTTCTTTAATCTTAGAGGCGCTCTTGAATAAGCTTTGCCTGAAATGATATGTCGGCGTACATGCACGTCAAGGTTTCTTGACACCGCTTGGACAAGTAGTGTCGTCTGCTCCTTGCCGTTGCTGTTGTGCGATGACAAGTTATGTCTGATCGTTGTAGACATATGCCTCCTCTTGATCATTATCCCATGAGACTTGGCTTTCTCTTGAGTGGATGCTTCTTGTGTTCAGTACAACCATTCTATCTTCGGTGGCTTTAGAATTTCTCTCGAAGAGTTTGGTTGCAGAAAAATCATTGTTTCTGAAGATGTGAACTCAAGAACGCTCATATGTTCTACGGGCGGTTTATAAGTTTATCAACAGATTATTTTATTGTGAATGCTAAGTTTGATATCTATCAATAATATGCGAGTTTTTCTGGTGCTAAATTGTCTTCGAAAATTCATGATCTGGATTGGATCCCCTAGTTGATGGATGTACATGTACCCTGCCATACCCGCAGTGCCGTCGTGCAATAGTTATATAGTAATAATTTTAGCCATAAAATGCATGTTCTTTGTACACAACGGAAGCATGTTGCAACATGCAACATGCCAGCACCATCCATTTCATTCTCTTTGCAACGCGTTTATAGGATACGCTCTTGCATCAGTCGTTCATTTCTGTTCAGTACTTCGTTTAAATCCCAGCAAGCATGTTTCATTGTCACAATTCTCGATGCAAATTACTGTTTGGTTCCAAGCTGGTGCCCTTCAGGCGGACTGAACTGCAGTCCTCGCGCCCAATGCTTGCGTAATTTTTATTATAAGTACTCATGTTTCCATGAACATCTGACGCGTTCCTGACTCAACCTTTGCCAGGTTCTGGCGACGGCTGTCTTCCTTAAAACAGAAAGTTTGACGATTTCAAGACAAATGTTGTACAATTAACTCGACTTTATTCCCCACAATTTCCGTTGTTGTTTACGAACCTATTCTTTTACTCGTGATTTTGCTTTTCAGCCAATTTTGCTCCATTCATGCATGATTTATGCTTTAATTAAATGATTTAAAATTTTAAAATTGAAGTAACTAGAATTTGCTAGGATGTCGAGGACATAGAAATAGTGTGGTTAGTCCTGAGCATTATTCCTTGACAATGCTTGCGCTGGTGCTCGACTGCTGCCCTATGTCAGGGCCTGCCACTCTATTGTAACGATCTGTTCTTCTAGTTAACGATGCCTTGTTGTTGTTACGTTCATCGTTCTGTATATATACCATTATCTCTTGACTCTTGTTTGTTCTTAGTCCAGTTATATGTCTTGTTTTTGATCAGCTCTCTTTCAGTGCTTAGGATTGTTCGGCTTTTGTGTCCTGGGCATGCCGATCTGTTTTATTGTTACTACAAATCATATTATCTTAGTATTTGCATCATAGTCTCACCATCCCACTTTCTATTTTTGACTACTATCCATGTCAACCATTCTTTAGCATCTTAAAGCCTTGATTTGAATACTTCTCTACGTTAAATAATACCTGAAAGGAATAAGAATTGCAGTTTTTAAGGTATTAAATTTACCCACCAAAAAGCTTGTAGTCTCTGATATAATCTGATCTAGGCGTTCATCGATTTTATTTGAATTATGATGTGCCCGGAAGTTTTGGCTTGTGTTAACACAAGCATTTTCTTATTACTAAATATCATCCCGATCGTTGTTTCAAGTATGCACAGCAACCGTCCTTTTATCCCCTCGTACCCCTGTACAAATTTGAACGAAGTTTTCATTTATATTTAACTTAGCAGCGGTGTTGCCCAGTCGTATTTGACTGGCGAATGAAAACCTATGTTTTGTATATTTTTGTTTGCAATAACGGACTGTGGCGATTGGCGCAATTTTTGTTATGCTTATTGTTAAAATGGATGCGGTTCAATACGTCTATTTGGAAGTTTTGAGGGTGACGTAATCTTTCCTGGATCTGAATATTTGTTGGCGGAAGTATTTTTCAATTGTGTTAATTTTGTAATTTTGAACTTATAGGCGTAGCTTATTCAACGCCTCCTTTGTCCGACTGACGAGGCTCTTGATTAGGTAGAAGTGACGGTCACGAGCTTGCGGAGAGTCCGTGCTATGTACTTATTATGTTACTTTTTTATTGAGCGAACAACTTAGAAGATATTTGAGTGACAAGTTCTGTTGTTATTATTATTATTGATAGGTAATTGAGTATTATCGGTCCATTGAATGTGTTCTCGCTGGTTAACTGATGTTGCCCGCTCTCTAGGCTTACTGAGCTCGTGGGCAACCGCGTGTTCCTTCCTACTTTACTATAGGCTTATTTTTCTATTCTATTCACAAATGCATGTTTTAATGGTTGTGCCTTCCTTCTTCATCTTTCCTCTTTCTCAAGCTTTGTTATTATCCGATATTTATGAGTCCTGATTGGCGTTTGTTTCGTGCAGCTCAACTCAAGCTCTTTAAATAAAATCATTTCTTGAAAATGGATTTGAAAACATTATTTATTTTAGTATGATCATGCGTTCATCGCTATTATAGATTCCTAATAAGCTTATTTTGAGTCCCCTTGTGAGGCTTGCCGGGCGACGTCGAAGCAGTTGTAGGCAGACTTAGATCCTTTCCACGTTTACAAATAGGCGGTAAAAGCTCTAGAATTTGACCTGCAATAACCGTGAGTCGTTGCGCCCTCTAGTACTAGCGTGAATACAAGATAGTGGCTAGCTGTTGCCTTAACAAGACTCATTGGGCCGTATTTTCAATAGTAATTAAGATCTTGAGCTATATGATCGTACGAACATGTGCTTGTACAACAAGATAATGATCCACTTATGGATGTATGATCTCGCATTAGGCTCTCTGTACGAGGCCTTAGCACCTGAGATGTGCATTGCTGTCCTGTTCAATTACCAGTCGTCCTGTCGCCAAGGTATTGATTGCTTCTGCCAAATATCGAGTTTTGTGTTCCCGCGAGCGGAACTACGTATCCTCTCTTTCAGTTTTCATTGTATAAAATAATGTATATGTATTTCTATTTGAACTGTTTTAAGCCATTATTCACTATAAATACATGAATATTCCGTACATGGTTTATCTTTTCCTTAATCCTGTTGTTTTTAAAAGAGATCACAGATTTTATTGTACCCTTCCTTGGCTTCATGAGTGGAACTTGTGCCAAATAGCCGTTAATTCTACGAATCCTGTTCATGGCTGATTCATATTCTAATAATCAGGATCCAGTTTGATTCTAATCCAATGGAGAGATCCTTTTTTGTCTTGCGCACTTCTTGAGACCTTGACTCCTCTGTAGAGAATTTGCGTAACATTCAGACTCCGACTAACGCGTCTTAAACTGCAATGAGCGAGAAGATCAAAACCAGTCAAGCGAGATTCATTTATTTTTTACCAAGCTCGCCACGCAGCGCCCCAGCCAAGCATGTGCGAGACAAGCTTTTCTTATATTTTAGCACTGTTAGCGGGCCGGCCAATTAAGTTTTTCTACACAATAGAATTCATTTTTATCAAGTGAAATATGTTTGTTGCTCGTTTCGAATAACTGTATTAGCCTGATACCCAATTGTGTGTCTAAGTCACATGGTTATGTTGTATATACTTGGTGCTTTTCGTCTTCCAATGGTCGCCACGCGTTCTTCGTTGTAAGCATCGTTTAGAGTAGCTGAAGTCTATTTCATGCGGGACAGCATCCGGTCCTGGAAGAAATGAAAAAACTCGTTAAGATATGGTAGAGAACCAAATTCGATTAAGCTATTTTACAGCCAGTGATTAGGCCTTGTTAGCCGAACAGGAGTCGCATTAGTTCTGTTAATAATAGTCACAACATGGCAGATGCCAACTTGCGGAGGGGTTGCGCAGCTTTTGTCAACAAATTTAAATCTTAATTATCCCGGTGGCCAACGTCCAGCATAAGCCAAGCTATTTAGCTTCATATCTACAATGTCGCAGACCACGCAAGAAACACCGCAAACCACACCAGTTCCGAAACAGCTTACGACTATAGCGCCCTATGTACGAGGCCACTGCTCTAGTCAGTAGTCATGATGGCGGTTACACCAGGCATTGGATTACCTCAACACTTGCCTCCCATCTCCGCCTTGCGGCAGCAAAGTGGAGAGGTTAGGTCCAGAAAGGATTGTTTGGGTGGAGAGGCGGGATGAGTGTGGATATAATCCAATGCTGGGGTGTGACCTCCACTAAGAAATATATGGACTTCGATAGACGATGGGATTCCTCACACTTCTTCCTTCTCTCGTGCGGGTTACCGACTTTTAGTGTAAGCGTTCTTCAGGGAAAGTGCCTTTGTTTGTGTTACTGTTCTCCCTGCCTCTTGACTCTTCAGACGACTTTCTAAGAAGCTAATGCAACTCCTTTAGCCCCGGCTCAGTGTTCTGGTCGTTTGACTCATCCTGTCTCTACTAAATTGAATGATTAATTATTTTGATTCGAGAGATTAGTGATCGTTTCCCTCCTCAAGGTTTATTTTACGCCGGGGAATCGCTTCGGATGCGAGCCACCTATATGTTCGTTTCCCTGAAACTTCTGCTGCCAACTTCTTTGTCACGTTCGATATAAAAAATATGAATTTAGAAAATTAATGTGTATAAGCAGAATTGCTGAGCCAACCCTTAAAGGGCTGGATTGTACATAATGTATCATTATCATCATCATTATTATTTAACTTTAAATAATATGAAGAGTTTTTTAGAAGGATTATTTTTCGTTCATTATATCTTCCAAGTCATCTCCACTGGATATGATCAACATTTTTAACAAATAGTAACAAATATAGTAGTACCGAATTTCCATGACGATCTCATAAGTCGTATCCATGGCTGCACTGGAAAAGTTATTCCGTTAGGAGAAAACTTTTATTCATCACATATCGAACCAACAAAATAAATTAATGAACAAAAGAAAGTTCGACTGTTCAGGCGTCAGAAAAAAGGGAACAATTCCAGAATGCAGAGCAATAACCTTGAATTATAGATATAAATAATAACCTTAAATTATAATAACCCTAAATTATAGTGCTAAATAACGAATGGCGGCACTTGCGCTGTGGATCTGACGTGAGGAGATCTAAAATCGTACAATGATCCGTCAATTTAACTCATGACTTTGTGGGTAAAGAGCGATTTCGATTGCAACCGTACTAAAGTTCCTGCTATAGCGCTGCAACATTTTTCACGTCTCGCCGCAATTTAGTTGGGGGAGATCAAGATACGCTGCTCAAAAAAGACTGACACAATATTATAGGATCCGTACGGATGCAGAACAGTAGAATTTTCAAATCAATTTTATTCATCTAAATGATAACATTTAAATCGCTCGCGCTTCTGATGCATATAGGCACGAGTACTCTAATAAAATATTTATCGAATAAAAATTAACGAACATATTTTAAATTAATATATATGAACCTTGGTGCTTTAATATGTCACAGTAAGATGTTACACACTTATTGTTAATACGCAGCGATCATGTTGCACCTCTAAAATATTACAGTCATGTCCAACGCTGGCATTACAGAAAAGTTTTCAACTCAACAAATTAATTAAATTAACTAATGTGTAAAGTTCCCGAGCATGTCAAGTGACTGAAAATTAAGCAGGCTGTCGTAGCCGTGAAACCAAGTTACATGCTGAATGCAAAAAAGAATTGTACTGAACGAGTTTCTCTCATCCCCATGATAGGGATTATTAAATAGAATTTAATTTGGTATTTTTCCAATTGAGGTTGTGACCAAATACCATAATATTTTAAAACGGGATGCAATTAAAAAAGTGTTTTAATAACCTAGTTGCCATTGCATTTAATGTAAATGAAAAGCGAGTGCGCGAATAGAACAAGGGCACAGGTTGCGATCTGGCTTCTTTCAGACACGTATGTGAGTGTGCATGAAATTTGACATGACATTGGCTCATTTGCAATACTTCCGAGACACATAAAAAACTATATTCACTTATGCCTCCTTCTCGAATTTAAACAATAGAAGCCAAGAAAGTTAATTTCATTGAACACTACCGTGACTGAATTTAGACTTGAGTGGCACTTCTAACGCTTATGACTGAACTTGCATGTCGGTTATAACTTTAGTCGTTCAGGCGCGAGGAGCCAGCGAACAACAAATTTTTGTTTTAAGCATGTCTCTCATGCTAGTGAGCTTGTAACATACTTGCTTTTTGTGATATTCATGGCACAGCAGGCAGCATCTAGCCGGCACTATGCGTGGTGAGACTCAAGAAGCAGACTTCCAACAGCCGTTAATCTAAATGTAGGAATAGGTGTATGTTACATTCATGATCGAAGCTGTTTTCAAAACACACGCAGGGACTTAATTTCTTGGATTAATTATCATTCGTACGTAATCAATTTTTCTCTGAAAAGTTCTCAAATCACCATTGTAGAAATGATCAGATGTTTTTAGAATGCCGAAAATGTCTTCTTTTTTCCAGCAATCGCTACAAGCCATAACTTTCAACGTTAAAATAAGTCTGACATCGATTTGTCCGGAGGCCTGAATAATATAGACACAAAGTATTCGTATTAGCAAGCGGTAGCTGAACTTGTAGCCGATCGCAGTTTCGGTGATACGAGGATTAAGGCTCGCCCCATGCTGCTAGGCGTGCTCTGCCTAGCGCTGCTTCTAACGCGCGCGCCATGACTCGGCGAACACGCTCTATCTCGTCATTTATTTAATTTATTCTACCTAATGAATTTCATGTAACTCCCATCCATGTTTACTGATCATATCATCTGTCTGGATCATTTCAGGGCTAACTCTTATATAAACAATCATCCAGGAGTGCAAACGTTGACCATCACACTATACATGCATGAGTTCGAAAGCCTCTTGTATTTAGTGCAAATTGATGATCATTTCACACGCACTGTTTTGTATTCTGGATTTGTACTTCATAGCACCATTGATAGCTTATTCGAAAATATAAATCAGTCTAATAAGATTAATTTGGTTATGCCCGTTATCCGAAGTTAATTCTGATGAAGACGCTTGCTAAATTAAAATGGGCTGAAGAAGAATAGGTGTTCACTAGGCCTGTGAATTCTCCACGCACCACAGGAAAATGCTCTGAATTATTCATCTTGTCTGTGTTGTAACGGAATAAGTCTTCCTATACGCGGAAGCTCAAATGGCGCCTAAGAAAAAATTCTTAATCAGGCAGACTTGTAACCTGCAATCTGCCATTTTAACCTCGATGTTTCTTCCCTGATGTTCTGTTGCATGGTCATTGGAAGTCACTTGCTTCTTCATTGTGCGTTGAGAATGGAAATGTGTCATCCGCGTTTCTGAACGCCCCGCCAAGCAAGAAAGAATTTTGGAATAATTAATTTTTGTCTGTCAGTTTCACAAGTCAGTCGACGCTCATGCTATCGATATGTTCAAGATAAAAACTACATCACTAGTCACTAATGGTCACGCTCCAGTTTCTGCTAAGGTTTACAGGTTTACTGATAGCATGATCATATAACGTATAATTGATTTGCCATAACTTATTTGCTAACTGCAATCAGCCATTTAATCTTAATGTTTCTACGCTGATGATCCGATGCATGCATGGTCAGTAGAATTCATTTGCTTCTTTATTGAGCGTTGATAATTGAAAAGTGTTGGCTGCGTTTGTAAACGCACTTCATAGCTCCAATGAATGCATGACATGATAAATTTTGTTTGTGCAACCGTGATACACAAGTCTGCTGATGCAGAGCACCCAGGCAGCATCGAGTGTGAATAAATTAGTTACCGCTCAAAATTTTTGTTATTTGTTCAGTACGTGCAGATAGGAAACCAATCAATCATAATCCATGTTTGAAGGAAAAGCGTAAGGTGATATAATAATTTTGAAACGTAACGATAGCGGGGACGCTGAAACGTATGTGAGCGAACTACCTCATGAGGCATAAAGGAAGTGAACTCACAATACATTCATGTTGTCACAATATATTCACAAAATTATTGATATTGTCAGTTAAATGGGCGCATTCAATAAATATGTAAGAAAACATCGCCTTCGGTGACCCCAGACGTTAAACCATAATCGTACGGC